GGGTGAATTGGATCAGTACGATGTTTAATGAGTCCCTTTGCAGTCAACGAATATGTCTCCAAGTTAATGGCACGTATACCACTATTCCATGCCATGTGAGCCCTTCATGTTTTGCCCAATGTTGTGCTACAACTATTGAACTACTTCCAACCTTGTAAAGGAAATCCTTCGACCATCTCTCATTGTTGTCTCGAAGTAAAGCGCCACCATAACAGCTCCATCTATGTTCAATTTATGTCAACTGGTGGGTGGCAGGTTCCATCTAATTTGTGTTTTAGTTCTCCTTGACATTGTTGGGGTTTCGTTAAGACTGAGACTTGGGGAATTCCATGCTTCAGCCAATAAACTTGTTATAGCTGAAATAACATTGGTGAGAGAGGGAAAAGGCAACACCTTATTCGGTCCATGAAACGTGAACTCATTCCTTTACTTCCAAAGCATCCAAACTATGACTACAAGGGCTGATGTCTCTACTAGTAAGGTTGTCCTGAAACCAGGTGGTGTCTGATTATGCAAAGAAAGCAGTTTTTTTTTGTGTTGAGGTAAGGTCTTACCCTAGAGATATTTGGTTGTTGTACAATCTCAGAGTATGTGAAGTCGATTTTTCATGGTGTTGTTGCAGCAAAGACAACTGGGCGTAAGAACAAGAAGTTTTGAGTGCAAACGTGCTCGAGTGTTGATTTTGTATAAATAGAGGAGCCAAACAAAGGTCTGCACCCTCTCCGGCAATGTCAGCTTCCAAATGATCTTACATGGTGGTTGTGTTGTTGTATTCATAGGAAAAGGATTCAGGTACGCTATCTTGTAAGTAGTCTTTGTTGAGAAATGACCATTTAAGATTTCTCTCCAGAAAAAGTGTGCCATTTGTCGAGGAGAATCGATCCAATGTCAAGGTTTTTATGTTGTTTGCCACCTCCTAAGGAAGGTAAGAGTCTAATCTTGCCTTGTTCCATCTTCCATCATCGTTCGATTTAGCCAGCAACATGAGTGTTAAGAAAATCCTTTCGAATTTTAGAATTTTCCACTTGAACCAGAGGAATCTACAAAATCCAAACACCAGTCCAAAACTTAGTGTTCAATCCATTTCGAGGACATCCTTGACGAAGGACTAAAGTAGCTTTAGTAATGCTACATTAAGTGAAAGAACTCCCGTTTAGAGCTTGAAGGATGTCCAGGTTGCGGATTTGTTAGTTGTATTTACTCTTCAACACTCTGGCCGAAAGTGTATACTTCTCTGTGAGTAGTCTTTATATCATTTTGGCCAACATGGCAAGGTTGACATGTCGGCTTGTCCTTATTCCAGTTCCATCTTGACTTTTTGGCTTTTGAAGCTTTTCCCATGATACCAAATGGGACCCCTTCTTTTCATTTATATGTACCCATATAAAATCTCTACTGCAACGATAAAAAAACATTGCAAGTGGAGGAAGCAAGGTTTTCAGTCTGCATGGGATAGCTTGAAACGGAGGAGACAGATTTCACCACCGTTAGTCTTGCAGAGAGAGAAAGTCTTTGAGTTTTCCAATGTGCCAATTTTTTCTACAATGCTACGGACTATCTATATGTATCGATCCTTTGTTACCTTGCGATTGATCACTTGAATCCCTAAGTAGCGCCTGATGTCGTAGTTCAAAGGAATTCCAACTTTGTGACTAATAGTTGCTGCTTTGTCCCTTGTTACATTTTTTTTATGGTTAATCAAAAATTGCATTTAAGCACGGGGAGTTGCAACTTGCAAAACCTCCCTCTCAAGAATTACAACTGTGCTGGTACATCTAGGAAACTACAGAAAACCATCAACAATAAAACTCAAACAACATTAAATAGGACCTAATACTTTCAAGACACTCAGCTGGAAGTTTACGTTGCTGTTGGAAAAAACAGCAACTTAGACAACACCCTCTTTGATAGTTGAGCAGGAGAGGCAGCTCGCGAACTACCATATAAACATGTGTTCCTTTCCCTCTTCGATATGTAGCTAATGCCCATTATCCAAAGCACTCTCCCTACTGCAGCCCTGTCAGACTTCACCCCCCATTGCCTCTCGGCCCATTGCAGATGTGTACTCCAGTCAGAGAACCCAGGAAAAACACAAACTTTCTGCAATAACTGACGAAGCACCTCAAGTCCAAATGAACACATCTCAAACAAATAGTCTCTACTTTCATCACCACCTGGACACAAGACACAACAGGGGTTACAGACTACACCCCATTGCCTCTCAGCCCATTGCAGATGTGTACTCCAGTCAGAGAACCCAGGAAAAACACAAACTTTCTGCAATAACTGACGAAGCACCTCCCTTCTTGCATTCATAGATACAAACATGAATAATTTAGAGAGATTAATGTTTTGTTACTGCTTAGATTTGATTGAGCTCCGCTTAAGCACAAATGACCATATCGTCCGCAAAAAAGGGTGAGAAAGTCTTGGTCCTCCAAAGTGAGTTCTAGAGGTTTTCACTTTTTTCGTCCATAGCTTCATTTATTTTATGCGACAAATGTTCCTCGCATAACAAAACAAAAGGTACGAGGAAAGAGGGTCTACATGGCGTACTCCCCTAGTGGGAAGAATTGGTGGTGAGAGTTGTTCATTCAAGTTCAACCTCATACTCTTACGTTGAACACAAAACATGATTCGTTCAATCCAGGTACTTGGAAGCCGCGCCTCCTTGAGAGTGTCATGGAAGAATTCCTAGCGCAGTTTGTCTATGCTTTATCGAGGTCAATCTTGATTACTAAACCTCCTCGTGCCCTTATTTCTGTGTAATAAATGAAGCACTTCCTGCATTACAATAATAGTGTCTACTATTTGCCTGCAAGATATGAAGCTCCTTTGGGTCATCGCAATCGGCTTCTGCATAACTGGTTTAAGATCTTTTGTGATAGCCTTGGTAATGGCTTTCATACACACGTTGTTGAAGCAAATAGGGCGGAGTTGGCTGACTAGGTATGGGTCTTCGACCTTTTGAATAAGCACCACTATAGACTCTGTTACAGTCTCTGGAAAATCATCTGTTTTAAAAACTTAATTAATTGCCTTGTCAGTTAAAGCCTTGCCAACAACTCCCAAGCTATGTTGATAAAATATCGCTTGGAATCCATCATGGCGTATAGCTTGTAAATGCTTCATTTCATGGAGAGCTCGGTAAATGTTTCCTATTGTGAAAGGTCGGAGGAGGTTCGAGAGCTCGCTAAAATTCAGTAATGGGAACTGGCCTTTGGGCATCTTATTTGTATATTCATTGGAATCCTGCATATACAATTCAAGAAAAAATTTAAGACCAAATTAGCGGAAGTACTTTTTATTTCCCTTTCTAAACTTTACGCATTTCTTCTCTTTCAAAGACTTGGTCGAGTTCTTTGTCAAGCTTTTTCAACATTTTGCTGAATCCGGTAGAGAAAGAGATGGATAGATGTTGTTGAATTATATTAATCCATGCAAGTAGCCTCTTCTTCATGATGTGAATATTAGCAAAAACCGGTAGAATTCCATCCTCGCAGCTTTTCTGCAAATTTAGCTAGAGCCGAGGAAGAGGAGGCTTTCTGTTTGCACATGGATATCAAGATTGGATGTGATTTGAGTAAAGTCGAGAGACTGTCGACGCTTTGAAAAGGGAATTCCATTTTGCAATGAAGAAGCTCCTATCAGGTCTATTGGCTTTTACAGAATGTATGCAATCACCTCTGGTCCAAATGAACTTCACACCTGAGAAAGCCAAATCAATAAGTTCGGCTTGGTTAATCCAAGTATTGAAGCGAGTATAATGTCTAGTAATTGAATAATTGCCAACAACAGCCTTCTTTGTGGAGCACCAGATGGCATTAAAATCTCATGTGACTAGCCATGGAAAGGAAATGTCCTTGATGGTGGCAATTAGATTTCCTAGAGCAGAGGTTGGAGATGTTTCCATGGGAAAGTATACACTCTAGTGACCAAAAATTGGTGTTGATTTTTTGGGTGAATTTTGACTATTATGTGATGCGAGCTTGCGGAGATGAAATCAACACTGAAACTACCTTGTTTCCAACAAAGCCAAATTCCACCTTTGTGGCATCTAGCCTCAACTCTGAACATCTCCGAAAAACCTACTTTGCCACAAATTTCATTCATCCTGCATCCGATAATTTGGGGCTCTAGGATGATAAAAAAAAATCAGGATTATGTAGCTACAAAGTGAGGACAAGCGATAGAAGAAACTTCCTGGTGTCAATCGGGCGGGTTCGGGCTGGGTTCAATCGGGTTCGGGTTCAAACGGGTTGCGGGTTAGTCGGGTTGCGGGTTCGGGTTCGGGTTCATCGGGTTCAGGTTCAAACGGGTTGCGGGTTAGTCGGGTTGCGAGTTCATCGGGTTCGGGTTCAATCGGGTTGCGGGTTCATCGGTTTTGGGTCGGGCGGGTCGGGTTTCGGGTTGTTCGGGCCAGCGCATCAAGTAACTTAACTCATTACTCATTACCAACTTACACATTTTATTACACTAATTTAAAATATTTTCTCAACTTTTTAACCAATTTATTTCTACCTCGTATATATATACTTTATTTTTTTGAAAAAACTAGTCAAAATTTTAAATCAATTTGTATGACTTGCAAACTTGTTATGTAATTAATCATAATTGGTAAATTATTATAGCTAATAGTAATGGTGATATCAATATTTGCAACCAAAAGACACCGTTAATTGTTTATTTGATATTTTAGTATTAATTCAGTAGTAATTGAATTAAAGTATCTCGTTTAGTATAACCATGCAAATCTGGTATTTGGCGTGTGGTAATTGGCAAAAGCATAGTGATAAAAGAAGTTATTTCAAAATAACTCATTGCCCGAATAACTTCAGTAAACTGTTGCCAAACGAGTTATTTGTAAAATTGTTCGAATTATCCTAAAAATTGAACCATTAAAGATTAGCTATCAAATTTAGTAAAATTATTGTGACTTCAACCATAACTTACTCAATAGCATATATCCTATACACATAGCCTTACCCTCAATCAACAATATTAAGTTAGTATATGTTGTTGATTGTATACCCTAAACCATCAATACATTATACACTAACCACATAACCTATACCCTAACCATATGTCCTTTAGTTGTGATTTTGCTAGTATAGTTAATTTAAAAGTGAAATTCATACTTTGATTTTCAAAACATAGATAAAAAGTGATATTTGCTAATTGTTATACCCTAACCATACTTTGAATACACCAAAATTTCCATCTTCTTTTAAAAACATCAAATTACCAAATACATTACTTTATTTATTTATATTTAATTGATAATTTTATTGAATAGTTAAATTAACCAATATATTGATTCATGAACATATATTAATAAGAAAACTTGATCTTATTAGTTATAATTTTGACTAATCGTGGCCAAACCATTAATACCTTATACTCTAACCATATACCCTACAAGTCGACTCTATAACCTATACCCTAAACCCCTACTGGTTTGATTCATGAACATATGTTAATAAGAAAAGTTCATCTTATTAGTTATGATTTTGACTAACCGTGGTCAAACCATTAAAACCTTATACCCTAACCATATACCCTATAAGTCGACTCTATAACCTATACCCTAAACCCCTAATGATCTGAATTCTGATTGATGAACATGTGTTAATAAGAAAAGTTGATCTTATTAGTTATGATTTTGACTAATAATTGTTAAACCATTAATACCTTATACCCTAACCCACACTATAGGAAAACTGATTTCTAGTCACGGGATCTTATTCACGGTAATTTTTTCCGTGTTAAAAACTATGCTAATAGTCACAGTAAACGTTCCCGTATTCGATCATATAGTTATGATCACGGTAACTAATTTATCTGTATTTTAGTGTTTATTTATCGTAATTAATTGTTAATCACGATAAATTTTGGTGATTAATGTGACAATTTAACTTTATAAGAACTTTATTCCAAAATTTTAGGAGGGAGAATTTCCTTTAGCAAAAAATTTTGTTTTGCCCCCAAAAAATTGCTTTGGCTCCAAAAATATTTGCTTTCTCCTTAAAAAATTGTTTTGGCTCCAAAATATTTGCTTTCCCCGCCACTTTTCACACCCAAAAATTGCTTTTGCTCCAAAATATCTGCTTTGCTCGAAAAAATTGCTTTGCCTCCAAAATTTTGCTTTGCCCGCCACTTTTTTGGTCCATGGAATTGAAAAAATTAACATACTAGATGGAGAAAACTAGATCTAAAGGCGAATTAAAGAAAGTCAATCCCTTTGCCGCTTGACTTTTTCTAGCGTCTCTTCCACTGCTCTTCCTGCCTTTTTCTCCACCCAAATAGTTCCTTCCATTTCTCCGAACTTTCCCCAACTCTTACTGCCAAAACCCTATTTTCTTAGCAATTCAGATAGATCCATCTGATGCCCTCTTCCATGGCGAAACAGATCGATGAAGAAGCATGCTCTTCAAGGGGGTTTATTGTTAGGGTTTCAAGTTTGGAGGTAGACTGGCGACGATTGAGAACGACAACGGCAAGTTTGGAGGTGGACTGGCGGCTCGGTTTGGTAGGCGGTTAGGGATGTTGTGGTTTGCGTTGCAGAGAGACGACAAAAAAAGGAAACTTTCCCCAACTCTAAACTGCAGCTGCAGCTGAAAGAAGGAAACTTCTTTTGCAGAGTTGTAATCTTTATTCGGTTGAATTGAGCTTGGGAAGCCATGATAGTGACCAGCTGTTGCAACTGAATTGTAGTGAGAAGAGGGCAATGACTTGTGATTGGTTCTTATTTCAGGTAGGGGTTAGTTTCAGTCTAAAGATTAAGTACAGCTTACATGTTTCTTTCATGATTTTGGTAGTATTGGCGTCCATCCCTTTATTTCGATTGCTTTATATGAGTATACTTACTCCCTTTGTAGCCATCTTATCTATTTGTTGTTCGTATTTTCTTCCAGCAACTATTTGATATGAATGTGTTGCCCCTGCTTCAATAGGGAGATTTGCCGCCGGCAGAAAGGCCATTGGTGTAAATGGGCAGTAGCCATGTGGTTGAGAAGTATTTAATTTCCAGAGATTATGAAACATGTGGTTGATAATCTATTGAACACTAATTAGCTAATCCAAGTTGCCAAGGAACTATGGTTGAGAAGGCACTGCAAGATACAAAGGTAATAGCAGTAGGAAAAGGAATTCTCATTTATAATTATTCAAGTGGATTAGATGAAATTCGGGTTGAGTCGGTCGGGTTACGGGTTAGTCGGGTTTGGGTCAATCGGGTTCGGGTTAATCGGGTTGCGGGTCAGTCGGGTTGCTGGTCAATCGGGTTCGGGTTAATCGGGTTGCGGGTCAGTCGGGTTGCGGGTCAATCGGGTTGCGGGTCGGACGGGTTACGGGTTGTTGACTTTTAGTCAATTCGGGTTGCGGTCGGGTTGCGGGTCGGGTTGATCGGGCGGGTTAATCGGGTCGGGCTATGTTTTGACACCTATACTACTACATGCCTTCATCCTACAGCTTAAAGACACTCCATAGCTTTATTCATTGAGTGCTTAAGTAAGTAACCAAGTCTCTCTTGATGTTTTGGCTCCTGTGACAACCTCCTTTTGTAGAATCATTGTAGATCCCCAACCCCTTTATGTATATTTCACTTACTGACATTTGTGCTTTACGATCCCCCCCCCCCCCCCCCCCACATCTGCACCATACACCCTCTCCTCAATGGCAGCCTCATGAATTTTACCTAGTGGTGTCCTCTTTAAAAAACTGAAATAATAATTCATATTTATTTAAATATAATTTCTTAAATAGAAAATATCCTACTAGTACAAGTTACAACAGAATATCATGATGTGTTTTCATATATTGATTTTTTCTGTAAAATGCACTAAGTGTGCTTAATTAACAAATATCTTTGAATATATCCTACTACGCTATCATTCACGAATGGATCATCTATTTCATTCCGAAGCTTATGTTTGATGTAGCTCAAAGATGAAAAAAATCTTTCAAACACTTACAGTTGCAACTAGTAAAATTAATACAATTTTGAGAAACAATTAGATTGATGAGGGCGAGCAAAGGTTGACCACTGATGATGGACTAGAGGGAGGGGGATCATAGGAACGATTGAAGTAGGGTAGAGAAGATGAGTCGACTCTAAAACTGTTTTGTTGTTCTTTTACTTTGCTTTGCCAGTATCGGAATTGAAGATTTAATTTTTTGGGTTGGATGAAAATTTTGGAAAATTAGGATTTAACTGGAATTTGTTTTAGTGTATAATGACATTTACGGATGGCTATTGGGTGATTTTGGAGCGGGTTTGCCTAAACTAACCTCATCCCCATTTTCAAATACACAAAGCCATACCTGCCCAATACCCATGTGGTGGAAGGTTTTACAAAGCCATCTCCATACCCCACGAATTTCGGACACCCATGGGTAATACCCGCCCCATCAGCTACTCACCATTAATAAAAGTATATGGTGACAAATATGGATACTACCCTCCCAATATTATGAAACTATTACATAAGAGGATGAAATTAGGATTCGGTTGCTATCAATTACATTTTAACATTTTATTTTTTCTTTTAATTACCCTTCATTCCATTGACAAGTTACTATAGACTCCTTATATTTTATGCATTTAACATAATATCCTTGATGGGGTGGGGGAGTCCAACACCATACCTGCCCCATACCCATCAACATTTTTGCGAGTTTTATCCATTCTCGCCTCATACCCAATCAAAAAGGGGATTCCACGCGTTGACTGGGTCGGAGGCGATCGGGTACCCGCGATCATGGGTTTGGTTGCCATCCCTAACTACATTTATGTTTCAAATATGACAACAAATTATTTATAGTAAATTGGATAACATGTCCTTTGATAACTGCCGTATCACTGGTTTGAATCACAAAAATAACCACCTTTTTTCTTTGCCATTATTTCTGCTATCTTCTACGGACTACGATATAGTCTAGTATGGCCAGGAGAGTGGAAGGGTATGCTTGCACTGACTTACAATCTTCTTCATGAGCTACGGATAAATGACTTTTTTTTTATATTTCAGAGTGATATTAAGAAACGATAAGAGTTATACTAACAAAATTAATTAGAAACTCCCTATAAGCAACACCCTAATGAAACCACATAAAAAAGTCAAAAGATTATGGAATGTTTTGGTGGTGTTATACGTGCCACTATATGGGCAACACTATTGACGGATAAAAGACTTTGTGGGGTGTTTTACCAACTTGGTTTGGAATGAGCATGGTGGAAAGGGTCTTTTGTCACCCAATCAGAAGCTCGGAGAAATTTTTTGCCCAGCTAAAAGAAAATGTCAGGTTGTTCAGTATGGGGCAGCTGGTGTTTTTTCAGATGATCAGGAGTTTATGTTTTAGCTTATTGTTAGCACACAAGTCTTTTCATTATATAGCTTTCATAACTTGTTATTTGTGTAGTTAGGAATGCTTAGTATTTGGTAGTTGTTTGTACCATCTAGCTCGAAGGTATGAACAATAATGATTGTTGGTGTGGGGTTGACTCACGATCTGGTCGTCTGATCTCGTCGGGAGGGAGAGAACCTGTGAAAGAGCCGGGGTTGCCCCCGGGATTAAGCTCCGACGATCAAGTCAGTGTATGTTTCTGGAGAGAGTTTAGAGAATAGATAGAGAGACAAAGTGTAGAGAGATAGTAGAAAGTGGAAATTGAGGAGAGAGAAGAAGTCTCTTTCTTTGTAGGGCTTCAAGCCCTTATATACCTGTAGCGGGTACCGAGTGTTGCCATTGCCGATTGTGCGCTCTACTACTTAGTCTGTGCACGAAGTCTTTAGTAACACCCCCAACAATTGCCCCCCAAGCTGGTGGTGAGTTTTATCTCATCGCTAGCTTATATATATATATATATATATTTTAAATCTTCGTCGGTAATTCTGGGTGGAGCCCTATGTACCCCAGTTGCCCCCCAGCTGGTGGCGCGTTTAACTGACGCGATGCCAGCTTCTTGCGTCTTGCCCCCCCCCCCCCCCCCCGGGCCCGTTGGTGTATTTTGGTGTATTTCATTAAGGCGTGTAGCCCCCCATTAGCGCCATTAACGCTCATGAAAGTGAAATATTTCAATATTTGATAATGATAGAGAGATAGAGTACTTAGCTTTAAATTGGAGAGGCGGCAGGATACTGATTAAGTGGAATGCGCTGCACTATTTTGGCACAAGGCACGTATGTAGCCTATTGGTATTGTTGCTTGTCACGCGGAGGAGTGACGCGAGTTTGAATCCTGGTGGCGACAATATTATTTTTGATGAGCTCCTTGTCTGTTGGGCTTGGCGCGCCTGAACAGCACAGCAGGCCGGGGGACGAGAGCATTGGGCCTGATCCGCGAGTTGAGAGTGCGAGCTCGCGGGCTAGTCGTTAAAATAAAGGCGAGACGCATCTCGTAGCATAAGCTGTTGTTGTAGCTTACTGGTCAGTACGCTTGTATAGCAGAATAGTGGCGCGGGTTCGAGGATTGGGGCCTACAAATAATTTTTTTTGTTCCGTGGAACTGAGTGGGCGTGAATAGTTCATGACTATTGCTATTTCTTTTTTTTTTTCTGTCGAACTGAGTGGGCGCGAATAGTTCATGACTATTGCTATTTTTTTTCCGTGGAACTGAGTGGGCGCGAATAGTTCATGACTATTGCTATCTTTTGTTCCGTGGAACTGAGTGGGCGCGAATAGTTCATGACTACTGCTATTTGTTGTTCCGTGGAACTGAGTGGGCGCGAGTAGTTAAATATCAGACGACGCGCCATTGAAACACAAGGCTCTCTTGTAGCTTGCTGGTAATCTTGCTTGTCTGGCGGAAGAGTGGCGCGGGTTCAAGCACTGGTGGCGGCGATAATATTTTTGACTCGCTCAGTGCAATGTTGGGCTTGGCGAACTGCAGCACTTGAACGGGCGGGCTGGATACGCGAGTGGGGACGGGCGGACTTGGATTTGCGGGTGCGGGCCGCGAGGAGTTAAAAATCAGACGCCGCGCCATTTAAACACAAGTCTTGCTTGTAGCCTGCCGGCCAACTTCCTGGTATTGTTGAATGGTGGCGTGGGTTCAAACCCTGGTGGTGACAATATAATTTTTGATGAGCTCCTTGTCTGGGCTTGGCGCGTCTGAACAGCATAGCAGGCCGGGGGACGCGAGCATTGGGCCTGATCCGCGAGGTGAGAGCGCGCGCTCACGGAAGAGTGACGCGGGTTCAAGCACTGGTGGCGGTGATAATATTTTTGATTCGCTCAGTGCAATGTTGGGCTTGGCGAACTGCAACACTTGAACGGGCGGGCTGGATACGCGAGTGGGGACTGGATGCACGGGCGGACTTGGATCCGCGGGTGCGGGCCGCGAGGAGTTAAAAATCAGAAGTCGCGCCATTTAAACACAAGGCTCGCTTGTAGCCTGCCGGCCAACTTCCTGGTATTACTGAATGGTGGCGCGGGTTCAAACCCTAGTGGTGACAATATAATTTTTGATGAGCTCCTTGTCTGATGGGCTTGGCGCGTCTGAACAGCATAGCAGGCCGGGGGACGCGAGCATTGGGCCTGATCCGCAAGTTGAGAGCGCGCGCTCGCGGGCTAGTTGTGCGAGCGCGATGCAAGGCGGGCTTTTCATCTAGAGCGGCCAAAAGCGGTGGAGCGGACTTTGAACGCGGGCTTGACTTGCGGGGCGGGAGACTGATCGCATCGTCGGGCCAGGCGCGAGTGCGGGACGCGCCTTGGTCTTGGCGATCCGCGAGTTAAGCGGATCGAAATCGAGGACTTGGGGCGCGAGAGGTAAGGTGGGCCGCTAGCGGAGGTTTGGGCCGGCTATGCACGTGCGGAAGGCCTGAGCGGGCTCTGCGCCTGTGGGCTTGGTTGGGCCGGTGGAAGGTGCGGCTTGGATGTGCTAAGACAATGACGTAGCACTTTGCAAGGAACTACTAATATTCTGTACCCGGCGTTTGAGTTGCGCACATGTCTTGTAGCCCACTGGTAAACAACTCTTCAAACGAGATTTGTGGCGTGGGTTCGAATCTTGGTTGAAGCGAATATTTTTATGACTTGTTGCACATCTTGAAGTGCGGACTCGTGGGCCAGATGCGGGTCCATTTGTTGTGGTCTAGGCCGCGCGTCGGACTGGCGGAGCTCGCGGGAGGAGGAACTGAGCGGGGAACTGGCGGGCCACGGGTTGTGTTGCGGATCGGGTCAAGTGACGCTCGTCGCACCCAAGCGGACAATGAAGGCGGCCGCGTGGAGAGAAAAATCGGTCGGCTGAGATCAAGCGGGCGAGAGAGCTGCGAGTTGGCCCAGGCTTGTTGCACATCTTGAAGTGCGGACTCGTGGGCCAGATGCGGGTCCATTTGTTGTGGTCTAGGCCGCGCGTCGGACTGGCGGAGCTCGCGGGAGGAGGAACTGAGCGGGGAACTGGCGGGCCACGGGTTGTGTTGCGGATCGGGTCAAGTGACGCTCGTCGCACCCAAGCGGACAATGAAGGCGTCCGCGTGGAGAGAAAAATCGGTCGGCTGAGATCAAGCGGGCGAGAGAGCTGCGAGTTGGCCCAGGCTGGTGAAATTCGGGATTGGATGCAGAAGGCGGACAATGAAGGCGGCCGCGCATGAGGTTTGGCCCGCGAATGGAGTCTGACTCGCGTTTATGAACATAGGCAGGCAGAGCCGCGAAATGAAGTTGGAGCGAACTGAACTCTTCATAATAATGCGTCGCACAATGAATCATCAATGTGATGTTGCAGTGCACTGGTAAGCGCTCTAGTCTCATGATCCTTGAACGCGAGTTGCTTTCGCGCGAGTGGCCCGCTTGCTGTCGAACCTGGAGGCAGGCTTTCGGGTACGTCTTGTGGCCCGCGAGTTGCTTTCGCGCGAGTGGAGTTGAAGGATGACAAGAAACGGGCCAGTCCCAAGTCGGGCCGCGAGTTCTTTGCTAGCAGGTTTTCCGCGATATTGGGCCTCAAGATAGAGATCTAGGAGGGCGGTATGGGCCGCGCCTCCGCGAGTCTGGAGGCTGGTCCTTACAGTCACCAATTGTAGACCGCGAGAGTAGAGGGCGCTTTATTGGGATCGCATTATTATGAAGAGTGGTAGGGTGGTAAAATACATGTTTTTTTTTAATGACGTGCCTTTTTCTCTCTTCCGCTAGATCCGGCTCTTTATCGGCGGTGGACGGCGAGGACTTCAGGAGTGGTAGTGCGCGGATCTGCTTTTTCAATGGTGCTCCATATCCTTCCCTTTTCCTTCCAGATTTCTTCCTTTTGATTTGCAAGTTCGCCTGCATGCGTAGTGTTTGTGCGGAGAGCTTCCGTGAGCCTACTTTGGGGACTGTGCCCATCTGTTTTTTTCTGACAAAAGTGCAAGTGGCCATAAGAGAGTAGTCTTGTCAACAGTCTCTTATTTCTTGATTTGCGGCCCCCCTTGTCTGCTTTTACGAACAAATTGGAGAGAAGGTGATACAGGTGACCTTGACTGTGACCGGCTCTTCTTTTCCTCGCCGGACTCTAGCAACAATATCACCAAACTGAATTTCGAAACTTTTCCTTCTCTCTTTTTTTCTTTTGGCATCAACGTCACCGTGGTGGCTGCTTGCGGTTTGCAGGTTGGTCTGGTGATGGCGACCACAAAATAAATGTTCAAGCTGTCGTCGTTGCTCGTAGTGGCGGGGGAAGTTGATTCACTTCGAGAATGAGCAGAGCTTTTTCATAAGAGAAGGTGAAATCCAGTTTGAGTGCTGGAGTGGAGAATGGAATGTCGTATCCCTCAAAGATCAATCGAACAAAATCTATGAATCACGCCCCACGGTGGGCGCCAATTGTTTGTACCATCTAGCTCGAAGGTATGAACAATAATGATTGTTGGTGTGGGGTTGACTCACGATCTGTTCGTCTGATCTCGTTGGGAGGGAGAGAACCTGTGAAAGAGCCGGGGTTGCCCCCCGGATTAAGCTCCGACGATCAAGTCAGTGTATGTTTCTGGAGAGAGTTGAGAGAATAGATAGAGAGATAAAGTGTAGAGAGATAGTAGAAAGTGGAAAGTGAGGAGAGAGGAGAAGTCTCTTTCTTTGGAGGGCTTCAAGCCCTTATATACCTGTAGCGGGTACCGAGTGTTGCCATTGCCGATTGTGCGCTCTACTACTTAGTCTGTACACGAAGTCTTTAGTAACACCCCCAACAGTAGTTTATTGAAGTAGAAAACATGTAGGCCGCTTGCCAGACTAGTTTTTCGCGGCTTGGTCAATTGATCAAGTGGGTTTAATAAATTAACTCAATTACCAAAAATATTCATTTTTAATTTCTGATTTTCCGTTTCGCATTATTGTAATCCAATTGAAACTACATAATGCATACCAAAAACTAAAGAATGTGTACTAGAAACACTAGAATTTACACTAGAAACATAACAATGCATTCCAAAAATACAAGAAAGCATACCAAAAACACTAGAATGCATAACATAAATATCCTAAAATATAGAAGAAACACTAGAATGCATACTATTAGTAATCTCCTGAGGCATACGTGAAATGCAGAAATACAATAATACATATAAAAAAATTTAATAATAAGAAAAACTAAGAAATTCGTACCATTATCGAAGAGGTGAATCTTCTGTTAAATAAATATATGAAAAATGGATATCATATCATATATACTGATTTTTTTATTAGTATATCATATATACTAATTAATTTAAGTTTTCTCTGCAAAAGTATTTGACATCCAAGTTAAATGAACGAGTTATGATTCGTTTAAAATATTTATGTAGAAAGTTGGCAAAATATTATTATAGTAGCTTGTTTTTCTTTAGGTTTTTTTTACAAGGGTGATATAGGTTTTACTTTTTTGTTGTTTAGGTACTACTAAAGGGATTTAAACATGTGACCTGAGGAGGGCCAGTCGAAAATTCGGCGGGTTTCTTGGAAGAATATGTGTAGAAGTAAGCATGATGGGGGAATGGGGTTTCGTCGATTTGAACATTTTAATCAGGCTCTCCTAGCTAAAATTGGGTGGCGAATTTTAAATGAGCTTGATTCCCTCCTTGCTCATGTTTATAAAGGGAAGTATTTCCCTCATGGTTCTTTTCTCTCGGCAACAGCTCGGTCTAGACCTTCGTGGGGTTGGCAGAGTATCCTCCATGGTCGGGAGCTTCTGATAATGGGGTTACGTTGGCAAATTGGCAATTGTCGGCAAGCCGCCCTCCTAACGTCCAATTGGATCCCTAGACTGCACCCGCTCCCCCTAGGTATAATCCCTGTGTGCTTCCGGAAGGGGTGGAGCTAAAGGTGGCAGAGGTAATTCAACCTGGTGAAGGACGATGGTGCGATGATAAGCTCCGACAATGGTTTGATCCTATGACATGTAAGGCCATAAGGGCGATCCCGTTGCCTCGCCAAGATGTAGAGAATCGTTTGGTATGGCATGCTACAACTGATGGTGTGTTCACTGTTAAGTCAGGTACCATTTTGCGGTCACTCTGGATCAACAGCCGGGCAGGTGAAAACTCACGGTTAGTTGGATGGATCGAGCTAGTTGGATCCGGTTGTGGGAGGCAGACATACCTCAGAAGTTAAAGGTGTTTGTTTGGCAGATTTTTCGGAGGATATTGCCTACTACGAAGGCGTTAATCGAAAAACGGGTTGATGTTCTACCCAGGTGTCCCGTTTGCTGGGGAGGGGCTGAAACAATGGAACATATGTTCCTTGACTGCATAGTTGCTCGTGCCATTTGGGATCACTCTGGGCTGGCTCACCTAGGGGAAGGGTTGCTTCGGCATACCTTCTCGCTCTTTCTGAAGAAGATCTTGGCTCTGGTTGACCGAAACCTCAGTTTATAAAGGTGATCGCTGTCCTTTGGAGAATTTGGTGATCTTGTAACTGGGTTGTCTTTGAAGGCAAACAGTTTGGGATTGCATCCTTGATGCGACAGTTCAATCAACAAGTGCAAGAGCGGGTTAGACTCCCTAGGGACCAGGCCCCCCGACCTCCTACTACTCTTAGTCCGGTGGATTCTGTGGATCCAGCCCTGGCGATTTGTATGTGGGATGGGGCGGTTAGGGCTGGTTCTCATTCGGCAGGGGGATGGTCTTCTTGACTCCAGCCCGTGAAATACTCCTTGTTCAAGGGGTGCCGTTCCCGAGTATTGATGACCCACTGGTAGTGGAGTTGCTGACTCTTCGGGAGGCTATCTTGTGGTGCTTAGGGCAAGGTTTTTCTGAGGTGTGATTTGAAGGCGATGCTCAGGTGATTATTGAGAAGCTCCGTAGGGCTGAGACCAGAGATAGCCGGGGTGGGCCCATTCTAGTGGAGGTCAGCAATTTGTTTGTGGCACATACAGGGTTTAGTGTTCGATTTGTAGGTCAGAGGAACAATAGGGTAGCTCATCTGGTAGCTCGCAAGACCCTTTCTTTGTACCCGACTACGAGTCGTTTCTTTGATTTCCAGGTCTAGCTGTATTCCAGGATGTAATTGCCTATATTTCAATCAATATATGATTATCTTTTGTCAAAAAAAAAATGCTAGTAGTATTACCACTAGAGCAATCCCTTTGTTCGTTTTTCTTTAGGGTTATTATAGTGCCTTGTTTTAATTTTACTTAGTCTTGGCTTGGCTTATAGTTGTGAGTAATATTTTGAGCTTTTACTTTCAGGATTTCTACCGTGAATTCTGTTTCGCTGAATCAGGACATCACAAGTCTTTGTTTGAGCAATTGTTTTACTTTTAATAAAGTCACCAATAAAATAATATTTTATCGATATGAAATACTATAAAGAATAATCACGGTTGTATAATAAAATACTCTATTAGTAATGTGTCCGGTTTGATCTTCTACACAATTTTTATAATCTAGTAAACTGGACAAGTTCTAGAGTCTACACCACATAAGAATTAGGAAGACTAGTCTTTAGACCAAACATGTGAATCCACTGCCCAAACAAAGAGGAAGAAGAGGTTTGTTGTTTATTTTGAACATTAAAATTAGAAACAATACTGCCCATGCATCTCGGTGTTTCTGGTGCATACATAATATTATTATCATTTGCAAATAATTAACAATGCGTTTAGAAAGATTTTCATTGAACAGTACAAAAATACAGTTACAAAATTCATTCATCTAACCAGTAGGCCGATCTAGGGGCCGCCCCGGGCCACGGTCCAACCTTCCAGGATGCAAAGCTCGTATAGTACTTGTAAATTATTTATTTTGGATATATATTTCAATGTTTATAGGGTTACGATCTAACCCTCTCCACCGCTTTTTAAATGCGGCCCAGAACTCTAACTTGTTCTGGATCCGCCGCTGGGATGGCCCGGAGACAATGGAACACTTGTTCCTTTATTGTCCAGTGGCGCGGGCTCTCTGGGATTATTCTGGGCTGGAATACTTGGGAGAGAGTTTGTCTCGGCATACTTTTCCTTTGTTTCTCAAACGTCTGTTGGGTTTGATCCATCACCGTCAGTGGTTATGGCTGTTGTTGCCATCCTTTGGAGGATCTGACGATCTCGGAATTGGGTAGTCTTTGAAGGCAAACAATTTGGGATCTCGGCGCTCATGCGACAGTTTAACCAACAGTATGAGGAATAGGTGGCTCTACCAGTGGACCAGGCGCCTAGGGTACAAACCCCGATAATGCACTCTACAGCACAAGTGGATGATTCCCATTTGGTTTGCATATGGGACGGGGCTACTAAGGGTGGGTCTCATTCGGCTGGTGGGATGGTTCTTTTTGACTCACCGCGGACACTCCTTCTGGCTAGAGGGGTCCAGTTTGCTCAAATGGATGATCCTGCAGTGGTGGAATTGCTTGTGCTTAGGGAAGCTATTATTTGGTGTGGGGAACAAGGTTTGTCGGAGGTCCGATTTGAGGGCGATACGAAGGTGATTATTGACAAAATCAACCAGACCGACACAAGAGATAGTCGGTTGGGTGCTGTTCTGAAAGAGATTGATCATTATTTTCGTGCTCAGTCTGGCTTAAGTGTACATTTTGTAGGTCGGGAGAACAATAGGGTAGCTCATTTGGTAGCTAGGAAAGCCCTCTCTTTGTATCCGACTATGAGTCGCTTCTTTGATTTCCAGACCTGGCTGGTATCCAAGGTGTAACTATTTTTTGTTTCGATCCATATATGATATCTTTTGAAGAAAAAAAAAACTATTGTATACACTTGAAATAACTTGAAATAAATAATGAAAACACCCTAAAAACACATCTCTAAACGAATGAACGGTCATAGTAACCTCTATCAAATGCTGTATAATTAAATGACAAACTGACATGTTCTTCCTTCAGGAATCCCTGCAGCAGCCATCCTTCTCCTCCATCCCTTTCAGCTGAAAACCAAGCTACAGAGCAACAGTACCATAACCTACAATACTTATGCATTACATATGCAGGAAAAAAAAAAAGAAATCCAACTGGCAGGAAACCCTGAGATCCAAATCTAAAATCAGTCCCATTTCCATCCCACAGTTTTCTCAATGACAATACCTTCATTGATCCCACAATGGAATTCGAGATGCCCACAGATTTCAGACTTCTTGCTTAGAAAAAAAATAAATAAAGTAAACCTCAATCATGAAGCAAGTTGACATATATATAAGAATTCCCATTCTAGCTAGTTGATGAAGATTAATAATATGAGGGGGGAGAAAAGAACCAGATTCAGTTATAATGGGTGGGAATTACAAGGGGCGCTTGATTGGCCTTGCTTACCTTTTTTGGGTACTGAATTCAGGCACAAATCCACACATTTTGACTGTTGATCAGAGATTATTAAAACCAAAATGAGATTTTTCCTGAGCAGATTATGTGGAACTATACACTGAACTTGGATTACTCTACATAGTTGAGTGTGATTTCAGCGGACAAATCCAGAGAATTCAGTTTACTGTCTAGTATTAACTGCCGACGCTTTCTAATCTTAACCAAGTCTAGGATATATAATATTACTTACATTGGTGTAGCTTTCCAAAGACCAACCCTGTCCCTTTGCTTATATAAACCCTCCCCAGCCCAGAACCACATAAGTCACTTACCTTCACAGTTGCAGAATATAGGAGGACAATGCCTGAGCAAGCTATGGAGCTCCCCACCATTGATTTCAGTGATCTTGAAGGTGAAAACAGGAGCAAGGCCATGGAGATACTGCACGATGCTTGTGAGAACTGGGGTTTCTTTCAGGTAAATTGTGAGGTTTGATTCACTTCTTATGCAATCAGGTGACAAGATCCCATGATGACATGGATTTTTCTTTCCTTCTTGTTGCAGGTTCAGAACCATGGGGTTGATGGCAAGTTGATGGAGAAAGTGAAGCAGCTCGTCGATCAACATTACGAGGAAAACCTGAAAGAGAGCTTCTACCAATCCGAGACAGCCAAGAAGCTGAATAAGAAAGAAAACCCATCTGATGTAGATTGGGAGAGCAGCTTCTTCATCAGGCACCGTCCTACCTCAAACATCTGTGAAATCCCAAACCTGCCTCAGGGTTTCAGGCGAGTTCCCTCTCCACACGTGAAAACAACGCAAGATTCTGCATAGTATTGTTACTTTGAGTGATGCTCTGACTGACTAACGTTGATATGCATTTGTTATGTTAATTGCAGCAAAACCATCGACGAGTACGTTGCTGAACTGATAAAGCTAGCAGAGAAACTTGCCAACCTCATGTGCGAGAATCTGGGATTGGATGAAAGTTTCATCAAGGAGGCTTTCTCTGGGAAAGAGGGTCCTGCTGTGGGGACTAAAGTTGCTAAGTACCCAAAATGTCCTGAGCCAGAACTTGTGAGGGGGCTCCGAGAGCACACTGATGCCGGCGGGATCATACTCCTGCTTCAGGACGATCAGGTCCCGGGGCTCGAGTTCCTGAAAAATGGGGAGTGGTTCCAGATTCCTCCATCCAGGAACAACACAATTTTTGTGAATATAGGTGATCAGGTGGAGGTCTTGAGCAACGGAAGGTACAAGAGTACTCTGCATAGAGTCATGGCTGACAAGAATGGAAGCAGGCTCTCCATAGCCACGTTTTATAATCCAGCTGGTGATGCTGTTATAACTCCAGCTTCGAAGCTTCTCTATCCCCACTCGTACACTTTTGGTGATTATCTTCAGCTCTATTCTGCCACAAAATTTGCAGATAAGGGAAAGAGATTTGAGACCGTGAAGGAACTTGCTAAGGGGAGCAATGGCTTCCATGCCTAAGACTGCCCCTTTCTATGGCTTGAATAACTGTTTGCTGGCTTGCTCACTTCTATTTCTGTTACCGCTGCTGCTTTACTTTTCTCAATTAAACCCTCGCTATGTAAGAGGAAACCTGATGGAAAAGTGAACTGAAGAGCTGTTTGGCTCTGTGATTCCGTTCCATCAGAAAGTATCTGATGTAAGAAATATCTCCACTTCATGTACTTAATAACATGATTTGTGCTAAATACCATGAAGAAAACTGGCCATGAACCAGATTCGACATTCAAGAGCAGAGTTCTCAAAATGGATGTCATGTTTTGTGTCTCCAGATCCAGAATATCATTCTCGCAATGATCAATCTCCGTATCTTCAGCAACAAATTTCCATTTATACAGTTCATTCTCCCCAACTGGAGTGAGTGAAGATTGTAGTACAGTGCCACGAATAGAAAACAAATTTCTCGAGTTCGATTCATCATGAGAAAGAGGAAGCCACGAGACGGGAGACCTACTTCATTGGTAGCCACCCACAGCCGCAGCATCCTTCAGCCAATCAGGCAGCGACTTAAACTCTATATCTACTCTTATTTCATCAGAACCATAGCCAAATCAGGAACCCATTGACATTCTGAGTCAGACAATTTATCGAGCAAGTTACGGGCAGCCCCCTAGACCCAGAAATCAACATCATAACTCTCACTCAACTCACGCCTACACAATATATTCAAGTACCGCAGCAAAACGTCTCCTCCTTAACATAAAAGAAACGCTATAATTCTAGCCTGGAACGTACTGGGCAGCGTTTGTATGATAACACTGTCGTGAAAGTTCCAGAAAAAAGACCATAAAAGGAGCTAAACCCAAATTTAAAATCGAATCGACATATCGATGGAGCTCCGAAAGTTACCTGCTTTTAGTCTTGAGAGGCGAGTAGCGGATTCATCAGCGATGGAGTCGACGGGTTGAGCAAAGAGAAGAAGTAGGTGTAACACGTGGGACTTGAATGTAAAGATTTGGCAAGTGTATATACTTCCGTGTAACAACCTAACGGTCATCTGAGATTAATAACAAACTTTCCCTCTCTCACTTCTCTCTCTCTCTCTTCTCTACTTTCCTCTTCTTCTTCTAGCTAATTCCACCGCCGTGAGACTTCACTGATCCAGAGCGTGACAAGTTGGCATCAGAGCCATCTCTCGGCCATGGCAACGACGGTGCGCCGGCTCGACGATCGCTTGAGCGCGTTCTCCACTCGGATGATTGAAGCGGAATCCGCCTTTCACAATCAGATCACGACGCTGGAAGAGCAGAATCGTGCTCAATCGACTCAGCTGCAGGAGTTAATGGCGAGATCTGAAGGTCATTCGCAACAGTTTGCCGTGATTAACACTCGTTTAGATGGCATGGAAGATCGTTCTGTCGCTCGATTTGCTCAAATGGATCAGAATATCCAGGAGATCATTCATCGATTGGAGGTTCTTCAAGTTCGTCCGGAGGTCGCCGTCGATCATCAATTAGCTCGCCATGACGACCGGGGTCTCTTACCTCTGCCAATTCAACGGCCGAGGGCCGTTCCACCACCACAGCAGCGAGGCTTTGCTCAGAACAATCCGGATGCCGAGCAGGGTCACGTTTTAGGTCAACCACGAGGTAATGATCAGCTTCAGCTGCCTCGCATCGATTTTCCTCAGTTTAGGGGTGATAATCCGAGGGATTGGATTCGGAAGTGTGAGAAGTTGTTCGACATTTATGTTGTTCCTGATGAGCAGAAGGTATGAATGGCTTCCATTTACTTTGATCGTCGTCAGATATTTGGTTTGAGGGATGGAAGGTCGAGCATAGGGATTGGATTTGGGAAGAATTTGTGAGGGATTTGTGTGCCCGCTTTGGTGATCGCGAATTTGACGGTATTGTGGAGGAGTTCAATAAGCTTCGTCAAAGAGGTTCGTTGTCTGACTATCAAGAGAAATTTGAGGAGCTGAAGTCACAGATGGTTCGGTATAATCCAGCTTTGGGGAAACAATATTTCATCTCCAGTTTCGTCAGTGGATTAGAGGAAGAACTTAGGCCGGTGATCAAGATGTGGCAGCCAGTGGCTTTAGCTCATGCGTTTCAGCTAGCACAGTTGGAAGAGACAGCAAATGAAGCTAAGCGAAGGAAATGGCGTCTGGGAATGGGCAATGGCATGCGTTCAGTTCCACCCGTGGTACATGGAATCAATCCTAATGCTCGGAAATGGGAAGGGCCTAGCGGCCGTCCTCAAAATTTGGGGAAAGAACAGGCATCTACTGGTAACAAACCGAACTATGCCAAAGGAGCTTGTTACAAATGTGGGGATAAGTACTATTTTGGTCATGTGTGTGATACTAAAAAGCAGCTAAATGTGATGCAGGCAGAAGAAGGGGAGATAGTGGCACCAGAAGATTGGAGTGTCATGGATGATGAGGATATGGATGAGGTCTTGAGGGATGACCAGCAGCAAGAAATAGTGGAGGTATGAATGCAAGTTCTGAGCAGTGGGGGCTTGTCTAATTCATTAATAGTAAAGGGTAAGGTAAAGAAGGAAAGGATATTTGTGCTAATCGACACTGGCAGTACACATACATTCTTGAGTGAAAGGAAAGCTATTGATCTGAAGTGTAAGTTGGTTCAGGCAGAGTCTCCTTTGAGGGTTAAGCTGGCTGATGGAACAATTCTGTTGAGCAATATGGTTTGTAAAGACTTTTGCTGGGAAATGCAGAACCACAAGTTCACATTCGATATGAGGATCTTGAGTCTGGGAACTAATGATGTGGTATTGGGTTCGAACTGGTTAAAAACTATTAGCCCAGTCAAATTTGATTTTATCAACCTACATTTGTTCTTTGACTGGGAAGGACAAGAAGTGTCTTTGCAAGGTGTGCAGGATATGGCTCAGTTCAAGGCTATCTCGGGGAAGACCCTACAGAAGATGATCAAGAAGACCACAGCTACACTGGTGGGACACCTGTTCAGCATCTCTGTGGAAACTGCCAATGCAGGTAAAGTTCCTGAGTTCTTGGAACCTGTAGTGAATGAATTTAGTGATGTGTTTGGGAAGCCTAAGTCACTGCCACCACCTAGACCTTGTGATCACACTATTCCCCTGATCCCAAATGCTCAACCTGTGAATCTTAGACCCTAGCGCTATTCAATACCACAGAAGAATGAAATGGATCGATTAGTTAAGGAAATGATGGACTCCCAGTATATACAGGACAGTAGAAGTCCTTATGCATCTTCTGTATTGCTGGTGCTCAAGAAGGATGGATCATGGAGGTTCTGTGTGGATTACAGGCAACTGAACTCGCTCACTATTAAAGACAAGTTTCCAATTCCAGTCATTGACGATCTATTGGATGAATTAAGAGGGTCCAAATTTTTCACCAAACTGGATTTATTGTCAGGATATCACCAGATCAGAATGCACCCTCAGGATCAACACAAGACAGCCTTTAGAACTCATCAGGGTCACTATGAATTCAGAGTGATGCCCTTTGGACTCACGAATGCCCCAGCAACCTTCCAAGCTCTTATGAACCAGATCTTTACTCCCCATTTGCGCAAATTTATTCTGGTCTTTTTTTATGATATTTTGGTATACAGTCCTGATCAGGACAGCCATAAGGAACATCTGGCTATCACACTGGGCATCCTCAGAGCTCATACCTTGTATGCTAAGCCCTCCAAATGTTCCTTTGGACAGACTCAAGTAGACTATCTTGGTCACATTATCAACCAAGAGGGAGTTTCAACTGATCCTGGTAAGGTGGAGGCTATGGTGGCCTGGCCAGTTCCTCAGAATATTAAAGCACTCAGAGGGTTTTTGGGCCTAACTGGATATTACAGGAAGTTTGTGAATAATTATAGCATTCTGGCTAAGCCTTTGACTGACTTGCTCAAGAGGGACAGTTTCAGGTGGTCTGCAGCAGCTCAGGGGGCTTTTGAAGTGTTGAAAACAACTATGGTACAGGCTCCAGTGTTAGCCCTGCCAGATTTCAGCCAACCTTTTGTGCTGGAAACTGATGCTAGTGATATAGGCATTGGAGCTGTGATATCCCAGGGAGGTAAGCCACTGGCTTATCACAGCCAAGCTCTTGGACCAAGGAAGTAGTGTCTTTCTACCTATGAAAAGGAATACCATGCAGTTCTGATTGCTGTAACTAAATGGAGGCATTACTTGGAAGGGCGCAGGTTTGTTATCATCACAGATCATGAAAGCTTAAAGCATCTGCTAGGTCAGAAGATTCACACCCAGATACAGAAAAGAGGTTAGTCAAGCTGCTGGGTTTGGACTTTGAGATCCAGTATCGACAGGGTAGATTCAATAAAGTGGCTGATGCTCTGTCTAGGCATCCCAAATTTACTAATCAAGGGTCCTGCCAGGCCATTTCAGCCACTCTACCTGCCTGGCTTGCTGAGACTGAAAGCACTTATGAGGGGGATTCTGGGGTACAGGAACTTATGATGGAGGCATCAGTCCCTATGGTAGTTCCAAAACTTTACTCAGTAAAGCAAGGCCTTTTGTACCATAAGGCTGCTTTGTATGTGGGAGTAGGTGGTGATATGAGGAAGCAGCTAATGCAGTTATTTCATGACTCACCTGTGGGAGGACACTCTGGGTTACAAGCTAACTATCAGAGGTTTAAGAGGTATTTTTGGTGGCCTGGACTCAAGAAAGACTTGAAGGAGTATGTTCAAGCTTGTGACATATGCCAGAGGTGTAAAACTGAGAATGTTCCTTACCCTGGCTTGCTGCAACCGCTGCCTATTCCAGATTAGGCTTGGAAACACATTTCCATGGACTTCATAGAGGGACTGCCTAAATCACAAGGTAAAGAGGTGGTGTTTGTGGTGGTTGACAGGTTCTCCAAATACAACCACTTCTTCAGTTTGGTTAAACCCTATAATGCTATCTCAGTGGCCCAGGTTTTCTTTGATGGCATCTTCAAATTACATGGGTTACCACAGACCATTGTGTCTGATAGGGATTCCCTGTTTACCAGCACTTTCTGGTCAACTTTGTTCCAGCTTCAAGGGGTCAAGTTGCATTACTCTACTGCCTATCACCCCCAGTCATATGGCCAAACTGAGAGGGTGAATCGTTGCTTGGAGGAATATTTGTGTGGCATGGTTCATCATCACCCTCAGCAGTGGGCTGGATGGTTGACTTTGGCTGAGTGGTGGTACAATACAAATTACCACTCCAGTCTGCAGGGTACACCCTTTGAAGCCTTATATGGTTATGCTCCTTTGCAATTCTCCCTCACCAATCCCCTCTCTACTGCTGTAGCAGCTGTGTCAGACAGACTCCAGCAACAGCATAAGCTCATGGGAGTGTTGCGAGCAAACTTGGCCAAGGCTCAGAATCGCCAGAAGCAAATGGCGGATGCTCATCAAACTGAGCGTTCATTTCAAGAAGGGGAGCGAGTGTATTTGAAGCTCAGACCTTACAGGCAGTCTTCTGTGGTTACCAGGTTGAATCAGAAGTTATCTCCGAAGTTTTATGGACCTTTTGAAATCGAAAGAAAGGTTGGAAGTGTGGCATATCGATTGAAACTGCCACAAGGGTCTGCTATACATCCAGTGTTTCATGTTTCTCTCTTGAAGAGTGCTCGTGGCCACCAGTATCACACACAACCTGCTCTTCCTGAGATGGATGATAATGGAGGATTGAAGGTGGAGCCAGCTTTGATTCTAGCCAGAAGGGTTGTAGCTAGAAGAAATGAAGCAGCTACACAGATACTTTTGCAATGGACACATCAAGCTAAGGAGGATGATACTTGGGAGTTCTTGGATGAGATCAAACAAAAATTTCCAGAATTCCAGACTTGAGGCCAAGTCATTTCTGAAGGAGAAGGGATTTGTAACACGTGGGACTTGAATGTAAAGAATAAAAGCTGTTAGTGGGGTTAGCAGAAGTACATGGACTAAATGGGATATTTGGCAAGTGTATATAATCCTTCCCTGTAACAACCTAACGGTCATCTGAGATTAATAACAAACTTTCCCTCTCTCACTTCTCTCTCTCTCTCTCTCTCTCTCTCTCTCTCTCTCTCTCTCTCTCTCTCTCTCTCTCTCTTCTCTTCTCTACTTTCCTCTTCTTCTTCTAGCTAATTCCACCGCCGGGAGACTTCACCGATCCAGAGCGTGACAGTAGGCAGCGGAGATGGGAGGAAAAAACGTTGAAAGAATAAAGAAGCTTCTATCTCTGGAGCCGGGGAGTTGAAGGACAGTGTCGCAGAACGGAACCCATTGCTCCATGCTTCGTGGCTTCCTCAGTTTACACATTTTTTTTTCTTTTTTTAAGAATTTTTCAATTTTTTTACATTAAAACTTTTTATTGAATGAAATCACTATTTCTGTGTCTGTCTGAACTTTGAAATTAGGGAGAGGTCAGTAATTCTATTATCAGTAATCATGAGTAACCTGTCCACATCAGCATGACATCAGTATCCTCTCTTTCCTAGAAAGTCTTTTATTTTTCCCCCTTTAATCTTTAATGGACGGTTTCTCTCTCGTTTTAAGTCAAAATTTAAATTTTTTTTCATAGATAAATCAGATTAAATGTGCTCTTTAAAATGATATTCACTTTGATATATTTTTAGTACAAAAAATTGAATAATTTTTTACCAGTCATTACCATATGGTATGCTCCAATTTAATACCATATGGTAAGAAAGCGTACCATGATGGTATGAACATACCAATATGGTAAGAAGGTTGAATACATGATAGTAGGAGTATATTAACTGTCATTTACAACTTTCATCATTGTTTACTACAAGTTACCACTCACATACCATAGTGGTAAAGTATGGTAATTTTTTATCCAGTATTTTTTTCACCCACAAATTTATAGATCCAATAGATCATGATGAACTCGTTCCTTCTGAGCAAACATTTTCAAAAACGACTTAAAAACGAAGAAGTTACCATATGGTATGTAGTTGTTAAAAAAAAGTTTCTCGAAATATATTGAAAATTGATCTCATTTTGTAGAGCACAACGAACTCGTTCCATCTGTGCAAAAAAAAAAATTGAAATCCGAGTTAGAACGACAAAGATAAGAACTGATTAAGAAAACTAGAGAAAATAAAATGACTTTAATTGACAACCCCTAGATCTGAATTTTCTGGACCCACTTAAATCTAAAGGTCCAGATTTAGTTACTCATAGGTTAGTAACCATTGGTTACTGACCCTATCCTAAGCCGTGAAAACAACCGTCGATCTCGGTGTCGATACCGATCCCGACAAGGAACTTTTAGGTAATCGACACCCGCTCGCTCACCATCATCTGTCTCATCCACGATCTATCCTTTCATCCATCCGTTATTATCATTCCTTGTGGTGCCTCCGCTGCCCGTCGTTCGTCGTGCCTATAGGCGCCTCCACTGGCAGCGACAGTGATATTGGGATATTTTTACGTTTCTCATTGGCTTATAATGTAACCATGAGTCTCTTCTTCGGCTTAGAAAACGAAGAGGTTGGGTTGAAAGCTACAGTGGCGGCAACGTCGGGGAACTCGTGAGTTTCTCCGCAACGGGGTCAAAAATTTGGGATGGGAAGGGAGTTGTTTGGTACAGTTTGAGGTTTGGAGAAGAAGACTGTGGTTGGTCGAAGGAAGGGAGAGAATTGAAGTGGTAGGGACGTCAACGGTGACGGTGGAGAGGAATCGCTTCTACTTCTGTCGCTGACCGCTGAAATTAGATGGAAATAAACATTTAAAGGAAAAGGACAGTTGTCGGTTTTGTATTGGGACCGCAACACACTTTTACCAATTTCCTCCAACACGGCGGCACCGCACCACCCCCTTGTATCCCATGTAATCCATTCATTCAGTGGCGTAGCCAGACTTTGAGTTCATTGGGGATTTAAAATTTAATAGCCTTAAAGCTTGTGTATCTAATGAATTTTGAGTTGATTGGATCCTTACAGACCTAACATGGACAAGAGTATGAGGTCATAAAGTTGAAGGATCATACTAAACCATACGTATCCAAAGGATTTTGTTGCCAACTCGGGTCCTATGACCCCTCTCCTTTAAGATTTTGTTGGAGTATCTTCCATCATTGTTCAAAATTTATGCAACAATTGTTTGTCTTGTAACACCCATAAAAGCTTACAATTAGTTAATTAAATGTCTAATATAAAAAATTCAAGAAAATTGACATATTAACTCCATTATTCTTGCCTTGGTTCTAAAGCTTCGTAGTGTAGAGAATGAAGGACTTAAGGTCTATTGCATGATGCAATGTTTTATATAAGGATATTTTGAAACTACTTACCAATAGGTTAGCTTTGGTTTTTCTTAAGGTAATAAGACTCTCACAATCAGCTTATGTAAAAGGGTGATCTACCAGTGGCACTGTGGCAATATCCTTATGGCCTCAGAATTGATAAAAGATTATCTTAAAGCTTCAGTAACCCGTAAATGTGTCGTGCAAATTGATCTTATGAAAGTGTTTAACTCAGTTAATTGGGTTTCCTTGTTTATAGTGATGTTAGCTATAGGATTCCCTGCAAGTTATGTTGATCTGGTCAGGGTATGTGTCACAACTCCAATGTTTAGTGTGTCTTTGAATGATGGTCTTTCTGGCTATTTTGTTGTTAGAAAAGGGGATCCTTTACCCTTTACCTATTCACCATTGCCATGGAGGTTTTCTTGTCTAATGCACAAAGTTGCCATTGAAAACCAAATTCACTACAACTCGAGATGCAAAACTCTTGGAACAAAGCATCTCTGTTTTGCTGATGATTTATTGGTGTTCACCAATGGTTTTATAAGAGCAGTAGTTGGGCCAGGAGGTTGTTAGATGATTTTTATAAAATCTCGGGTCTTAGATGTAATTTAGATAAATGTTAGCTTTTCTGTGGTGGTATTTCTAATGAGGAGAAGGAATTTATACATGCACATATTGGTTTCCCTCTTGGCAATCTGCTTGTCAGATATCTAGGAGTACCCCTTATTTCTGGCAAGCTCACTAGGGTTGATTGTCCAATGCTTGTTGATGAGATTACTGCACAGATTATGGGTTGGCAAGAAAAAACACCGAGTCATGCAGAAAGAATACAACTTATTACTTATGTGGTCTCAAGTGTTTTGCAGTTATGGATGGAAATTTTTGTACTTACAACTTCTTCTTTAAAGGATATTGAAGAGATTTGTAATAAATTGTTATAGAGGTGCGGGTTCTAGAACTCGAACTAAAGCTCTTGTTGTATGGAAGTATGCGATAATGCTAAAGACATGAGAAGGTTAGGAGTTAGAGACATCAAGACTTGGAAAAAAGCATGTGTTGTGAGGCACATGTGGGATATACTTGTAGGGAGTATATCTCTTTGGATTCCTTAAGTAAAAAGATACATACATACATACTACCCCAAAAAAAAAAGATACATACTTAAAACTAAGTCTGTCTAGAATATTACTCCTACCTTGACTATTTCTTGGGTATGGAATCGTATACTGAAGACCAGAGTTGTATCTAGAAGGTTGACTTTGCGTTCCCCGCCTTAATTAACAACTTATATTCGATCTATAGTGGAGTGTTTAGCAGCTTGCAGTATTTTAATATAAGGTTGAAGTTGAAAGTTTATGTGATAACTAGTAATCAGCCCGCGCTCCGCGGCGGGATAAGTTTGACTTTAGTAATTTTATGGATTATGAAACATTTTTTTATGTATATAATCTGAAAGTAGTTGAGATAGTTGTTTCACTCAGCAATGTAATTACATCATTGTTAGATAGAGCCCGTTCTAGGGCATTATTGAGCTTAGGGCGCGCTTTGCCTCGGGAAATGTCAATTTATGTCATCAGTGTACATGGGGACGTAGAATTGCGTGATCTAGCAGCCTACACCAAGCATCATTGTTGCTAAACCAAGAACGATAGCATAGAAGATTCATTATAGCAGAGTGCAAGAAAATGTACTGGGGATTTAGTTTGTCAAGGCAAAGATTGGAAAGGTAATGATTATACACCTGTGATTGATATTTGCAAGCTTGGTATACATTTGTGATTGATATTTGCAAGCTTTGTATACATTTCAAGCCACATGTTCAATTTCTCCGGGATTTAGAATAAATCGACAAAACTGGAAAGGTAATGATTATACACTTGTGATTGATATTTGCAAGCTTGGTATATATTCGTTGTTATCAATTTTAAGCCACAGAATTTCTGTAAAATTGTGACGTATAGTTGCACTGAGTTCCCTTGCACGCCTGAAGGTGGACAAAAAAAACTTGTAAGAGCAGTATGATGAGAAATTTAATTAGCCTGAATAGACGTATTAGTACAGAAGTGAAGTTGGTATGGGCAGAGTACATTCCGATGGATAACATATGAGCACAATTTTGGTAGAGACAAAAATACATGTACAATTGTTCGAAGTCTAACGATTTCAAGCCTTCTAACTGAAGAACTTATGATACAAACATAATTCAAATCAAATATTGGAAAGTCTAGAAATGGATCCGTGTACAGAAATACGCAAATGCAAACCTCATTATGAAACTGCAAGGTATCAAAAAATATAAGATTCAAATCAGCAATATAATAAAAGAAATCAGTCTAATGACATCCAAACACCATATTAACTTAAATAAAGCTTAAATGAGACCAATAAAGGGCCAGAAACTCAAATGATACTCATCAAAAGTTTCTTACGAAACTCAAATAAAAAAATATCAGTATAATCATTACCTTTCCATTCATTCCCTAGTAAACAGTGTCATAGAAACGGTGAGCATAGAAGAATCTGTCAATACTGCACAACATAGCCGAACAGTTCCATGTGCTTGCTTGCATTGTGCCATACCTGAAATCATTAACAGTAAACAGAAAGTGCCTAAGCATTAAATCCTATACACACGTATTGTCAAATAAAATAACTCAATCAAGCATATTAATAATGGTTAATGTAAAATTTTTGAATGAATTGCAAGAAGCTATCAGATTCCAGGCTGCAAGACAATCTGCAGTAGATTGAGACAACAATGTCTAACTTGCTTTTGAGCTGCTCTACCTCGCTATGAATAACGATAAAGAACAGAAGAGCAATCTCTATATTGTGCAATGCAAGATGCTACAGCCTTATGATCAGCTTGATCATTGATGGTTATGAACAACTATCAGATGCAACCAAACAAACACAAACAAAGTCATAGAAGAAAAGAGACAGGGGTTCGACATAGAGAATTTTTTCCAAAGAAAGATAAGAAACCACAACCATAACAGATCTTATAAGCAAAGAAGTAAGTCGGCAAAGATCCTACCCATGCTTCTGAGTTCAAGCTGAAAATACTGAGAAAGCACCCCAAGCACTCTTTGCTTTTTTCTGCTGCTGCAGGAGGTGACAGTAGAGAGATTGCTCATTACAAATCATTCGCCTCAATCATCATCATGTAACTGGAAAAATCAAGAACATTAAAATATGGTTAATCAGATAGCCTTAAAAACAGAAAAATGAAACGGAAGTATGAGAAAGGAAACTCCCTTTGAAAGACCATTGTGCCACATCAAAGAATCACCCACAATAGTTCATGAGTGTCTTGCACTGCAAAACTTCACCCACAACAAATCCATACACATAACATCAGAGTGGAAAGCCCAAAAGTTGTAATCTTCTTCCACTGCAGGCATGACCAAAAGCATACAAAAACTAAATTAAAAACCAATGATAAAAGAAGATATAAAAAACAAAAAGCAATGTATTAGATAGCCAAGAAGAGAACACCATTGTCCATTGCAAGAACATTACCTTGCCCAAATCTGCCCGATCTCTCTTATCTAATGCATATCTCGGGTTCATCTCTTCCCCATCATGTATTACACCAAGACTAGTGAAGTTACTGCAATCATATTCAAGGCAATTCCTACCTAGCATTGCTTTCTTCTTGGCCTCTGTACTGTCCTTTGTAAATCCACATGCCACCAAATCGCCATGCATTGCTTTCGATTTTACTTCTATGATCCTCACAGCAAGATCCTTCTCTTCTGACTGTAATAGCGACTTTGTGATCTCTTTCTCAATCAACTCCGTAAATTGAGAAGGACAATCCCAGGGAATCATCTTTGGCAGTAATTGATGAGCAGCGTCAGGAGAAAAGATCAATGGTCCCAATAATTTTGGAGTGCCTGAACTCAAGATATTAGGTTCTAGGGAATGCACAGGGGATAAGGAACACATGCATTAGTCATAATTTAGTGGTGATTCGCTCAGGTTTTTAATAGCAAGCTACCTTTTCATCCATCCATAATAAATTAGTTTATTCTCAAGATTCATCAAGGGTCCAGAGGGAAAACTAACACTTCAGCATAAATAGAAATGAAAATATCTACACATTACACAATCAGATTCAGTAAGAACACCAACAATGAAAGACCACAAAGTGGAACTGCTTGTCAATTTACCTGTTTTCCTGGATTGTTTACCTGTGCAGCTGGCTTCTTGCCTGTAGGTTTCGGTTGAGGTTTGGATCCATTTTTTTCGTCCTCTTTGTTCTCGTGGATCATCACTCCGTCCTTGAGATTGATGTCGAGAAATCGATTCTCCCATGGACGGACATCCATCCATCTCTCCAGACAGTTCCAACCCCAACTGCTCTTGTCTGGAACAAACCCGGAGGGGATAGCCTGCTGTCTGGAACCCGCCTGCCACTGTGAAAAAACATATTCAGTTCCTAGCGGCAAGAACGGGAAGTGTCCCATATAGAGCTCCAACAGAGTCAATCCCAAGCTCCAGACGTCGGCGGCGTAGCCGCGTAGTTCCCTCCGTACGAATCAGGATCGAATCGCTCGGGACTCATGTAGGCGCACGTCCCGACGTACGAATTGCAGGCATCGAGCGTCCGACACATGATTTTCCCGACCCCGAAGTCGGCGATTTTGACCTCCATCGCGGCGTTGACCAGTAAGTTCGACGGCTTGATGTCGCGGTGGATGATTTTCCGACCGTGGAGGTAGTCGAGCCCGGCGAGCACCTGGCGGGCGATTCCGGCGAGGATCGACTCCGTGAAGAACTCGGATCTCTCACTCTTGAGCAGCGAATCGAGCGTCCCGAGGTCCATGTACTCCATCAGAATCGTCATGTCGCCGGAGGGCATCTCGGCGACACCGTGGCAGCGGACGATGTGGGGGGAGTCGGAGGCGCGGCGGAGGATCTCTACCTCGCGGAGGAGATGGCGGCGGGCGGCAGGGTCGGAGTCTGCGCGGACGAGCTTGAGGGCGTGGATCTGGGAGGTGCGGCGGTGGCGGACCTTGTAGACGGTGCCGCCGTTGCCGTGGCCGAGGAAGGAGAGCTTATCTAGGTCGATCCCGGTTTGTTTTTTCCCGTAGGCTTCCCGGAGATGACGACTTCGAAGACTTCCAGCTCCCGGTGGATGGATCTGGAGTTTTTGCCGACCAGGCTCAACTGCTGCCAGTGGTCCATGTTGCGCAGTAGCTGGGCCTGGGGACACCGTGAAGAAGGCCTGCCTGAGAATGAACAGAAGATCCATTCCATAGAGTTCTCCCTGGTTGCGCACCAAAAACAGACGGAAAGAGAGGAAAATGCGAAATGCAAATTGGAAGGAGAAAGAAGAAGAGGATATCTGCAGTGCGGCAGTATTCATCTCGAGACCACCCACCCACAACGTAGCTCTCCCCTTTTGTCTCAGCAGGGTCAGGTCAATTCATCTCTGATTTCAGTCTCAATCGAGTGGTAAAAAGAGACATCTCAAAGAGAGATGGGAAGGAGATCAGCGAAAAGTGGCCTGCATTTGTGGGCAACGCGATTTTCATCGCAAACAACGCCTCCCGAGTGATCTTCCATGTGGAACTAAAAAGTGTTGATTTGACGGCGGCTCGGTACCCACAACAAATACCTGCAGCAAACAAAGCAGGATAAACAGCGGCGGGCCCAACTGCAGACCATGAACCAATCAGAGGAGGGTGAACAGTAATTTTGAGTCTAAATGAAAAGTAAATTGTGTCTAGGCGAACAGTGTACCGTGTCTTTGCAAATAACTTGTTCTAATAGAGTGAGAGTGTTGTCAGTATACTCTATTTGTAAGCGATACATTACATTAAAGGCTCTTAGAGCATAGTTGATTTTTTTTTATTGCGCGTAGAAAAAATTCCAATATCAATCATCTCATTTGAGAAAAATATATTTTAGTATTTAATGGGTGGTTATTATATTTTATAAATAATTGAAGTATAATTTCTATGGTAATTCAAATAAAGTTTGTGAACAATAATTATCAATGAATTGAGTCTATCACGATTGATATTTTTAATAGATTAAAAAAGCAATTGTTATTATATATATAATGTACATTAGTGACACAATAAGGTGATTTTGTGACCAATAACTCACCCGCCACCAATCCAAATTTCATAGGTTAAGAAAAACCCCCACAATCATCTATGCAAAGTCCAAACACATGGCATGAGTGATACTTGAGAGAACTCCAAATGAATTTAGTAGTTGAACCATCCATTTACTGATTTCCATCCCTAAATTAAACCAGTAAACCACAGTATGGATGAGGAATTGTAACGGATCAATTTGACACAATTGTCTCGTTTTGAGACAATTGTACCAAATTGTCTCGTTTGTCAGCAAAAAATTTGGATGGATCAATCTGCCTGAGGTATTTTGAATTGATCCGTTTTGAGTCAATTTCAATTACCTGGGGTGGGGCAGGTACTTCAAATTGACTCGTTTTAATTGTCTCGTTTATAAAACGAGGCAATTGATCAAATTGACTCATTCCTAAATTTATCCATCCAAACGACCGGGTCGTTTGGATGAGGAATTGTAACAGATCAATTTGACATAATTGTCTCGTTTTGAGATAATTGTATCAAATTGTTTCGTTTGCCAGCAAAAAATTTGGATGGATCAATCTGCCTGAGGTATTTTGAATTGATTCGTTTTGAGACAATTTCAATTACCTGAGTTGGGGGTAGGTAATTCGAATTGACTCGTTTTAATTGTCTCGTTTATAAAACGAGACAATTGATCCAATGACCAATTGACTCATTTCTAAATTGATCCATCCAAACGACTTAAGTAGACAGGGGAAGTGGAACAAAGAAACACCGCATTCCCTTTCATTTGATTTCCTTCTACTACTCAGTACAAAATCTGTCCCTATAAAAGAACTGCCTTTCAACTTTCCCCCTTTTACCATCTTCTCCACCGTTAAATCCTCCACAGCTCTAGTATCTCTCTCTCTCTCTCTCTCTCTCTCTCTCTCTCTGTCTGTCTCTCATCCCCATGGCGCTATCCAACAACCTAACCGCAATCCTAAACCTGATAGCCTTCCTCTGCTCCGTCCCCATAATCGCATCCGGAATCTGGCTCGCCTCCCAGCCGGACAACGAGTGCATCCACTTGATCCGGTGGCCGGTCGTCCTCCTCGGCCTCCTGGTCCTCGTCGTCTCCCTCACTGGATTCGTCGGCGCCTACTGGTACAAGGAGACGCTCCTCGCCTTCTACCTCTGCTGTATGGCCATCCTGATCGCGCTCCTCCTCATCCTCCTCGTCTTCGCCTTCGTCGTCACCCGCCCCGACGGCAGCTACGACGTCCCCGGCCGCGGATACAGGGAGTACCGGATCCAAGGGTTCTCGCCCTGGCTGCGGAATCACATCGTCAATTCGAAAAATTGGGGCGCCATTCGTGCTTGCCTCGCCGAGACCGACGTCTGCTCCAGATTGACGAGTAGGTACCTCTCGGCGGACCAGTTCTTCGCCGGCCACATCTCTCCCCTCCAGGTTAGTTCTATCTGCTCGTAAGCTAAAATCGAATTCGAATTAGATGAAAATCAGAGTCGTGAATTGGATAGGTAGATTTGGGGGGGAAAATCACGGTGACGGTGTGAATGGAACTTTCCTGAGAGTGTGCGCGTCAGTGCGCAATTCGAGGAAGCCTTAGAAAAATGAAAAATCACCATTCTGGGGTTTCCTTTTTTTTCTTACTGTAGTCAGTGATTTCTGGCGGTGACGAGATTTTTCTGGTCCTGCGGTAGGAAGGATCAGTGAATGTGCTTGGAATAGAATAGGACAGAGATGGGGCCAGTTTTAGTGGAATTTTCATTTTCGTTTGTCATCCCGATGTCGACTGAATAAGAAGGTACCATCGTCAATTCATCATAAGTTAGACAGACAGCCAAACATGGAGTGGACAACTATACCGAACCGAATTGTCCCTCAAGTTGAATATATTTTGATTTGGTTTCGATCTTATAAGTTATTAGCTTCGTACCCGCCCTTTTGGGCTGGGTGAGTTTCAATTTTGTTTTTATAATTTAAAATGATTTGAGAACTCTTCTCCATATCCATTATGAACACAATTTTCGGCACTTATTCCACAATTTAATTTTCTAAATTTTAATAATTTTTTATTCAAAAACGTCCAGCGATATTAGCGTTTTCCAATATACATCCAAGTTCTTTTGTGATATATGATAAACTTTTTATAGGTGAATAGCAAACTCATAACTAAAATCGTAATCTTTTGGGAAATTATGAAGAAAAAAAGTAATTTAATGTAAACTGAGATAACCAGCTAATTTTATTTCGCCTTTCTTTTCTTTGTTTCTCATTCTCCTTCTCAGGTTTATATGATGCAGATTGTCACCATAATTACTAAATTAAATTTGATAAAAAATTATGATTTTCTTTATGAGGTAGTTTGAATGATTTGTTATAACTTTTGATGAGGAATAATATAGATTTGAAATTATTTATGATCATTGATAAAATCAGTTTTAAATTAGTATTGTATATGTCTTTTATGTGAATACATGAATAATTATATCAATGGTTAACCAACGATCCTATAAAATTAACTGTTGAATTATAAATCACTAATTTTTCTCTTCAACATCTAACCCGGTTCGAGAAACAAAAGTTAAGAGAGAATCATCCGTTTCTTTCGGTAGTTGATAATGGCTTTTTTTATAATGGCTTTTCCAATGCTTATGAATTTGAATATTTTTTATTTATGCAAAATGTTGATCTGGTAATGGGGAAAATTCCATCCACCGAGAGTAAAATGTGGTAAAAATAATGGTGAGCGGGGAAATGTAATCGGCGGAATGTAGTGGCCTAATTTAAAAAAATCAGGCTAATTCCGAAAAACACGGACGTGGCTGCAAACCGTAAGTGGCACAGGGCAGTTTCTGAAAGTGCTTATATATTTTTAAAGATTTTAGAGTATGAAGGGGGAAAATACACTCAAATGAAATTTGAAATGAACAAGTCGAATTAGATGAACCAAACATATTTTAATTTGGTTCTAGTCTCAAGTTTTCTTTAATTTTTGTTAGATGATTATGTTTGGCTCGACTATTAGAAATGCTTTTATATTTAAAAAAAACTGAAGTCGAGTCAAACAACTCTATAAGCTAGGATTTTGAAAATGTGAAAAAAAAATTATTTTGAAAATACAAGATTATTCTCAACATTTTAAAAAAAATTATGAGAAGATAATTCTTTTGTTCATATAATTTTCAAAATAAAATATATCATAATATAATATAATAGAAATCCAACAAATCCATTTTGACTAATTTTTAATATTTGGAACTTTTACTCATTATTTATATTAAAATATTTTTATTTTATTTTACATGAGCTCTCGTACAATCCATAGTAATCGCGCATAGTAAACTTAAATTATAGAATTGACACGGGATGTATTAAATGGTTAAAAATTATGGAATGTATGATCTAACAACACTGGTTGAATGACCATCCTAATGTTTAAGATGATTGAACTCTTATACAACAAAATTTCCTAATACTAAATTAATAATTAATTTAGTTAATCCACTCGAATCGTTGAAAGAGAATGAAATATAGACTATCATCTTCTATTCAAATAGAGCAAATTTTCAAACTTTGATTTTGTGTCCGTCTCATTTGTCTAAATTTGGGATTGTAATGAGCCAACAAAAGGAGGCTAAGGCCATCTTCAAAGCTAGTCTCCAAATTTTGGGATTATCCCCATTTTTATCATTTTTTTTCTCCAATGGTACTATCTCTAAATTTGGGACCTTCCTTTTTTCTGGTTTTTCTTTACTAAAAAAAATGTACTTTTCATATTAATTCTAGTATAGTTCTTCATCATTTTTAAATACAAATTTTTGGATAGTATTTTTTTCTAAATCTGAGACCGAACGTTTTTTTTGGAAAAAGTGATTGACCTAATCTTTCTTTACGCACAATACTTGAAAATGATGAAGCTGAAAGGAGTTCACATAATAATTCAAATGATACAACTCAGAACACACGACACTTGATAATGATAAAACTTAAAGATAACGCACAACACTTGAAAATTATAACGGTTAAAGATTACATACAATACTTGAAATGATAAAGATGAAACACCTAACATGTCAATAATCGCCCAGAAGAGAAAAGTAATTCCCGTAATCTCCTCCTCCACTTTCATCTCCTACTCTGGTCTGACTTACGTTGGATGAATAGTTGGGAACAGAGTTGGGATCCTCATGATCATACCTAGGGGTGGGCATTTGGTCGGTTCGATTTCGACCGAACCGAAATTATGAATATCGGGTCCCCGAATTCTCCCAAACCTCAAACCAGTTTAAACTGAATTATAATTCGGTTCGGATCGATTTTTCACACAAAACCGAATTTGTGAAGCTACTTGTATTTTCTCGCTTTTAAATTATTTTTATCCCTAATATAAACAATAAATATCAATTATATGCATCATCAATGATAAAACCAAACTTTTCAACACATAAGTCTTAAAACATTTCAAACTTTTGAGTCTAAAAACAAATAGCGTTGATTTTTGAACTATCCATATTTTCCTTCCGAATTCCGAACCGAATAGCATTAATTCAGTTTCGGCTCGGTTTAATTCGGTCGGTTTGGGTTTACCGAACCGTTTGCCCACCCCTAATCATACCCTAGAAGCAATTTTTTTATTTCTCCGATACTTTCTCTTTCTTGGTATCAACTTCAACAAGTTCATTTCAAAAAGATCAATGTTTTCGCGTAATAGTGTCGCTTCCCTCTCTCTTTTCTCAAGTCCCCATTTTTCTTCCCTCTTCCTTTTCTCAAGATCCCACTTTTCTTCATCGCTCTTCGATTTTTTTTCTTGGAATTCCATTCTTTTTCGCTCACACTCAGCCCTTGAAGCATGCTTCGCCTTCAACTCACTTCCATAGTCCAGCAATTGAGCAGGTAGCTCTCTGATGGCTCAGCTACCCCCTTACCTTTCATCTTAGCCGCCTTCTGTTTGTCGCGTCTAGATATGACTAAGGGTGGAGTTTCTTCGTCTCCTGCTATGTCATCGAGGTCTATCAGTGGGGTTGATTGATAACCACGACCCATGGGAGAACCATCAGAACCTTGACTCTTGCGGCTTTGCTGTGAAGCTTGACTCATGGGATGAATGGAAGGCGACATTATTATCAGGGTATGAAACTTTTGACATTTTTTCAAGATCCGCCAACAATGACTAAGAGTCCAACCCTGGGCGCAAGTCTCACTTTTATACAACTATTCTGCCATATACTCCTATACATATTAATAAATGAGTTGGAAAGTGAGTTAGAAAATAGTACACACATACTAATGAATGAGTTAGAAAATAATAGTGATGGTGTCAGAGAATTCATACAACATCTTGTTGATTCGTGCCACTTGGTTGATTCCTCTTTGCCCTTTAGATAGTTGAATTCCAACACTTGCGCAATTTGCTAATGGTGCTCATTCGATTAACAATACTTTTGATTGTAAGAGCTATGTTTGGATCGTTCACTCGAAATTTCATGTCTATTCTATCCCAAAACTTTGATTGTCTTTGATTGACACTTACATCTCCATCTTATATCGTGACCCAAGAATTGCACAAGTACTTATGTTACTCTGTTTTCCAACCCTCTTCTCTCTTGCTTGTCATTGTTTGATTTTTAGAGAAAGAAAGATGATGGAAAGGATTGTGAGATTGACACCAAATTTCACTTCAGTAAGAATGAATTGTAGAGAGAGGAGAGGAAGTCTGAATATATAGAAACTTTTATGACCGTTAGATGTTACCGTTCGGATATGACCGTTAGATTGGACCGTTAGATATGTCTATTAGGTAGGACTGTTAGGTAAGGCTGTCGGGTAGCACATGTTAGGTAGGACTGTTAGGTAAGACACGTTTGGATATGTTCGTCTATAAATACAAATACCTCATTTGTTATCAATTCAATACTTGTCTGAAACTTCCTCCCATTTCTAAAACTAGGACATCTATCAACTTCTCCCCATTTCTAAAATAAACACATCCATCATGAGTTCCTCAGATTTCTCATCGCCTGGAGGAGAAGAAGAGATGGAAGAGTTATTATGTTTCACTACCATCGTTTGGCTTTAATCGGGCGGAGGCTTGAGGAAACTTTATCCTCACGTCATCGTTCAACAAGTCGCACTTAAATTGATCGTGAAATGGTCCCTCATTCCTAGTGCATGCAATCAATTGATCCAATCATACTAGTGAATCTGCGTTATGAGGCTTTACGAAGTAGGATCCTTAAATCAGCAAGAGTTGGTGCACGAAGGTATGTCGGCTCGTACATCCCCACTATGGCTCTGCAAAACTTCCTGAAGACTTCCAGTACAGTGCTCTGACACATACACACGTAGTCATCAAGTTGATCAACTGGAGAGTCATAAGCTAGCATGTGCAGTGCACTAGTAAGCTTTTGCTCCGACAATAGGTCTAAGTGACCAACGACATCACTCTTTCGTGCAAAAGAGGGATCATATCTCACAATGTCACCCATTATGCGATTGAATAGTCGTGGTTTCATCCAAAAATGCCTTCTTAATATGCAGGCATCGTATGTTGGATTTGGATTGAAGTCATCCTGCATAAGATGGTCATGACCTGGGACCCTTTCACGATCAATGAAGTGCGACTTGTTGAACGACGAGGTGAGGATGAAGTTTTCCTCAAGCCTCCGCTCGATTAAAGCCAAACAATGATAGTGAAACAGATTCAACTCTGTCATCTCTTCTTCTCCTCCAGACGATGAGAAATCTAAGGAACTCATTAATGGATGTGTTTGTTTTAGAAATGGTGAGAAGTTGATAGATGTGTGTGTGTTTTAGAAATGGGAGGAAGTTTCAGACCAGTATTGAATGGATGACCAATGAGGGATTTGTATTTATGGACGAACATATCCAAATGTGTCTTACCTAACATTCATACCTAACATGTGCTACCTAACTGCCTTCCCTACCGGTCATATCCTAATGGTAACATCTAACGGTCATATCTAACGGGCATTAAATTTTCTATATATTCAGACATCCTCTACACTCTCTACAATTCATTCTTACTGAAGTGCACCATCCTTCCTATCATCTTTCATTATCTAAAAACCAAATAATGACTAGTAAGAGAGGAGAGGTTGGAAAGCGGAGGAAGATAAGAACTTGTGCAATTCTTGAGTCACGATATCAGAAGATGGAGTTGTAGGCGTCAATCAAATTTTTGGGATAGAGTGGACATGCAATTTCAATTGAACGGTCCAAACACAACTCGTACTATCAAAAGCATGGTTAATCGAATGTGTATCATCAGCAAATTGTGCAAGTGTGGAGTTTAGCTATCCAAAGGGCAGAGAGGAATCAACAAGATGTGGTATGAATTCTCTAACACCATCATTGTTATTTTCTAACTCATTCATTAGTATGTGTGTTATATTTTCTAACTCATTTTCCAACTCATTCATTAGTACGTATAAGAGTATATGAATAGCTGGATAAAGTGAGACTTGCGCCTAGGGTTGGACTCTTAATCATTGTTGGCGGATCTTGAAAAAATGTCAAAAATTTCATACCCTGATAACAATGTCGTCTTCCATTCATCCCATGAGTCAAGCTTCACAGCAAAGCCGCAAGAGTCAAGGTTCTAATGGTTCTCCAATGGGTCGTGGTTATCAATCAACCCCACTGACAGACCTCAATGACATAGCAAGAGACGAAGAAACTCCACCCTTCGTCATATCTCACCCTGCTAGAAGCGACAAACAGAAAGTTGCTAAGAAGAAAGGAAAGAGGGTTGTTGAGTCATCAGAGAGCTACACTGCTCAATTGCTGGACTGTGGAAGTGAGTTGAAGCAGAGGCAAGCTTCGAGGGAGGGAATTCAAAGAAAAAAAAATCGAAGCGTGAAGAAAAAAGTGGGATCTTGAGAAAAGGGAGAGGGAAGAAAAGTGGGAACTTGAGAAAAGAGAGAGGGAAGAAAAGTCGGAAAACATTGATCTTCTTGAAAGGGACTTGTCGAAGTTGACACGAAGAAAAAGAAAGTATTGGAGAAATAACAAAACGTGCTTTTAGGGTATGATCAAGATGATCCCAATTGTGTTCCCAACCATTTATCCAACGCAAGTTAGACTGGAGGAGGAGATGGAAGTGGAGGAGGAGATTACGAGAATTATTATTCTCTTATGGGCGATTATTGACATATTATGTGTTTTATCTTTATCATTTCAAGTGCGGTGTGTAATCTTGAACCTTTATTATTTTCCAGTGGTGTGTGTAATCTTTAACCTTTATCATTATCAAGTGTTGTGTGTAACCTCTGAGTTGTATCATTTGAATTCTTATGTGAACTCTTTCAGCTTTATCGTTATTAAGTGTTGTGTGTAAAGAAAAATTAGATCAATCATTTTTTGCCAAAAAAAATTGTCTCGGAACTTGGGAAAATTCTACATGAAATTTTGTATTAAAAATAATGACAAACTATACAAAAATTTACATGGCCTTAATTCGCCACGTTAGAGTTGGAAATTCGCCATTAATGACGACATCACAAAACTTTGGGACTCCATTGGAGTCAGCCTAATGGAATAATGTGTCACCTTCCCAAGGAAAATAGAATGGATTGGCAACTAGCACATTTTCACAATCCACTGCTTGTTGCAAATCATGGAAACTTCAGAGGCTCGGACTAAACTAAAAAGTGAATTGTCGTCGTAATATACTAGTAGCATAGTTTTGTTTTGGTTTGTAATTTGGTAAACTGAAGTTTTTCGACGATTCTAGCGATTGTTGGTTAGAACGAGTTGAATAATACGACGACAATTACAGGTTAAAAAACGAAGTCCTTTTCTTTTTCTCCTCTATGTTTTTTAATGATATACTAGATATGTCTTCATGCTTGTGCTTTGTGGCGAGTGAAAGATAGCATTGTAAATATGTCGTATGAAAGAGTTAGTAAAATATAACTCATACGAAATAACTTTAAGAACGACAAGAAAAACATTAAAATATTATGGTGAGGTTTGTAATAATTTGCTATCGCTGGCCATTGAAGTTATGAATTAGAAAAAGACGATCTACATATTTGGAGCTAGAAAATTTTTAAATTTATGAAGTTCGAGCATTTAAAATGGAAAAGAACAAAGAGAAAAATGACGGACGAATATAGCATCTGGTTCTATTGGTTCTGGTGCCACTTTCGCCATTTTAACAGAGAACTAGAAAGAGATGACTAAAAATGTCAAACCAAATTTGAACAAATTGATTGATTTCAGCACCAAAAGTCCAAAACAACAAAAAATATACATACTAAGCTATGTAAAATTAGGATTAAAAAAAAAATGGAAAAAGATGTAAGAATGAAAAATAAACTAATTAAACATAAAAGTAAAAGTAAAAGGATATAATTAAAAGAACTCACATAACCATATAACAAATGACCTTGAAGTTATAGTTATTTACAAAAATTCCACTTAACAATTTACATCAATGCAATTGTAAAAGCAATTGCATTTTTGCCCTTTTTCGCCACCTTAGTTTTTTTTGCAGTTCTACTCACATTACTTTCATTTACATACATCAATGCAATTAACCAGCAATCACATATGCGAGTACAACTTATTTTTTAATAAAATAAAAAGATTTACATCATTATAATTTTATGCATACATGAAATAAATAAATAAATCCATGAATGCCTACAGAAGAGTTGCAAGAAATGGTAGCGCTTGCATTGTTGCGATTGAATATTGTATAATAAACTCTAACTCTAAACTATGAATTTTATATAAGAAATTGCTGCTTTCCTATATTTGCAACATGCAGTCGGGTTGCTGCAAGCCACCAACGGCATGCGGGTACAGCTACGTGAACCCGACCCTGTGGGAGAATCCGGCGAACCCGACGGCCGACCCAGACTGCTACAACTGGAGCAACGACCAGAACCAGCTGTGCTACAACTGCAACTCCTGCCGCGCCGGGCTGCTGGGGAACCTGAGGAAAGAGTGGAGGAAAGCCAACACCTTCCTCATCGTCGCCGCCGTGGTGCTCATCGTCGTCTACGTGGTTGGCTGCTGCGCTTTCAAGAACGCCCAGACTGAAGACCTCTTCGCCCGTTACAAGCAAGGCTGGGCCTGAACTTTTAGCTAGGGTTTGCCCAAAACTTCAGTAGTGTATTTGTAAGGTAATGTGTAATTCCATTTCCCACTAGCAATATTTTTTTAGGCTTCTTGCAATACAAGATTCCTGCTTGCTCTATGTAGTAAATCATGATGTGACTGAGACTGACTGATGCTTGCAGTTTGAGAACTCTAGAACCAATAAGCTCAATGGACAAGCACTCACAACAATATAACCCTTCAACTCTGAGAAATGAAAGCAGGTCCGTAGAGAGTAGATACATTCATACCATGAAAACACAAGTGACCAGCTTGAGGAACTGACGAACCTAGCTAGTTAAGCCGTCCATTATAATTAATTACTCTTCAGAAACTTGCAAGTAATCCTGGAAATGCTGCCCCGTCTAAGCTTCTATCGAGGCCTTTCTCGAGAAGACAATGTACATTGGATCTGATCGTCCGGGGTTAGGAGATATATCCACAGCCTGCAACCCCAATCCCCATACACAACTTAGTGAAGAGTATATAGAAGAAAACCAAGCCTGTGAATTGTGACCATATCCTCCCTAGCCCTGGCCTTTCAAGGACACAAAACAAAGCAAAGCAAACAGCACAATCACCTGAGGCGGTTCGAATCCTCCAGCATAATGGAAGTATGACCCAACAATCATAACATGGTCAGCATCCCCGGTAGATGTCCATATTGAGATTGCTTTCGTGAAAAAGCAGCGGTTAGAAAAGCTGGAAAACGCGAAAAATGGTTGACATAAGAGACCGGTAAACAGAGCAGAAGGGGTGTTCAGATGAAGCTAGCAAGACAAAATGACATTGCCATCAGTTATTTCTATGAGCATGAACACAGCATGTGAGCCTGAAATAGGTTTCTGGCGCTTGTTGCTACAGCTGACATGAAGAAGCTAAGGAAGAGCTTGAAGCTGTAAGTATACACCAATTCCCATCCAGAGAAAAAGAACTTGCCTCATTATGGCTAGACCCCCTGGCTTCAATATGCGGCTCATCTCCTTGAATACATCGAGTGGTTTGGTCAGGTAATCCACACTGACCTGTTTGTCAAACGTGTACCCCATTAACAATAATATTATTCAGTTCTCTCGGCTCAAGGAATTAAGTAGTAGTTCAAATGTGCAAAGAAATAGAGTTGACATACCACATTAGTTATGACGTCAAAGGAATTGTCATCAAATGGGAGTTTCGGTTCCACATTCAAGTCTTGCACAATGTACTCTGTCAGAATCTAACAAGGATTGAAGAAGAAAACCACGATCAGTAAGTGTTTGGAGGCCTTTGACATAAATAGAGAAAACTAATCAAACACTTGAAAGAGATTAAGAGAAAGTAAGTTCTACAGGATTCCGCTTGAGCTCTTCTTCATTCATTCCCATCCCAACTATACGATCTTGCTTGTATCCTTTGGGGTAATGGCTGACCTAAACACAAAATTATGACAAAGATTCTGTTAATGCATGCAGAACAGATAACTCAGAATGTGGGATGTTACAGGCAGGAGAGTTTCTTACCCAACTGCTACACATGTCCAGGATGCTTACACCCGGAGTATTGCTAGGAGGGAGAACCTCCGAGTAATACTTTGTTAGTGCAGCAATGGCCGGGTCATCGATATGTGTAACAAACCGTGGGGCATCATAGAACACCGAATCTGATGACCTGAGTGCGGGAGTTTTGGAGTTTAGACATCAGCTTCTTGAAATCAGATGACTAAACCAAAGGAAAGCTGATAGGAGTTACACTTTGCAGTTTGCATTACTGCATAGGAGATGAGAACTCAAGGGACCAAAGCAAACGAAGGTTCCAGATAAGCATACAACGAAATGCAACAGAACCAGCATGCTGTCAACTAGTTGAAACTTGCAACTGAAGACAGAAAGTGTAGCTTTTGGAGGGCTTACTCATCAAATCTCTGAAAATCTTCCTCCTTGAATGGGAATTGTTCCGGCCAATCAACATTCTTCAAAACCTATTTAGATAAGTGGTAGAAAGGATCAAACACCAAGAGCATGTCAAAAGTAGTGCATAGTTCATAGCAGAAATGCACTCGAGCCCTTTGGGTAGTCCAAACCCTCAACCCAATCCTGGAAATATCTCCCAAGTCACCCCATCAAGTCAATTACACTGACTCTCCATACAGCTACATGCCTACATGATATCCCAACCATAAATTACCTTGATTTGAACACCATAATGAGTCTAATCCTAACTACCCAGATGGTAAAATTTCGGAAACTCGGACTCCCATTCATTAGTTTATCCCAATCAATGAAGCAGTTCTGGAATTACAAGTGTTCAGAACCAAAATTTAGCAAATAAACGAGCAAAGCAAAGCAGAGGAGATGAAAAGTTTACTTCTTCGACGGCACCCTTCTGCCTCGCGGAGGCAACGAAACGCTTGCCGCCAAATTCACCATCCATGCCCACAAACAGCGACAGGAACGAAGCACCTCCCACCCCTATCACCAGCCTCCGTCGTGCAGTAGCAAATCTACTGCCGTTTAACTTCGCCTGCGCTTTCGAAAACCCACCACAAGCACAAGCACCAGCGGGAACCCAGAAGCTGGGACGAGTACCAGAAGTGCGATGAACCGCAACAGCTAGAATCGGTGTCTTTGGATTATGTAAAAGTCCAAAGCGAAATGCCATTTCTGGGTTTAAAAAATGGGGAAAGTTCGTTATAGTAATATTTACTATTGTTAAGTTTTAGAACGTTGCTGTTGCAGACGTAGCAGCTGCAGATTGGATGTGGTTCATTCATGGAGGATTGGTGAGTGCCTCGCCACCGTGCTTCGTTTTCCATCTCCTGATGCTGTCGGACTGTTAGGTGGGCTGTTCGAGTGAATTTTGGGCTCCCTACGTGGGCTCGCTTCGCATATTAGAATCCATGCCCTCTCTACGCCAAGGTTGTCAATACCGCCTTAGCTTGGAAAAGAAAATTTCAATGGAAAAGAAGATGAAAGGTGACCAACTGACCATCCATATTTCTCCTTGTGTGTGAGAGTGAGACTGCTGATAAGTAGTCCCTAATTGGCCCTTAGTAGCACCAAACAATAAATTTAAACATATATACCATTCTCGTAAAGAAATTCAGAGTCCGAGAATCTTTAAAACCCAACAGTCAACAAGTGCTACTAAAATCCGTTACCAGCGCTGTAGTTCCCAGCAAACATACAGCAGCCACATTTCTGTTAGCTTTCTTGGTCCTAGATAAGGCAAGCATTTGTGTTTTGTCGCTGCAACTTGGAGCACAATCAACTTACACATAAACTACTACAAGACCCCGTACGAGAATGTCAGCATTTTACACAAAGAAGTTTTTTCCCCCTGCATGTACTTAAACTCAGCAAAGTCTGGTGTCAAACTTGAGACTGATCCCCATGCTGAAGAGCTCCTGGGACAACAGCTTAGCTCCATAGGGGATATTCACCTTGACAATGTCGTCGACGGATTCACAGACACGGCAGTAAGGGCCCCTGACCTTGCGCCCACCGGGGACAGATCGCTGAATCACATTGGCGATGTTCTTGCAGTTCTGGCAGATGTGCAGCTGGGAGGAATCGCTGAGCGTGTAGAGCCGCTCGTAGAGGTTTGCTGATGCACCGTGGGCTATCAGGCAGTCACGCTCCATCTCGCCGAACTTGATCCCACCAAAGCGTTTGCGATCTGCAACCGGCTGCCTGGTGAGAGGGTGAACAGGCCCCGTGTTTCGGAACTTGACCTTGTCCTCGGCCATGTGGATCAGCCGCTGGTAGAAGGTCGGGCCCATGAACACCAGTGAATCGACCATTTCTCCGGTTCGACCGTTGTATAGCCTCTCGTTTCCCCATCTAGAAAATCCAGCCCTGTTTTTGCAAGAAGATATGAGAATCGCTGCTCTCAGTCAATTAAAACTGTAAATGTGAGCAAGCACAAAGCAAACATGGACAATTTCTCAATCAAATACGCTGGTCCGACTTCTAACATTCACCTCTGTAATCGAATTTAACATTGATGCAGACCCCACTTTACTATTGTCTCTTCTATACTTACAGTTCTAGCCTTGTAATAAAACTCCAAAAGCTTGTGGGGTCATTTAGTCAATTCACACATAATTCATCTATTCTAAGAAGTCAAAAAGTTGCAGGACCACCCAATCATTCCACGACCATTTACGTATTTTAATAATCTCACAGATACACCTTCATCAACTATTGACTCAAATGGAACAGGGTCTACAACAAGAATGCATAAAACCAGAACTTAAGTTTGAGGAAGTAATTAGTATTTGTCACCTGTGTAGCTGGTCTGTGATGGACTCAACCGAGACAGTGGAGAAAGGAGTTGCATATCTCATCGTACCACCGGAAGCAATCCCTTTCGCCAGAGCAGCCTCCAAGAGTTGGCCAGGAGTTTGACGTGAAGGAAATGCATGTGGATTTATGACCATATCAGGCACTATTCCTTGTATTGTGAAGGGGAAGTTCTCCTGAGACTCTATGAAGCCTAGAACACCCTTCTGCCCGTGCATGCTTGAAAACTTGTCTCCTAGTGTTGGAGACCGGACCTGCAGAAAGTCGGGATACATAGAAAGTGAATCAGCAGGAAAGGACAGCCATACAAATAAGCAAGAGAATCCATCAAGGATTGTTCTCACAGTAACAAAACCTCTAATGCTTCATGCAGGCAGCGAACATTCTCACAAATACTTGAAATAATATCCTCTAGACAGTTATGGTTTACCTGTCTCAATGATACCACAGCAAAGTTCTTTCCCTCGTCATTAGCAGACAAAACCACCTTCTGGACCTTGCCTCTTTCAGTGTGCTTCAATTTGATACTGTAATCAGCTCCAGACTCACCGCATTTCCCCACAACAATATCCCCACTCTGTAGATCTGCTCCAATTGAGGGGAAACCATCATCATCGAGACTATCAACTCGACCAATCTTGCTCTGTATCTTCCCAAAATGAACAGGGTCATCAGACTTTCTTCTTTTTTCCTCCTTGTTATCAACCTCAGCCTTGTAACTCCTGATGTGCTCGGTTCGGAACATCCCACGCTGTAGAGAAGCCTGGTTCATCACCAAGGAATCCTCTTGATTGTACCCCAGATGAACATTTACTGCCACTATACAGTTCTGGCCATTGAAAAACTCAGGCCTGGGAAGAATTCCATTGTGGCCAAGTGGATACCATGGTTTCCCTAGACAGTCAGAAGTGGTGGTTCTGAAAAGAGGCCTTTGAGGGTAAAACAGCTTATGAGAAAGTGTATCAACTCTGATGTTGGGGTTTGTAGTCGAGAAACCAATAGCTTGTTGGCAATGCTTTTGCGACTGATACAGTACTCGCCTTGCATGGTCGTGATTTGCAAAAGGGACGATTCCACAACTCAAACCCAACAGGAATGACATGTCGAGTTCACAGTGTGTGTACTTCGCAGCATGCTTCCCATCACAGGACCTTAAGAGATTTTTTATGCTCCAAGCTGTAGAGCAATCCTCTTCCTCTTCAGTCCCAATGAACTCAATGACGCCATCGTCCAAAAGGGATTGGAACGTGTACGTCTCCCCTTTCGATGATCTTATCTTTGCTAAGTTCTCAACAACAATTAGAGGACGCAGAATCCTTCCAGCATCGGAAAAGATACGCACTTCTTTCTGCTGCTCATCCCTTTTAATTTCCACCTACAAGGAAAAAAGCATGGGATAAAATTGATTGCCTGGCAGAAATCTGAAAAGGGTTATAAGAATGATTTAAAAAGTACCTGATGTGGCAGCCTTCCTTTCCGACGCATGCGCCTTAACTTTCTCACTAGCAAATGAGGAGTTCCACTAACTCCTACCCATTCCCCATTCAGAAACACTTTTTCATTTCCATCCAGTCTAGTATAAGTACCTTCAGCAAGTCTATCCATCCCAAAGTTAGTTAACTTGTCAATTAAAGGAGTTGTTATGGTTGTGCTGACAACACCTGTGATGGATAGATTCTTTACAAGACCACAGTTTTCACCATCAGGAGTGGAGAGAAAGCAAACTCTACCCCAGTGAGAAGGGTGCCTGCATCCAAATAATTTGATATTAAATCCACAGGTTACCAATTGTCACACAGACCTTAGTCCAAGTCTATATGTATTCTTCACTGCTCACATTCTACTGTAAGATGCTTAGAAGTAGAAAGCAAGAAACCAGGACTTAGCATCAAACCAAACTGATAGGTAAAGAAAATGCATGGATAAACTAATTATATCACTAACCAACCACGCCTGATTTCTCAGCATCAAAGCATGATTTGGACAAAAACTAAGTTCATTATCTGCTAGTCAATGACTCATATCTAACTTAGCATTTACTGTTAAGTACAAACTATGGAGCGAAAAATAGGGAATCAATCCAACTACCGACAAGAGTATCAAGGAACTGGATAATCTACAATGAATGTCCATTAAACCTTTCCATTCTTCAAATGCGAAATATATAACAAGAAATCTAACACCCAATTGCCAAACTGCAAACCGACTCCCAAGTGACAGCCTAGATATTCCAGCTCCTTCAGATATAGGGCAGTAAAAGTGCATCAAATAACGAATCAAACAATTGATGTAAGAGATGAAGACTCCAATTGGCAGGCAGTTGTAGTCCTGCTTGCGGTGTAATCATGCAAGCCTTAAAGTGCATCAAATAACGAATCAAACAATTGATGCTTCAGTTTTTGGCTGCTCAACAATAAGCTCAGTAGGACACATGAAAAAAGTTACCACTAGGTTTTCAGAGACTTACGGGTATCTAGCATCTCCAACTTTCCCAGTGTACAAGACCTGCTGGCGAGTCCTTCGCAAATCAATCATCGTTTGCAATGGATTTGTGCGGCCAAGGTTCGCCACAACACCTGAAACTCTCTCCATTTTCTTCCAAGGATGGCACCATGCTCCAGTGGAGAATGCTCTTGACAAACCATTGGTTATAACAGAAGGATCCAGGTAAAAAGCAACTGGTTGGATAGGTCGACCATCATCAAGGGACTTCTGCAGGGTCTTCTTCATACGTTTCTGAGCATTTGATATGTGAGCTTTCAACTCTCTCTCAAGCAACTCCCCTGCCAACTCAATCCTTTTGTTTCTGAAACTATCCCTATTATCCGATTTCCTCTGACCAGTAGAGGCCAGTAATAGGCACTTCACCATATACCCTAGAAATTGAGCCTTTTGGGTAGGATGTTGCAGATTTGGAAAAAGATACATGCTGATACATTCCTCCATGCGCTCAGTAGGTGGGAATTGGGTCTTGTGTATACTTTCATCAACATATTCCAGTGCTTTTCTCCCCCTGCGGAACCCCTCAAATTTCTCGGCTTCCTGAATTGAGGCAAAGAGTATATTGACAACGTTTGGGTCATTGTTGTCATAATCTATCAGATCCACAACTTCTTTGTCAGATCTGACACCGAGGGCAAAGAACAAGACCCACAAGGGCACTTCAGTTGACAAGAAATACACCATAAGAACTTTCTTTTCTCCTTTGATTTCCTCACCTCTACTGAGACCAGCTATTCTAACAATCAGCCTGTGCCTCTTAACCTCTGATTTGTATGCTACGGTCCATGTGGGACTACTCACAAGCCAAAGCCTCTTCATGCATATTTGCTCTTGAGCAATGAAAACCTGTAATGTGGAGAAATGTATAAAAACATTAGTAGAATGAACAGAAAGAATGACCACACAACTTTACAGATTGGTAGCTTAAAAAAAACAGACCCAACTAGAAAAAGAAACATAAACTCACTTTCTCAGCACCCTTTATCACAAAGTAGCCTCCCTGATCGAAATCACAATCAAGTTTTTCGTCTGTCTTCATCCAGCACAGATCAGACTTCACCATCACAGGAAGACTCCCTATTACAATCTCTTCAGTCTCATTGTTTTGTATCACTTTCTCAAGGATTTTGTCCTTCCCCGTCTTGAACTTGTCACTTCCAATAAGCTTTGGCGTGTACACCTGATATAATTGCAAAGTACAAAAAATACATGTTAGAAATTTCCAAGATAGGCAGGGAAATGGTCTGCAATCAAGGTATTCTCAGTAATTAGATCTGATTTTCTTTTCTAGAGTTTGCATCAAGGGGAGAAATGATACCGTCAAATGGATATCACATAACAGAGGACAAGGCAATACAAGAAAAAAATAATTTTGCCTCTCTCTCTCTCTCTCTCTCTCTCTCTCTCTCTCTAGACGCTCATTCAATTCATCAGGAAGCTAGTAACTCAAAGTGACTAGCAGAACCATATTTAAACCTATTTAATATATAATGCTGCTCTTGATTGGAACAATTAATCATTTCCCAAATCTGTCAAACACCAATCCTACAACCAGAAGATATAAACTTGTGGGCTTCACTAAACACAAGCAAAATCCAACTCCAAATTTGATGAAATTGAAGCTTAGGAATGCTATGTTCATGCAGCAAATTCCTCCACAAACCAGCAGCACATTGGCCTCTTTCTAAGACTTGAATTGAATGCAGGAAAAAAAGTGACAAACTAGTAGCCAAAATTTAAAAAAGGTCTGCACTTGTAAATCAATAGCAACAAACAGCAGTTGAACAGAAATCAGAAGTTCCACTTACCTGGAAAGTGACTTCCACTTTGATCCTTGCAGCATAGGTCATGTTCTGTAGGCGTGCATCTCTAGGGAGGAGCTTGCGCTCCGTCTTCTCTGAATCCGATTCAGCCCAAAAGGTCGGCTTTTCAACGGTAACCTTTCCGAACTTCACCGAAGCATGCCTCCACTCACCATCTCCCCTCTTGGAAGGGTCATATCCCGGCTCAATCAGAATCTCACCAAAGGAATCAAAAACCCGTTGCAGACCATTGCTGACGAAGTCATTGTACGAGTTGATTTGGTGACTGATGAGACCGTACTCATTGAAAAACTGGGTTGCTGCCTTCCTACAGAAGTTCGTCAAGTTCACTTCCCCTATCTCCTTTAACTTCTGCATGTTCTCCCCTCCATTATCATCATCATCATCGTCGTCGTCGTCAAATAGATCATCAATATCAAACCGCTCAAACCTCTCAGGAGCCTTCTCATTTCTACTGCTTGTCCCCACATCTTCTTCCATGAAATCTGGTGAGTCCATACTTTTACTGAAAAGTGGAAAGGAAAAATCAGGGGAACTTCAACAGAAACCCATTAAAAGCATGTATTTCGTTGAAATGATTATGGGTAACAACACATGCAAACGATCGAAACAGCTGAAAGGAAACAGAAACCCTATGAACAAACAAATGCCATGCCGTTGTTTCAACTTCGGAGGCAAAAATGAAAAATCATACCTAGCAGCCCAAACACGTCAGAGTCACGATTTTCCTAACACGACAGGAGGAAGAAGCTAACAAGACATGCAAACCCGATCAAAAACAGCTGAAAGAAAACAGAAATCCTATAAACAAACAAATGCAGTTTCTTGGCTTCAATTCCGGAGAAGGAAATCCTACCCAGTAACTCAAATACGCTAAAGTTGCGATTTTGCTAACAAGAGAGGCGAAAGAAGGCAGGGAACTCACCTGGGTCAGTCAGTCAGTCAGTAGTCACTAAACCCTAAACCTTTGGACCCTTTTTCTGACTCGTTAGATCGCTTTAGAGAGTCTCCGGTGGGGGGGAAATCCTTGAGCCCGACGGCTGGCTTCACAATGCGAGACTGATTCTGCGTGTGATGATACTATAGTCTTCGCGCAGGCTTTAGACCGAGGAAGAAATCTAAAAAGAAGGCACTGATGGAGTGACAGTGATAATACTGTGGGTAATTAGCATAAATGGTCACAAACCTTTTCACTTAGTACAAAACAGTCACAAACTTTTAATTTATAATCATTTGAAAACAAAACTTTTTCACTTGGAACAAAACGGTCACAAATTAAACAGTGTGACCATTTCATACCAGTTCAAACTTTTGTTACCGTGTCGTTGCAAATTAGACTTTTGGTGACCGTTTTGTACAAATTAAGTTCAAAAGTTTGAACGCTCAATCAACGTTACTATTCACACTAGTTGTATGGTGGTTTTGTTAATGTATGTGAATGATATTATGTTGTTTAGGATGACAATGAGAGAATTCAATGGCTCACAAACGGGTTCCAGACTGCTTTTTAGTTGAAAAAACTATGTCTACTTCTTACTTTCTTGGTATCGAAATTGAAAAGTCAACTGAGGGCATTCTTATTCGGCAAAGCAAATATGTCGATGAACACATGACCTGACATCTTATATGTCGTTCAAGTGGTTAGTCTCATATACTTAACGAACAAACTACCCGACCTCAAAACATGACAAACATTTAATTTGTAACGATTCGGTAACAAACCTGCACTTAAAACAAAACGGTCATAAATCAAATAGCGGTGACCATTTTATACAATTTCAAAGTTTTGTTACCGTATTGTTACAAATTAAAAGTTTGTGACCATTTTGTACTAAGTGCAAAGGTTTGTTACCATTTATGCTAATTACCCATAATACTGTAATTTCCGGCAGAAAAATGAGTTTTACTTCAGCAAAAAACTGTTAAACAAATGGCACTGGTATTGTCAGGCTTAGGAGAGAAGAGAAAACAAAAAATAAATAGCAGTAGCCAGTAAGTAAGGTCATGGACTCATGGTGCCGGCCAGTTGAATCGGTCATGGCCGGCATCAACATATATAAATGAATTTATGAGTTTTAAGCAAAATGATATAGTTTTAATAAATTTAATTAATAAAAATAGATATATTATTTATTTTATCAATATAAAAATGAAAAGTTGTAATTTTCTCTAAAAAAAAGTTGTTGTAATTTGTTGGATTCAATCATAAGCATTTAGATATCGACGTTAAATGTTATATTTAAATATAAGTATTTGTTATTTTATTTTAAATTTGTATTTTATGTAAATATGAATATAAATTATAAGTAAATAGTTTCAGATCTATTTTTTATATATTTAAATTTATTTTATGTTAATGGTTTTTCACACTTCTAAGTATTTTATTAAACCAGCACAAACCGAATGTATCACTGGTCGAACCATTTCACTTGCTAAACCGATACAATGATATAAACTGGTTTGACAACCTTGAGTAAGGTTACTTTTATGGACTCTGCCATGGTGACTTATAAGTTATAATGATTTTGAGAAAATGATTGACCGCTTTCTGTAATCAGCCAACCGCTTCTGATAAATGGTTGACCGCTTGCGAAAAATGGCAGAACGAATGAACCATTGCTATTTGCTAGTGAAGTTGGTATTTGATTATGTACATCCAATGTTAATGGATATGCTTATTGGTAATAGAGTTGAGGTGATTACAAAGCTTGAAGCATACAGCATAAGTTTCTCAGATGATTGTTCTCCTAGAAACTGCTCTGTAGGTTTGTTTCTTAGATTTTACTTGCTTTATAGTAGCTTTCATCTTTCATCCAGGCTTATTTTGCTTCTGTTTGTAGGAATTCTATAAGTGTTTTGTGATGGGGCGGTTTGCATGTTATTGTTGTTTTGAAGAGTCTTAAAAAGTAGGGTATCATTGTTGTACAATGATATCATCTTCAATGTTCACAAATCTCCTATCATCTTGCTTCGAGGGTTCTTATTCTAAATTTTTATAAAGATATGCTCTATCTTTATGTTAAGATCTATAATCTTTTAGTGATTTGGTTTTCCACGAGTGACAGGATGTTGCATTACTATAAACCAATTTTGTATTGTAGCCCTTCTGTAGTGATGACAAACGGGTGGGACGGGGCGGGTATCTTAATACCCATACCCGACTCACACCAAGCGTCAGTGGGTAATACTTGCACGGATACGAGGCGGGTTGATCCACTCTTACATGTTAAATGAGTAATTGAGTCTAACTAATTGAAAGATCAATTCTAACTAGTTGAAGAAAAGTCAAATAGAGAAATATAAATAGATTTTATTAAAAATTGAGATATAATGGGTCAAGAACGGGGCGGGGCGAGTAATATTCATCCCATCACGGGTGAGTCGGGTAATACCTGGCGGGCGGATTCAAAATTTGCTTAGCCTTCTCTTGTCCATTATTTTCCGATTGTAAGTGCAAGTGTGCCATTTGGTTTACCATTTGCCGAAAGCGGTCGCCCATTTATCTGGCGAGGTTGACCATTTTTCAAAAGCGGACGACCGGTTGTCAGACGTGGTTTACCTTTTTCTCCAAATCACAGTGATTTATTCATCATCAGGTCGACCATACATATAAGTGGTCGACCTTTTTGTGAATGCGGTCGACTGTTTTGTCCAACTGTCCAAGTAACAGTGACATACCTAAAATCCAAATTTTATAAACAATTATTTTAATTGCTAATCTAGCACAATATACTTATAGATATGTTAAGTAATCTAAACTAGCAATGATGAACTCAATAACTTATTTGCTTTACCCACCCATATCATCAAAAAATTAATATATCTAAACAAAGAAAGATTTAGAAAACATTTTCCAACTCTAAAACAAGAGAGTAAACTCTGTAATTGTGGGTATTTCTAATGTTTTTAGTGCCATAAAAAGGAAGTTATTGGTGCTTATGGGATCTACTCCAGGGACATGCAGCTAGCAGATCATAGAGTTGATGTCCCCTAGTTGACATGGGCCAATAAACAAGTGGCTAATCCTATTGCTAAGAGACTGGATAGGGCTCTTGTAACAACTGAATGGATAGCTTCCTTTCCTCGTAGTGCTGTCAAGGTTATTCCTCCTGGTTTGTCTGATCACTGTGGTTTACTCATACATACTGATATTAAGGCTAAGACTCTTCCTAGGTCATTCAAGTATTTTAGTTTTTGGAACCAACATCTAGACTTTGACAAATTGGTTAGAGAAGGGTGAGACCATGCAGTTTATGGGTGTAAGATGTTCTGTCTCTATCAGAAACTAAAGCAGGTGAAGATCACGTTGAAGAAGCTGAATCGAACCCACTATTATGATATTCATGAAAGAGTCTTAGTGGCTAGAGCAGCACTTGCAGTAGCTCAACTAGAAGGGCTGGAGCGCCCTTCTCATGAAACTTTAGAAGCTAAACGTGGGTGCAAGGTCCAGCTTCTTGAGTTGCAAAGAGCTGAGGAACTGTTCCTACGCCAGAAATCTAGGCAACTGTGGATTCTCATCTGAATTTTTTCAGGACAACTAGTTTGTGGTGGGTAATCTGGTAATCCAAGTTGTCCAAGAGTTCTTTATATCTGGCAGATTACTCAACTAGGTAAACAACATAATTATAGCTCTTATAGCAAAGATTCATAATCATGTACCATGAAACAGTATAGACACATCTAATGCTGCAATTTCTTCTATAAGTGCATTTCTAAAATATTCATAGCATGTAGGCTTAGAGAGGTCATGCCTTCTATTATTAGTCATAAACAGGACAGGACCCCAGAAAAGCCTTGAGGGAAGTATCTTGGCAACATAGTTATAGAGCACGTTGCAGCAAGATATTGGTTGAGTTATTTCATTTGATATGCATTTGCTACTTTTGGAATTAGATATAGGATGGTAGAATTCATTTCTCTTGGCACAACACCATTCTCAAAAATCTCGACCCATTTTTGTCTAAATTACATGTAATTTTACTTAAATTACTTGGGATATTACTTTTTATTACCTACTATTTTAGCTATGATGAGGACCCCAATTTCTGAAATAATTTAACTACATTAAAAGCTTGTTTCTTATTTTACATTAAAAAATAAATATTTCCAATATTTTCCTTTTAAATTACAAACCTATATGGGTTGATCTACCCTGACCAGCGTCCCTTGTGATAACTTACTTGATCTACAATTGACCTGTCACAGATGGGTATGGATATCAAGATACCGCTACGTGCTCCATCATTGTCATTCCTAAAGACATTGAGTCAAGTGGAGTATGTGTCACTTCTATACTAGAGTATTCAACTCAGCGGCGGACGTACGGGACTTTAGGGACACCCCTAAATTTTGGGAAATGATTATTTAACCCACGGTGGTAATGTACGTATGGATAAAAAAAGATATAATTGATAGTGAGGGACACCCCTGAAATTTGAAAAAATGATTATTCTATTATCATTTTTTAAATTTGTGTATGTGAATATAAGTGGTAGGTTGGGTAATTCAAACCTAGAGCACTATTATTATTAATAAACTTAATTTCCATTAAACTACAACTCATTTGTTGTTCAATTTTGAACATTGTATCATAGTAAAATGTCATTTCATATCTCTACTTATTTTCAAAATCTAGCAATTAAACTAACTTCAACCTACCTTAATTTGTATCGATTTTATGGTTGTACGACAAGTGTTGAAAAGTCATTCGGCTTTGGATTATATCAAGAACAAGTTTACAAATCGAATATGCGATAAGTTCGTGAATGATTGTCTAGTAGGTTATATAGAGACAATTTTTTTTAACACTGTAGACAGCAAGTGTATTCTATAATTATTTCAGAATATGAAAACACATAATGGACTTTTTTTAACCTGTACGAGTAAAATATTTTCTTATTTACATTTTATTTTTATTAATTATTTTATATTTATTTTTTAAATAAGGACACCCCTATGAAAAATTCATGGGTCCGAAACTGATTCAACCTGAAGCTGGTGTAGCCCCATCTTTTGCCAAACTTAGGGAGGTCACCCACAGACACTCTGTTATGGCGACGGCCGCCGGAGCCTCCGACCCAGTCGTTACAAACATCGGCTGCAGCAGCCACCGGCGTCCGATTAAGAGGATGATCATTAGAGGAAGCAGTGTGTCAGAGTAAGATTGTATGGACAAATTACATGCCATATAGATATTCAGCCAAATTACACGTCTTAAACAAGCTTTAATCGTAGAAAAAACATATTCACAATTTCCCCAGCAATGATCTGTTTGTAGCTACATGTTAATATTCTTATTGCCGATGGCTTGGTACGAGCCGGGAATCGCAACCGCCGACGATCCAAACGCTTCGGGATCCTGCACAACTCCACCGCCGATGGCCGCCACCAGGTCGTCGGTCTCCCTCAACGCTCCATGGGCAACGATCAAAGCGATCCCGGAGAACAACCCCACGACCATGTCCTCCGCCACCTCCGTAAACAAAAGCACCAGAATTGTACCGACCAGCAGCCACGACACCACCGTCCTCTGGCCGACGACCTGCCCATTAACCACCAAGGGTTCCTCGCCGCTCCGGAGGACGTAGAGGAACAGCCACGCCGCGGCGACGGCGAGGCAGAGGATGAAGGAGACAGGGTGCCAGAGCAAGGAGAGGAACAGGGCAGATGCGGCGAGGATGGCGTAATTGCTACGGAAGAAGGCAACGTTGGCGTTGATTCTGTCGATGGATTGGTTTAATGTGGCTGGGAGTGTGAGGGATTGGGGTTGGATCATGAGCTTCCATGGCCTGGCGGTGGCGATGAGGTTCTCGACGGTGGGTCTGATATTTTGAGCCCAGGTGGGTGGGATCGTCGACGAAGGAAACGGCGACGGCGGCTGTGATTGCGACGACGATGGAATTGTTCCGTATCTCGTCATTTCTCCCGATCTCCACACCGGAGAGATAGAGAGAAAATGATGCACTTGATGATTTGTCCAGCCGAGGAAAAATGAAACGAGACAGGGGAGGGAGGAGAAGAAGATTGCACAAGCAACCAACTTCCATTGGCGTCCTTGACTTTCGCTAGAGTCGCTGCTATCAATATTTAATATTTATTTATTTATGATCAAAATAATTACTATACCTTACAACCCATGACCGAAGCATGTTCTTACATCGTTGGATTATACGTGATCTACAATCGTTAAATATATAATCCGATAGTCATTTCGATCACCAGCATCCAACGATTATAGTACGCTAGACATTCAATCCAACGGCGTAAGCATTGTAGCCAAATTCATCAACCTCTTAACTGAAAACGAAAATCAAATAATATACAATGCGTCTATGGGATTTCATTAGCAATTGAGCTGCTGAAATTACAAGCATCACGACAGAAAAATGGCAAAAGAAAGAATTTTCTGAAGGAAGAGACATAGCTTACAGAGAGAGAATGTTACAGCAGAGGGGGGGAAAGAAACATATACACTCGACTTATATATGTGTCCTGGAGATAAGTAACAATGGAGGCTAATTTCAAGTCAATACCAGCTCGCAAATCCTGGAGAATAAATATACGTGTAGGGAAGAAAGAATGCTGGTTCATGAAGGAAGGTTGTCCTTCGGAGCAGCAATGGAATCGAGAGTGAGCTCTCCTACGCCCTTTGGTGGACCAATGCTGCAACGTTCTGTGCTGTGCTTCACGATTGCGTCTTTTATCTTTTGAAACTGCAATGTCACCGTGTTTCGGAGGGAAGGATCGTGCATAAGTTAGCGTGTAGCAAGTGAATTCAGTAACCTTGATTATACTAAAGTTCAGCTGAAGTTGGTCAATGGGGTTCGAATTTTTCGGCTGGTCATGAGAGCCTATTCTGAGATTCCCTACAATGATCTGATACTCGTAATCATAAAGCTAACTCAATCTTAATGGACTAAACACTTATTCTATACACTTCGTTTGCATCATCGTGCCTACCCTAGACTGTTTTCCCAAGATAGAGATCACAGAAGATTGTTCAATTTTCTTCTTCGGGTTTGAATCAACAGTCACCATGTGAAAATATGCATAATCTTTTGTTGAGGGTGCGGAAAGAAGATACTGACCTTAGCAAGCGAACAAGAGAAGGCTTCCAGTTGACCTTCAGACCCTCGGTAGAAATGGAAGAAAGGAAGCACCTTAACATTCAGGCTTTTACACATTGGCTTGTTTTCATCAAAATTGACCTTCAGGAATAGAATCTCCGGGTGTTCTTGGGCGGTCTTGCAGAGCTGGCACATCCATTCACATGATAAACTCAGCACAAAGAGGTATTCCACATTACAAGAAAGAACGCCCATGTTTTTTGTCCAACTTTGTCATAACTTTCTATGAAAAAACAGGGAGTTACCGCAAAAGCTTAAAGATATAGCTCAGAGACCATTTTTTAGGCAAGCTAAGACAGGACAAGACTCGGTATGAACTTGCCAAGTCACAAACTTGCGGTCTGCCATAGGAAGAAGCACAAAAGGTAGAAAGAACAAACCAATATATTGTCTTATTCTGTTGAAACCACCAAGAATTAAACAAGATGTAAGTAACAGTCACTCTTTGCATTAAAATTGAAAAATTCACCTAAGCATATCAGGTATCAGAGGGCTTAAATGGCTTTCATCCTTTCTACTCAACTAGTTTGGATCATCTCGCAAAAGGTTATCTACACAATTTCCATCGGTTCTTTTGTTGAAATTAAATCTCATCTTTGCTTTCAGTATAGGTCATGGGTATGTGCTAACACTGCTCAGTAAGATATATGACGTTCTGCCCAGGAAACTCCAGAGTCATAGAATGCTTTACGACACACATTGAGACGCCATAGACCTAAACTAAACCAAAAATGATTTGCCAACTGATTCGATTTTGTGTTCTCATGATGCATCACGTCTACCATAACAAGATCATGTAGATATGAATTTCCTCTCCTGGCTTTTAGCAATCATTGAACATTTGCAATGCCAACTCAAATTGGCACTAACCTAGATTCCAAGATCATGAGTGTAGCATTCTAGCACACAATTCTATGGAAGCTTCTATTAGAACACTTAAAAAGCTATCAAATATTGAATTGGCAGATCAGAAGAAGCACAAATTTTGTTTGTGTTGCTGTCTGAAACGACTCTAAGAAAGCCTGACAGAAAATGTAGCTACACAATGTGAACAGACATTATAAATACCTTGGGAAACAATGCTCGGCAAGAAGCACACCATGTTCCATAAAATTCCACAATAACTAATCTCTCTCCAGCTTCACTCAAGGCACTTAAAAATTCTGGTGTAGAATGAATATCAACCATATTTGGCCCAGCATTTTTCTCCCACCATTTTGGCTGGTCTGTCTCAGCAATAGTTGCATGTACCTGAAGGCAGAAAACAAAATCATCTCAGCACCCAAATAGACCCATATATAAATTCAGCCAAAAGATGTTCCAGCAGAGCAGTCAGTCACGTTATAAGTGGCATCCATTCAACATGCAAACCGTACTTATTAGAAGGCGAATTTCCATCATATACATAGAGTATTGGTTATGGAGAATCAAGAACAAATTAATTGACCTTGACTAATCAACTTCCATAGATGCTTCATATATATTATTTGGTTGACTAACCGACCGCAATTCACAGAACTCCCAACTATGAAAAGTCCAAGTTTTGATAAGATGCAGTATCTTATTGGAACCATTTATGGTAGAACGAAATCGGCTTTCCTAGGCGAACATGCCTGGACTATTTAAGCATATTTTACAGGAAGGTCCAGCCTCATGACCAGAAAGCACAAAAACTAACTTCAATAGTAAGCTTGGAATTACATAACAAGCAAGTGGTCCTGCGAGTTATGTATACCATTTACATATAAATGGTGTAGTCTGCAATCTTGAAATATCATAAGGCCAATACAAGTCAGAGTCAGACATTGTCCATGGCTTGAATCAGCTCCAAAGATTGATCCAAAATGATAGGGAGTAAAGCATAGCAAAACAACCAGCGACTTAAGAACTCCAAGGAAAGCTAAGACGGCGCATTATGTAATTGCGAGTAAGTACGCAGAGCATTACAAACTATGCATGTAAAACATAAGAGCAACATTGATTTTTAGTGATTCAGTTAGTTTATAAACGGTGTTCGTCAACAGTTTCACAGAGAAAATTACCGGACACTGAACTTCAAGCACAATCTGGAATATCAGGCATCGAAAATTCCTAATCACGGCATGCCAATGCTTAAGAATTCAATTCCGACAAAAGGGCACTCCTAACCATGGCTCCAGCTGAAACCCCCCATTAGAGCACCACTAATTACAAGGCAAAACCCACAATTGGGAAGGTAAAAGCTAGTACCTTTAAGGAGTGGAATTGCTTCTTTGGGGCAGGAACAAAGGGAGAGACGCCATCAGAAGAGACGAACAGAAAGGGTGAAGCCCTCCTGTCCGAACATGAGCTAAGGGGCGAAATAGAAGGCTGGGAAGAGGAATTCAAGGTGGAAGCAGAGGCCGTGGTAAGCAGGGAGGAAGAAACCCGAAAAGATGGCAACAGGATAGCATCTGCCATTTACCAGAGAGGAAAGAGCCCTCGGAGAACGAAAATGAAATAGAGCTCAGAACATGAATCCTCAATTGGAGCGGAAGAGGTTAGAAACCATGGAAAACCACCAATTGTTAGGTAGATACGAAGATTTTTTGGTCAAGTTGCGGGGAGAAAGAAGAGGAGAGGATAGGAGAAGAAAAGAAGTATCTGAAGCTGTCGCTGATGCGGGCTCTGTGTGAACTTCTTCTTCTTCTCTTCTTCTGTTGTGTGTGGGTAAATTGTTTCGAGTGAACAAAGAATCCACCAGAAAAGGCAACTGGCCTTTTCTTTTCCAACTGGAATTTGGAAAGGGAAATTACAATCATATGAAAATTCCGAAATTGAGGAAAAGAAAATCCATTGGCAGTTGGCTAGGCGCCTTGACCTGACAGTTAAGGGTCGGGTTGGGGTGGGTTTTGTCAAACCCAAATTCATGGGTTTATCCGCCAAAAAAATCCGGGATAAAATTTGTTGGGTTTGAAAAACTCAAACCCAACCCAACCCGCTGGGTATCTGTGGGTTCATGGGTACCCGTGGGTTTTTGTGGTAAAAATTTACAATAACAAGTTTAACATCAATTTTCTCATACAAATTAATCATACAAAAAACATTAATCCAGAGCATACAAGCAAACCGCAAATGATCAATACAAATTGTTCAAAATTAAAGATAATCATATATAAACAATAAGATTAATTGAAAACTTCTTCCTCGTCAACTAAGTTTCTTCACTCTCCACTTCATAATATCAACTTCATTCTAAACAATTAGAAAGAACAAATTATACATGTCTCCACAAACATATAGAATATTAGTTATTTAAGGAAGATATATTATTTAGAATATTAAATATACCGGGAAAGTAATTATATGTGTGGGCGGGTACCCATGAGGCGGGTTTACCTAAACCCAAACTCAACCCGACCCGGTGAATAGTGTAGCGAGTTTAAACCCGAACCAGGCCCAAAACCCATCAACACGGGTTTTACCCGCGTTGACCAGGTTGGGTCGGGTGGGTACCCATGGGTTCGGGTTTTGTTGCCATCCCTACTGGCAGGTTATGGTTTCTTTTGTTGGTTTGGAAGTGTTGATAAGGAAATACAAAATGATAAAAGGGCTATACGTTTGTCGAGCGATTATGATTTTTCGTTAGATTATAATAAACGTTGGTATATTGGTGAAACAATTTAACCAACGTTGTCAAACTCGTTCATATCACTGTGTCAATGAAGTAAATGAAATAGTACAATCTGTACTATAATTGGTTATTGTTGATTATGACGATTTAAATAAAATACATGAAATAAGCGTAAAATTATCAATTCCAATCAATTAATTAGAAGAAGCCATTAAAAGAGCTATTTCACACAGAGTAATTTATAGTTAGTAATTGATAACTAATAATAAACAATTAGATACGTAAAAATAAAAGTATATAGAATGAATTTTTTTAACGTTTACAACGATTTATGTAAATTGTAGCATCTACAAAAACATATAAGCCAATGTCAATAAAAAGTATTTGCCACGTCAGCCTTTGCTGATCAAACCGCATGTATGGGAAGGGTTAATTTGTCACTTCCTCTCTCTTGCCGTTTCTTTTTCTTTAACAGATAATAACTATAATCTATAAATTCCTTCTTTTACAGTTCCACTACCCACGTCCCTCACATCTTCCTTTTCAATCACTGTTTTTCCCCCATAGTTTAATCACTACCTTTTTGGTAAAAGCCATCTAGACAATGAATTAGTTATTTATTTCTTTTCATTTTGTTTGTTCCTCTTATTCCATTTGCTTTTGAATTAAAAGTTGGCAATCGCAGGTCGATTCGTTGGTTGATCCGTTTTGATTTTGGTTCGGTGAGAAAAATGGGTCACATACACCAGTCGGGTGGACCCGTTGTGAGGTCCCAAATTGGAGGTCAAATGGTGGTATTTTTTTCTTTTGATTTGTAAAATGCGTCTATATTTTGGTTTTCCTTTTCGCCTAACCCAATTTTTGGAATTCGAAGTTGAACATTTGAATATTGATTTTATATAAGTGTGAATTTCCACTATATGTTGGATCCAAATACGACATGTTATTCTGGTGTAATGTTATATGTTATTACTCATATGTTAGGTGTGATTTGATATAATTTATAAATATATGAACAATATAATGACTTTTTTCATATATTCAAGCTAAACTAGGCTAAAACGGCCAGCCTATTGACTCTCAACTCACTTACTCGATCGAACCAATGGTTTAAACCAGGTTGACAACCTTGCTTTTGATCCATTACTGGAGTTTTGTGTATAGTAGTATTTCCTTTTATGATGGTCACAAATCCAAACTCGTCTAAAATTAGTGTTACAGGTTATTAGATATGGGTCCGGTCCGTTGAGCGAAGACTTCGATTTTTATGTATAAATGTATCAAAATTTGAAGTAAATATATGAAATGATCACTTTATTTTATTTCTTTTCGATGCTTACTTTAGTATTATATTTCATAAAGGGGTTATAATAATATAATAAAGTAATCCAAGTATTTGATTCCTATATATCCATCTTTTTATAAACCTTTATCTTTTCCTCACCTATGAAAAATAAATTAGAGTTACCATCTATTTCTTTACTTCTATCCTATGCAACATAAAGAAATACACCACTACAAATGGGGAAGAAAAAAATTTAGAAGCAACCCGGCCAATAGGCCGGGCTCCATGCTAGTTAGTTATATAATATATAAGGGATTTGGTTCAAATTTCATGATTGGTGCTTATTTTTGGAGGCATATGTGAAAGTGCTCCACTATGATGATTACTAGAAAATTCAAGTCCTAATCTAAAGCTGAAAAGAAGAACGAGTAATGCAGAACAAAGAGTTGGTGCATTTTTCTTTCACTCTTCCTTATGGTTCGTTCAAAACGAACTCATACTCCGAGCTGAAACTTCAATACATTCAAACTTCAGGGGGGACATTCAATCTGTGTTTACGAATACATAGACAAACCCAAACCCAACCAAGAGAGCCTCACAGAACAGCATCCTGAGCTCTTTGAACTCATGAGCTAACACTTCATCGGTAAGCAGCCATCTGAGCACTTTGAGAATCATACCACATGGACCACTGGCTATGCCTCAGGCAAAAGAATAGAGCGAGGAAATGACGAAGACCCATTATTCGGGGCACCGGGGACATTCAGGATCGAGGCGATCACATTATATATCTGAACATTCTCAAAAGATGGCACCTTCACTCCCCTCCCAAACCGAGGACCATGAGCAATGAAGATGGTCCTCATGGAGAAGAACGCATTGTCATAACCATGGGATCCACCACACTCCTGTGCTGCGGTTCTCTTCGGCTCCACCTTGAACCCCTCGTCGAGCATCCCTATGATCGGCGGAATCCTCTCGCTGTTGGAATAATGCAGCCTGCTAGGAAGATCTTCCTTGAGATACATCTTCAAATTCTTCCCATTCTTAACTTTCCCCGACCGCAATCCTTCATTCATCTTTGCAACAACTTCTGACGGATCAACATCCGTGGAAGGGCGAATCGAAAGAGCCGGAGTATAATCGGACACCCATTCTGCAGGAATCTTAATCCATTCAGCTAAATCCTCGAGAAAGATCAGCTTTTTATCACAGTTACCAACCATGCCATGATCGCCCACCATGATTATGGTAACATCTTCAAATATCCCTCTCTTCTCTAACCCACCAATCAACCTCCCAATTAAGCCATCAATGTGAGTAACAGCTTCAGTAACCTGGAGATCATCGGGACCGACCAAGTGACCTTGATGATCAGGGTCCTCAAAATACAGAGTCAGGAACTCTGGAATCTCACTGCTGGGCAAATCGAAGTAGCTCAAGACGGTATCAACTCTATCCTCAAATGGAACTGATCCATTGTAGGGCATACAGAAGCCCTTGGGGCAATCCCAAGAGCCCTTAATCACTTCAGAGCCAGGCCAAAAGTAAGTAGCAGCTTTCAAACCCTGATTAGCCAGAGTCTCCCACATTGGTTCGCCGAGCCACCATTTAGGGTCGTGGCTGCCCATATTGAAGACGGCTCCAGTTCTCGGGTCGACAAAATTGTTGTTGATGATTCCATGGTAAGCAGGGTAGAGGCCAGTGACAATGGAGTAATGATTAGGGAAAGTGAGAGTAGGGAATACCGGAATCAGACCCGTCTCAGCCTCCGTCCCGTTGGCGATCAAACGGCGGATGTTGGGCGTCGGAGCCTTGTACTGGTACCCGAACCGGAACCCGTCGGCGGAAATCAACAGGACGACGGGGCGATCCAATTTCCTCAGCGACCGCGCCGCTTGACCGTCTTTGATCGAGGGACGATGAGCCGATTTACCGGCGGACAAGAAGAGGAAGGCGGATGCGGATGCGGCGGAGAGGGCGGCACAGGTGACGAGGAGGAGAGCGATGAAGATGACGGTGGCGGTGGGTTTCTGCGGCGGAGATGAAGGAACTTCTGTGCTGAAAGTGAGAAGAGATGTGGATGGATGAGATGGGTCTTCTTCCTGGGTCGGAATCGGAGTCGGCTTTGCCGTGGTCAACACCGATTCAGGACCCATCTTTGGTGTTTTAATTGCTCTCCCAGTCCCAGCGGCCGAGCAAGTTCAGAACATTGCGACGGTCGGAGATGAGAAGGAGGAGAAGGAAATATGAATGAATGGACTGGCGAGTTGCAGGGAATGGATTGGGTTTATTTGGAGATTTGTTTTGGAGGAGTCAAAGGTCAGTCGCCGACTCACTGTCGAGGTGAAGAAAGAGACGAGAAAGAGTAAAAGGCTGCGTCGGCGTCGAGATTCATAGAGGCGATTCTGTGCCTTGCTGTCGTTAATCTAAGGGCAGGCCGATTAATCTGACGGTTGATAATACTTTTGTAGTCAATTTCTTGGAGTCGTTATACTATTATGGAAAAAAATTCCCTAAATACGTTTAAAATTTTAAAAATTCTTAAAATACAGACTTATAATAATTTTTTGGGTAAATACAATTTAATATCCAAACCTTTCATTTTAAACAATATAATAGCCAAACCTTTTCGAAAACAATCTAATATCCAAATCGTCAACTTTCCGTTCGTTTGACCGTTAGTTGACACTTCAAAAAAGCTTTGTTTAGGGGAAATTGTCACAATACAACTTTGTTTTCTTGTTTTGGCATTGCAGATGAATGAATATTTAGATATTCTATACCATCGTGGTGGAGTCAGAGACTTCCCGGGTCTGGAACTACGATATGTTGGTGGTTTTTCAGAGAAGATATCGATGGATATTGATGAAGTGTCATACTTCGAACTTTTTTGAAGTGTCAACTAACGGTCAAACAGACAAAAAGTTGACGATTTGGATATTAGATTGTTTCGAAAAGGTTTGACTATTATATTGTTTAAAATAAAAGGTTTGAATATTAAATTGTATTTACCATAATTTTTTCGCCAAACTACCAAAATTTGAAGCGGTTCTAGTGAGTGTCTCTTGTTCCACTATTGGCATCAATTGCAATGTCATCGATCCATATGCATCGAGTGAAAGGAACTCGATTTGCGGACAGGGACGACACTGATCGAGTGAGCTGTGCTCGATCTGCGACGCGTGGCATTCATCGATGAGGTTGGACTTGATACACCGGGATTAGCCAGCGGATGAAGATGTGGATAGACCGCCTCGACCTCACTCCACCATAGATAGAGCAGGTAAGACTCGATCTCGTCCGTTCGATTCGCTTCGCCTCGAACCACAGCAAGACACGGATCAAGTGCACAGTAACTTGATGCATGTGGATCGAGTGGCAGTAACTCAAACCACACCCTCCCCCTTAAACCTATAAACACACCTCCCCCATTCCACCACAAATCACACCACTCCGCTCTTTTTCCTCTCTTCCTTCCACCACTCTTGAAGAAAACTAGTATGCTTTGTGGTTGCGGCTAAACCCGATATGTCACACCTTATAGTCTCACACCTATTAGGTCGTCCTTCCACCGGATAGTTCCCTTCTCCTTCACTTCATTCGTGAAACAAAACCCATCTTGGATTCTCTCTGGTGGTTGAAACTACAACCTGTTCTCCAAAGGCACCGAAAAAGTCTAGGCCAGGACGTAACCACACCATATGAATTTCTCGACGGCGCGACCGCCATCACAACACAAACCTAGCTCGACGAATGAGAGAGAACATAGAATTTCAGGATTTTTTTTCTGAAAACACATAGCTTATTCTCGACAAAAAAAAAAGCTCTCAACCTTGAAACCATTTTTCTGCGAAAAAATTCTCAAAATTGAAGTTAAAATAAAATTTAATATATTGAAAAGTATTTTAATCTCATTTCTCGACATCAAATGTAAATTAAAAAAAGCATAAATCTAAATTCACTTAAAATTAAGTGACTAGTTCAGAGGTTACACAATTTAGAAACACTAACAGTATCAGCACAAAATGTAAAGTCAAACCATACTGAAAGTTGTTCGATAATACTCAGTGATATACATTTTGTGTTGATACTGTAATTTAACCATTTCATACTAACAAAAAAAATGCCTACCAATTTAGACTTTGATGGAACAACCGATAGGGCATCGTTTTACTTTTACATATACACTAGCACAAGACCCGGCCCGTTGGCCGGGAGAATTTTATCAAAAAATATGATATATAATAATGAAATGATTGTTTGTACCTTAGTTATGCACATAACATTTTTTAAAGTGATCCAACTATGCATAATGTGTTTAGACCTCCATGAAAAGAGAAAAAAGTACCGTATTAGCATTACATGTAATTACTGAATGAAAAAAGAAATAAATAAACTAATTGTCATTCCTTGTTTAATTAAATCATATAGTTGAATATTAGAGTTGTTTCTCATAATACATACATAATCAACATTTAGGATGAAAGAAAATATATTTCATAGAGTTTAGTATGTACTTTAAGTTCTTTTTCCATAGAGAGCATTCTTTTTTACCACACTGTTAGTAATGAATCTAAAGTTTCTTGATTAGACATATATAAAACATGATATTAAGTTTTTGCTAATAGTTAGTTGAACAGTGTATTGTGTACGAACTTCCCAAATTACTCTCACAACACAAACATGTCTAGCAACAATGTAATAATTTTCACAGTAGCAAGTATTTTTTTTTCATGAAGTAATTCAATAAATAAAAAACCTATGAAAATCATATTATATGAAATATATGTTACTCTTTAAGTTGATGAATGAGCAAGGATAAGAGTATCATACAGTTATTTTAAAAATATATAAGTTGCAAAGTGTCATTTGAGTTGAATGAGATCGCATATTCTCATTATCGCTAACTCACTTATGCTTTTTTGCAATAGATTGTTCAAAATGTGCCTTAAAACTTTTATTTTCCACCAGTGTAAAAGAATTATTTGAACCAAATTATTGTAAAATCGTATAAAAAAGTTGGTAGTAGAGTATTTTATACCGAATTCATAATTTAACCGTGGTTCAACCATTTTATATTGCTAAATATCACCTACCAATTTAGCCTATGGTGTGAAGTTTTATGGTCGAACCACTGGTAGGTACGATCTTTCAATTCAAACTTTAAATAAAAAAATCACTAAAATGTATACCCCTTAAATCTCATAAATTACAATAATCATATTAAGGAAAAAATCATCCAAATGATAATATTGATTTGGGATTTATTGAAATGGGAAAAATCTGTCAAATATAATGTCATCCCCTAAAATAAATCAAAACTCAACATAAGAGGGCTAACAATACCTTCTGAGCAAAGGAGAAGGGCAATTATGTTCTCTTACTCTCTTTTTGCCTTCCTTTTTTTTTTCATTTGTTCTTTCATCTCTCTCTCTCAGTTTTGTATTTCACAACTCTCCCCCTTCCCTTATTCTTTCTTCCCACCGCCTAGAATCGAGAGAAATCGAGAAACATCTCAATTACTTCTCAAATTTTGCGTTCGTAATGTTTCTTCTCCATTCACAGTCCATAATGTGAATCAGAGCACCTGAAACCAAACGAACATTTGAGCATTTATTCATTGACGGAGCAAAGTAGTTTGATAGCTTGTGAATAAACTAGTTACTAAAAGTGATAAAAACAATAATCGTTAAACCAATTGAGTGAGTGTATAGTTAGTTCATCGCTTAAACCATTTTATTTAACAAAAGAATCAAAATGCATAATCAGGTTCATTTTCACTTATTTACATGTATTTGTCGTACAAATTTATTACACATAAAAAATGATTTTGAACCAGCATATCGAACTAAATCTCATCTTATGATTATTGGAACCAATCATGACAGATTAGAAAGAGGTCTAAGGCTATTGGTCAACTGTGTTGAAAATTAATAATAATATAAGAATTATATATCTTTTCCATATGTTCAATACTCCAATTCAATATGCAATATTCAAACAAATGATATATTTTCAACCCCTTCCACAAACTTTTTAGACCAAAAAAACTCTTCCCCCCAACAAAAAAAAAAACACACACACACACACATTTGCAAAGAGATACTAAATCTCAATCTCTTCTCTCACTTTATTTGTTTCTAAAGTTATTGTTGACGTTATTTGTTATTACTACAGGCTATAAAAAAGACTTTTCAGCACTGAAGTTAATCAAGAATGAGTTTATAAATGAGTGTTTAGTTGTATAAATTGGAAAAGGTTTGAGTCTCAAAATAAACAATGAATATATTTTATAAACATTTTAGAATATGAGCCATCACATGTTGATGTGAAAAACTACTCATTAATTGAAATTTTATATGTTATTTTTAGAATATTTTATTTTATTTTTATCAAATTACGCATTTCTCCATAAAACATGAATTCACCAATATAGACTGTGTGGTGCTAGGACTTGTGCGCGAGCCCTTGAAGTTTAACGTTTAGCAGTTAACCCGGCTAAAAGTTTAGAGAACCATTCACCTATCGTTTGTACAAAATATTATTGCTTCGTAGTAGTATAGAAAATTTATAATAATTTTAAGAATTCTAAATGGTTTTTACATATTCAATGCTACATTCGATATGCATTATTTCAAGCAATGAAATTTGAGTTGAAATTTTAAGATTATCCAAAATTGTATAGGTTATAAAAAATTATGAATCACTTATTAAACTTTGCTTTTCAGAAGATTTAATAGGCTAGCTAACCGTGATAGAAAAGTCATCTGCTTTTCAAATATTCACTTAGTTTATGTTTACAATTCAAGTAGATAAAATAAATTTGTTTAGTGTAATTGATTGTGATTATTGTTTTTGTTTGAAGAGATCACGGTTCAAATCTTGATATTGATACTTTTTATATGAAGTAGATAAATAATTGTGATGACAAACTTACTCTTCCTACTTTCACTCTCAATTCACGAAATTTCAAATGAAAAATCTTAAAACATTAAATGTATATTATAGAAAGAGCTTCTTCAACCAAGTAGGAAAGGTATTTTACCTGAAATTATTATATCTTATCGAAAGTGATTAATTGTAAAATCGGAACTGAAATAATATTGATTCAAACATTAAATATTAAATTGTATCATATGTATGATTCGATTTAGACAAAATACCTATGTGTAGCTAAAACATGGATCTTTGTGACAAATATAATAATTATTTGTGACAATCTACACATGATATAAAGATAAATTGGGCGCAATAACGAAAAAGAGCTTCCTAGGATCACTCTCATACCAGGAAATTTGAATTGAGACTCTCATTTTTCATTTTTATCATTATATTATGTGTATATTTGTCACAAAAAATGAATATACTTGTCACAAAGGTCCATGTATTGGTTACACTTCTGTATTTTATCTAAACTAAACTATACATACAATCTAATATTAATATTTGAATGAATGTTGCTTGAGTTCCAATTTCAGAAATAATCTCTTTCCATAAAATATAAATAACTTAAAATAACATATAAATATATAAGCATCATCACCAAACATATTTATAGATTTTAATCAAAGAAATAACTATAAACAATGTAGCGTAGTTGGTTACAATGTTCTTTCTGCAACTCAAAATATTTCCACAGAAAGGCTACTGACAGGCAGAAACGCAACACAATAAAGGAGCTACTAGGTGATGATGGAACGAGGTACAGGGGGCAGGAAGGAGTTACTTATTGCATGTTTGAATATCTATCTACTCTATACAAAGCGGGACAGGTTGCCACAACTTTTGAGACAATAGATGCAGTTGAAACAAAAATCACAAATGAGATGAATGAGGAGCTTCTCAAACCTTTCACTGGAGAGGAAATTTGGTATGCTTTGAAGAGAATGGCTCCAACAAAGGCCCCGGGTGTAGATGGCATGCCAGCCTTGTTTTTTCCAAAGAAATTGGCAAGTGGTAGGCCCTGCAGTCACTGAAGAATTACAAAGCTTGTTAGATGGAGGGGTAATACCAACAAGTTTAAATCAAACACTGCTGGCCATGATCCCAAAGAAGAAAAACCCTCAGAATCCAAAGGATTTTCACCCCATTAGTTTGTGTAAAGTGCTCTACAAAATCCTCTCAAAAGTCTTAGCCAACAGGCTCAAAAAGGTGCTAAATGCAGTGATAACTGAAACTCAGAGTGCGTTTGTCCCCGGAAGAAACATCACTGACAACATTATTCTGGCTTTCGAGTGTTTTTTTGCCATGAAGAACAGGAAAGAAGGAAAGAAAGGGTACGTTGCTGCAAAATTGGATATAGCCAAAGCTTATGACCGAGTTGAATGGTCGTTCCTAGAAGCTATTATGCTAAAGCTAGGCTTTGATGGACGATGGGTAAACCTGATTATGCAGTGTGTTACTACGGTGAGCTACTCGGCACTAATAAATGGTCACCAATCCCCAGTGATAAAACCAACCCGAGGATTGAGACAGGGAGATCCAATCTCCCCGTACCTATTCTTACTTTGTGCGGAAGGCTTATCGGCTGTAACCAGGAAGGCGGTGGAGCAAGGAGAAATACATGGCATTCGTGTGAGCAGAAATGGCCCTGAACTAACCCATTTGTTTTTTGCAGATGACAGCATTTTCTTTGTTGAAAACACCCCTAAGGAGGCAGCAGCCTTAAAGAAGATTTTACAGCAGTATGAAGTGGAATCGGGCCAGCAAGTTAGCCTTGAGAAATCAGAACTATCCTTTAGTGGAAACACGAAAGAAGACCAGAGGAATCAAGTGGCGGCTATCCTTGGAATGAAACAAGTGGATCACCATGACAAATATCTCGAATTACCAACTGTTTTTGGGAGGTCAAAAAAGGCAGTGTTTAGCCAACTGATTGATAGAGTGAGAAAGAAGGTCAAAATGTGGAAGAGCAAGTTACTCTCTACTACAGGAAAGGAAGTATTGATCAAGTCAGTGGCTCAGGCACAAGCAAACTATGCGATGTCTGTCTTTCTCATCCCACAAGGAGTGATCCATGAGATACAAAGCTTAATTACGAGGTTTTGGTGGGGGAGGAAACAAGAGGAAAGAAGAATACACTGGATGAGTTGGGAGAAGTTGTGTCGTCCAAAGCACGAAGGAGGAATGGCATTTCGGGATCTACATGGCTTTAATCTGGCGCTGCTGGGAAAACAGGTATGGAACCTACTAAAAAATCCTACCTCCCTTGTGGCAAAAGTCCTAAAGGCCAAGTATTACCCTTATTGCTCAATCCTAGAAGCTCAGGTTGGGAACAATCCGAGTTATATATGGAGATCTTTGATGGCAGCTCAAGGTTTGGTGAAAGAAGGTACAAGGTGGAGGATTGGGGACGGGAAACAAGCTCGAATATGGTGGGATCGATGGATTCCAGAGGGTCCAGACTACAAAATTGAGACAAGGATGAATGGACTAAATTGGGATGCTAGAGTGGAAAGTCTAATAGATACTGATAACAGAACATGGAAGAGCAACCTATTACAGGCCCACTTTCAACCTACAGACCGTAAAAGAATTCTACAAATTCCACTACCAGTTCACCCCTTTGAAGATACAAAGGTATGGGGGCCGGAGAAACGGGGGCGGTACTCTGTGAAATCGGCCTACTACCTATGGAGATGTAAAAGAGAGAATGTGGAAGGGGAAAGATACGTTCCTATTGATTGGAAGAGACTATGGCACCTACAAATACCCCCCCAAAATCAGGGTCTTCCTTTGGAGATGGGGGAGCAATATTCTACCGACAGGTGCAAACTTGGCAAAACGAATTCCAGATGCGTATGATGGGTGCCCTTTTTGCGGATTAATTGAAACACAAGAACATATAACTCGGGACTGCGACTGGGCGGGCAGAGTCTGGCGCCCTAGTTCATTGAGTAAGATCTTTAGTATGAGTGAGGGGAAGTCAAGTGAGGAATGGATGTGCGAAGTGATGGAAAAATCGACGGATGAGGAACTGGGAGCGTTTGTGACAGCACTCAGGTTTTTGTGGAAGGAAAGAAATAATCACCTATTTAATAATGCAAAGCTAGAAGAATGGGAGATAATTGCAAGATCGGAGCAGTATATGGAAGCTTACAAAGCAGTTCAGATGAAGAGCACAAACCTGGGGGTGAAAGATGAGTACAAATGGGAGAAGCCAAGAGAAGGCAGCCTCAAAGTGAATGTCGATGCATCGATCTTGAAGGAAGGAGGCACGGGGTTTGGATTGGTGGTGCGAGATGCTACAGGAACTTTTCGAATGGCAGCAGCCCACCGGACAAGAACTGCATGGACGCCCGAACTAGCAGAAGCGCAGGCGATTCTCTGGGCAATGAATTTATGCATCAGTAACCATTACCGTCCTCTGATGATTGAATCCGATTGCCTAGTGGTGGTACGAAGGGTTATGGGGGAGGATCGAACGGAGATGGAGATTGAAACAGTTTGCAAGGAGATCAGGCGGGTAATGGAGGAGGATGGCGAGATAGGGATTCGCTTTTGGGGAAGGAAAGGAAATGCAGTGGCTCACCTGATGGCCAGAGTAAGGAGTGGTTGGGAAGAATCGGAGATATGGTTAGACCGGCCATCGGTCTGTTTATTAAACCAACTCATAGCGGACTGTAATCATAGCAACTCTTTGATTTAATAAAATTCCAGGCCAGTTTATCAAAAAAAAACATTTTTAATATATAAAAAAGAACTGGGTACAATAACGAAAATGACCTTTCTTAAATTACTCTCAAGCCACAAAATTTAAAATGAGACAATTCCAACCCATGTTTTGCCATCACATATATTGTAGATTTGCTAACTCAAACCGCCGTCGGTGACTGCTATTATTGCTCCCCGGCCGAGTGACGGGAAAGCAAAGAACGGAGCTAAGCTAGCGAAAATGGCCTACCTGAGCATGGGAGAATCACACCGAAGAATCACTGACTACCTCAATAGGTTCGCCGACGCTATCAACTACCAGGACGGAGATTCTCTGGCTCGGCTATTCTCCGTCTCGTCCGACTCCCCCTTTCTCCTCTCGCTCGCTGACGCTCTCAACGTCTTCCAGGTTTGAGCAACAAAAAATACATCTTAGAATAGGGTTTGCTTGCTCACATAGTAATGGCTTTTCTGATTTGTTGATTGGGGTTTTTCTTTCCGTCGGATTCACCACAATTAGGATGCTAATAGACTGATAAAGCAATCGGAGAAATTCTCGCAATTTGGGGAAGTAGTAGCTCCGTTCTTTCGTTCACTGCAAAGCTATCGACTTGGCAACTTGGTCGATGCTTACGGAGCATTTGAGAAAGCTTCCAAGTTTGTGACTTATTTTTCTACACTTCTTCCTTTTGGGGTTTCCCCTTTCCTTACTTCCAGTTTGCTGTTCTATCCCTCTTTGCTGATGGTGGGGATTCAGTGCCTTTATACAGGAGTTCCGGAACTGGGAATCGGGTTGGGCGTTGGAGGCACTCTATGTCATTGCTTATGAAATACGGGTTCTTGCAGAGAGGGTAATGATGACTTTGGCTCTTCAGAACTTGAATTCGATATCTAGTGCTTGTTGTTCATCCAGTGAAGTGAAGGAGTGAAAAGTTCTTGATACTTGTAGGCAGATAGGGAGCTGGCCTCGAATGGGAAATCACCGGAGAAATTGAAAGGAGCGGGTTCATTCCTCATGAAAGTGTTCGGTGTTCTTGCTGTATGCTTCTCCATTTTTCACCACTCTGCTTTGCTCTGCAGTTTTTAGATGTTATACGAGATCAGAACTACAATGTGTTATGGTGAAGATATTGTTTCTTGGTCGTTACTAATCCTAAGGGATCCTGTGATCTACAGGGGAAAGGTCCGAAGCGTGTCGGAGCACTGTATGTGACTTGTCAGTTGTTCAAAATATACTTTAAGGTAATAGCTTATCATTCCCTTGTCTACTGTAGATGTTTTTAGCATTAAGCTTTTCCTTTGATCTTTCTTTCATTTGGGAGTTCTTGAACATAAAGTTTCAGGAAATGCCAGAATTCTAACAGTTATTGGTTTGCAGCTTGGCACAGTTAATCTATGCCGTAGTGTGATAAGAAGTATAGAAACTGCCCGAATATTCGATTTTGAGGAATTTCCGACAAGGGATAAGGTCAGAAACGTGTTTTTCCGATCGTTGTGTTTGAGTTCCTATGCTTGTGCTGACGGGTTTTTGCACTATTTAACTGAAGTCTTTCCTTTACTCAATGACAGGTCACTTACATGTACTACACTGGCCGTCTGGAAGTTCTCAATGAAAATTTTCCAGCAGTGAGCACCTTGAACATCTGCCGATTGTTAATCCTATTAGTGGCTTTTCACTTTTGAGATGTGCAATCAGATATAGACTTTAGCTCGTATATTGTGTTTTAGGTCTTGAATCCTTAACAAATTAGTGTCTAATGCATTTGTGGTTTCTGAGTGTAATGTGTATTGCAATGAGTTGTGCTCTCTATGTGATTTCAACAAATAAGAACTCTTGAATATAGATTAGATGCTATTAGTTAGCCATCTAAAAGCCTAGAAACACATTGATCCGTCTTAACTTGTGGTTATCTTTGTGACCTTGCAGGCAGATCAAAAGTTGTCCTATGCCTTAACACATTGCTGTCTCAGCAAAGAGGCCAATATAAGGTTTGGTTTGTTGCACTTGCTGCTTTGTTGCGAAACCAGTGATATTTTAACACTTCTAGCGTCAATATTTGGCTGTCTGTACTTGGTGAATGTTGTTCCTCTTAACATTTTCCTGATATCTTTTTTTGTGTTCCTCAGGATGATACTGAAATATTTGATACCAGTGAAGCTTTCAATAGGCATTTTACCAAAGAAACAGCTCCTTGAAAACTATGATTTAGTTGAGGTACATCTCCTTCATTCTCGTTCCATAACTTGGTTCACTGGCACTTCCCTTGATACCTGGGAAATGGATTGTATTATTCAAGAACGTGGAAAAAAAAAAAAATTAATGCAAGGCATAGCATAGCATATTCAAGATTTTAAGTAGTATCCAGGTTGAAGCTTTTTTTCTCCTTCAATGGAATGTTCTAATACCACGGTGTTCCCCTTGACAGTACAACAACATTGTGGAAGCCCTAAAGAGGGGCGATCTCCGACTGCTCCGAAGTGCTCTCCAAGAGAATGAAGATCAGTATGTTGTCATTTTGTAGCCTTATTGAAGTTCAAATTTTTGGAAACCCGTATTTGCAGTTAAAGCTAATCTAGTCTGCGCTTTGTTCTCTTTGTAGGTTTCTACGATCAGGAGTTTATCTTGTCCTAGAGAAACTAGAGCTTCAAGTTTATCAAAGATTACTAAAGAAAATGTAAGTCCCCTTGTTTTGTCCCTTTTTATACACCATGGTGATGATAAGCCGAAACATCTGCTTTCGTCTTCGTGGTACTGACTCGAGCACAATCCCCACAGCTACATCATCCAAAAGCAAAAGGACCCTAGCAAAGCTCACCAAGTGAAGTTGGAAGTGATTGTTAAAGCATTAAAATGGCTCGAGATTGAAATGGACTTGGATGAGGTACTTATTGAATCCCATTTCTCCAGTTGCGTTCTTCCCTTCTCTTGGGTTATGTTATGCTTTACCAACTGAAGTATTTTGTTCCGTCTACATTTGTAGGTGGAGTGCATAGTGGCAATTTTGATATATAAGAACCTTATGAAAGGTTATTTTGCCCACAAGAGCAAGGTTGTAGTGTTGAGCAAGCAAGACCCTTTTCCCAAATTAAACGGGAAGCCGGTTGCTTCTTAGGGATTAAATGCCCTGTTTGGCGACAGTAGAAGGATACGCTAAGTTCTGACCGTGTTACTATAAGCAGCTTACTTCAGTTTATCATACTGAGAATGTCGAGAAGACTTTATATATGTTGTACGTTATAATTCAAATTTGATTTGCAGCCTTCTCTTGTTTACAAAAATTTCATTCCTATTTTCGTAGCCTCCTGTTAACTAACCATTGCTCTTCTTTTACAATTTGAGATATGGCAAGCCATTACAAAATTCAAAGCTTACGACGTGGTAATGTTGCGTGCCAGGAATACAACATGAGCTTGCTCATTCAAGAAGGGGAAAGAAAAAATCAGCAAACATGGTTTAGTCCCAACTCCTGGCACGCATGTGAAGGAAGCAAGGTGTGATGCGAGAAACTCAGAGCTTCGAGCCTAGACGGATTGAGTGGCCATCTCCGAGAGATAACATGTAAAGAGCGAGACAGCATCTTGCAGATGGTTTGAACAAAGAGCTTCAGGGACGGGAGCCGTAAGAACTGTCTCAAAGCAGCTCAACTGGGCATCCCGTGATTCTCCCCAACTACTTATCGAGAGCAGCAACTCGGATATCTCCTCGGCCATCTTTGAGTATGCAATCCTGCACCGACATCCACAGCCATAATAAATAACAACCATGAATCCGTAAAAAAAAATACGAGATGATCCCCTTAGCTCCCATCTCAGACTGACCAAAGTTTACTGCTAAATTGTTTCTTGCGCGATTTAAGACACTACTTTTCAAAATTGAAAGAGTTTTTATGTTTCCTCTCAATGATTGAAAGCAAGTACATTTCGTCTCAAACTCCAACGTCTCAATGGTCATTGACGAGATGGTGATCTTCGAAGTAAATGCACATTGCATATAGCACATATTAATGTCAAATAGGTCAAGCATTCATTGCAGATTGATTCTTTAAAAGGCAGATAAATTATGGATTAGAATGTTGAGAATGAAGTTGTACCTTGCATCGGTTGGCAATCTGTTGCCCAAAGTCTCTAAAGATTCATTAAGCTGACTAAGGAATCCCCTGCATTCAGAATTCTTGCTCTCAAGAGGATCCTGCAAAAGTTACCACCCAGGCAAAGCTTCAGTTGGCCTATTCATACAGTTACTATATGATGAAAAGTCCAGCAACTCATCTATATTGTTTAGTGAAGGAATTTTTGTTGGCTCTGAAGATTCATCAGTTTACTACTTAAGCAGAAAGAAGAACTGATTTGTGCCTAAGATCTTTGCTATGGATATTGTCATCCTCAGCAAGGCAATTCAGTCAACAAAATTGCTTGCATCCAAGGAAAACAACCTGAATCATGGATATTGATCGCAAACATTGTACCTTTTCGTTCATGGTATTGTTATCCTCTTGAAATGAACTTTTAAGCTGTAAGAAGGAAATATAGATTCCAGCTCCCAGCTCCCAGTTTTCAATTTCAGATTTGTGTTCCTCCATTTGAGTAGCAAGTCTCCAAACTTCTGAATGCTTGCCTGCATTGAAAAGATGGCATCCCCTCATAAGCAACAGTCAGACTAGCTCACTAGAAAGATGACGGAAACCCAGCAACCAATTTTGTGTTAAATGTTTGCCTATTCGAAGAATGTTCATGGTGCAATTCAATATATTACAAGTACACTGGAACGCACAGTACGCAACTTCTGGATGCTTATATTACCAGACAAAAACAGTGTATGAGCGACTGAAGTTGTAAAAATAGAGTGAGCCTTCTGCCAGTGTGCACATTCAAGGAAGTGCTCAAGGGCCTTTGACAGATCCCCATGGTAATTGAAATATACTGCCTGCATTACAAAAGAAGTTTATTTAGGGCAAGATTCACCACCCAGGAGATTTTGAACTTAAAAAGAGTATATTAAACGCAACTTCATTAAGAAACAACAAGATTCATAGTGAATGTCAAGTGAGATTATATTCTCCAAACCCGAAGCTTCACACGTGCTCAAATGACTGAGAATGCACTCGAACAATATTTTCATTTTTTCAACAACAGCAAGACGATTTAATGCTTTGCTCAATATTTAACCAAGATCAAACTTCATTAAGAAACAACAAGATTCATAGTGAATGTCAAGTGAAGATTATATTCTCGAAACCCAAAGCTTCACACGTGTTCAAATGACTGAGAATGCACTCGAACATTATTTTCATTTGTTCAACAACAACAAGACTATTTAATGCTTTGCTCAATATTTAACCAAGATCAAACTCAGACAAAGTAAGCTAGAGCTGGATGATGAAGCTTTTCAGGTAATCACTCTGCATCCAGTAATTCAGTTTGATAGACATACCGTAACACTTTTTGTTCCTGTCTATAATCTGAAACTGTAACATCTAATCATCCATGGTCAGACAAACTTGCAAGAAGCCAGGAGCCCCTGCAACTATTGTTCTAGGTTCAATATTATTTGATAAGACCACATGCGATCATCAACAAAGACACAAACAGCATAATAGACAAGGAAAAAGTCGATTCCCTTTGAACAGAGTTAGAATTGCCCATACAATTAACCTGACGACAACAGAACAAGAATACCATAGTTCTTCTAGTCTGAGTTTGATTAAAAATTCCCTTGACAATATTTGGCTTGCTAATTTCCAAGAGATTTCACACGCACAATTTAAATGCATCTACCAGTTTTACCTGTGTTTGTGTTTTTTTATAGGACTTTCACCTGTGTTTATGTGCATGCCTAAGGTGAGGAGAGAAACATTAGGGAGCAATAAACTATACCATAGCTTCATGCAGCCACTCCGATGGAATTTCAAGATTCTGAATGAATTGGTATTGTGATTCGTCTGAACTCCAAGTTTCACAATACTGAAACAAAATTTCCCGAATTACAGTAGCATGTAGATAAGGATAATCATCACATTGTGGCATGTGAAGCACCACATAAATCGCCCAATGACATTGTCCAGTGCACAATAACTGGGAAACAATTCCCATGTCAAGCACTTGTAGATCATTAGAAGTAAAGACACCAGCTGCCTCCAGCACTGCTCTTTGATGCCAAATCATATGGTAGTCTAGTGGATCATATGTTGAAGATGAAGTAGTGAACATGGTCTTCAGAGCGCCAAATTTACCCTCCCCGTTGGCATGAAGAAGCATGAGATAGTATGTGAGATCAAAGTTCTTTTCTGTATCACCCATTTCCTCCTCAACTGGTCCTTCATCTACATAAATTGGAAGAGGATATGGAGCTTTACCTTCATCGAGGAGGAGTTCATAATTTTTGAAAAGATCAGGCAATGGTGTCTCAGGCGACAGACGATACCACATCAGCAACCCTAAGAATCTTTTCCAGTCAATTTGAACACCCTGCAAAGCATTGTGAATATTACCAGAAAGCAACTCATAGATCCTTGTCCTCTCTTTCTCAACAAAATTGAAATCTAGTCCATTGGCCCTCCAAAGATCAAGTTGTCGTGCAACATCAGCACGATTAACAGTTGATCCACCAGCCTGACTAAGCAAACACGCCAATCTGACATCTCCTCTAGAAACAGCCATTTCGACCGCTGCATCCAGCTGCCTCCCAGTAAGGAGTATGAAGATTTGTTCGAGATAACTGGATTCATCCAAAGAGCTCAGATCCTCTTGAACACGATGGCATACACTTTCTTGCAACCAACAACTGAACTCTGCTCTCCTAATAAGAGGAAGTGATTCCTCGTCAATTTCTGGAGACCCTTCTTTAACATCTGGCATCATGTCTTCCTCATTGTCAGCACCTAAGGAATTTGGTCCCCCAACATTTTCCCTTACAGAGAAAAGAACTTTCACCAATTCCCAGATCAGGACTTGGTGCATCAAAACCAGACGTGAGGATGAAGACAATCCAGGAACCTCCAGCTGTCTCTCAATTATATCTATATAATTCCGACAAATTTCAGCAAGAGCCAGCCGATTAGTAATCACCTTCTGAAGTTTCAGTGTAAATGAACCTACATGAAATTGTTTGATGTCACGATTTAACGATTTGTGGAGGTTGAAAGGGGCATCAAAAGCACAGTCAACAAGTTCCTTTCTGGTTTTATCATTTTCATTGCTAACCACTTTGTCAATGCTAACTTTCTCGACATTTATGACAGAAGATAACCATCTTTCAGAGCTGCCACTACTTACAGGAGCACCAGAATGAAGAAGAACACCATTTGGACCCCATCCGACACGGAATGATTTGCTCATGAATAACCCAGCATCAACTATGTTGCGAGAATGGCTTCCAGTTACTGGTGTCTGGCGATCCAATTTGAGCTTGAAGCCATCCCCTATAATTGGGGTTAAAGGCAATGCCATCTTTTGTTGGGCCATCAATATATTTCCAGGAGAAGTAGAGTCAATACCAGCAGGATTGTACTCGAGCAAAGCCAATGGTGTTTTCCTCACTGCATGCGGACTAGATCTGTGAGTCATCCTCTCCGAGGCATTCAGCAAAGAACGCTTCATGTGCTCTTTACTTCTGGACATCTTGGGATAAGAGAGATCATTCAAATCTTCAACCCCATCCTCATCCTCAGATGGAAACATCAACATCTTCATCTCTTTCATCTTTCTAGGGTCAAGGCCAAGATGCGCTGGAAGAGAGTGATAAAGCATAGGCCCTGTAGGCTCAATTTCCTCTTCGGCTTCCCCATTTTCCTCAAGAATCTCTGCATCTTTAGTCACCCTGGAAGGATCATTAACTTCCTCAACATCATCCATTGTGATGTCTTCTTCATCATCTTCGGTCAGTCCAAAACGACTAAAATGTTGGACCGAAAACCTCCAGTCACCATTCCTGGGGTCAAATGAAATGAAGCGGGCTCCTTGCCTCTCCATGCTCTTTCTCAATTTCTCCACAAGATCTTGAAGCTGTTCCTTATTTGGGTGTAACGGTCTTACTTTCAAATTCAGAGTTACTTCAGCAGGCTTGTTGAGCCCCTGACCAACTGCAGGCTTAACACTTTCATCCCCATATACAACAATTTCATGCCTGTACAACTTCACAATGTGATCAACTTCCAACAACCTAACATCAGTCTGCCCCAGAAACTTGACACAACCATAACCAAACCTCCCAACCGTGAAATCCGGAACTCGACTGCAATAACCAGGATCTGAAATTTCCCTAGCGGCCAAATCAGCCAAACAAGGCTTCATGTAGTAATCTGGTGCGGTTAAAATGGGCAATAAAGGTTCTGCCTCTCTCAATTCCTTGTCAGGGGAGATTCTTCTCTTCTTGTATTGTGCATATAAATGGGAAGTTGGCACATCAAAATCCCCTCCACAGGAAGTCCCAAAAGCGGCACTGCTCCGCATGCTCTGGATTTCACAACTGCCCCCTGGGAGCAACGACGCAAACAGTGACTTATAGACCCAACAAACGGCACAAGCCCGCTTTCCAGCATCGAAATAAGAACGAAAAACGCCTAGTGCAATTCGAGCTCTACGAAACCAAATCTAGCACACGAGTTCCAGACACGCAATGGCGCCAGGCAATGCCTAGGAGTAGGGAAAGAGGACTAACGAAGACAGAACTCCAGAACTGAGGGCAAGAACTACTGAGTTGCGAGGACAAAATGAAAGTTCAATAGCTGAAATTGTTCTCTGGGCCATAAGTCGGGGTCAATCTTATACGTTCGTCACAGACAAGCTTGAGTTTTCAATTAGGTAGATGGCGAATCCGGCGGGGATCGAGAGCGAGCTTCAAAAGTTCGGAAGTTGGAAATGATTAGGAAGACGAAGGAAAGTGGAGTCTTACCTGAACGAGGAGTAGGAGGAGCGAGAGCGGAAGACGCCATGAGTGATCAGAGGAGCAGCAACCAGGGAGGAAGAAAGGAGAAAGTGGAGCACAGGAAAGGCGGGCAAGTAAAAGAGGTGATTTTGGTTTTTAGGGGGTTTAGGACTTGGGGCGGAAACTCGAGAGTCGAGATGAGAGGTTCGAAACATTTTTTTCTTTACCTCTGTAGATTCAATTCGACCACGGTTCATGATTTTTCCCCAAATACACACGTTTTTTTTAAAATTTCTCAAAATACACACGCTTTATAAAATATTCCCAATCTATTTGGGCTCACCACGACCGTCAGAAGCGATGAACAACTTCACCACAACCGTCAAATGCGGATGGGAAAAGAGAGGGAAGTGCGTTCCACATAAGCAAATTCTCCACCTGCGGCGAAGATTAATGAGTTGATTAAGGTAATCTTACATGATAAGAAGCAAGGCAAGAGTCCTAACCATGAAGTGGAAGAATGTCAAATCATGAGGGATATCAGCACTCTAGAAGAAAATGTTTATGTCATTGTGAATGGTAGTAGTTCCACCAATAACAACGATCCATGTGGTAAGTCGCACAATCCGGGGTGGAATGACCATCCGGTATATGCATGGGTAACGCCATCCGATCAAGAGTCTCAGATTCAAGCTTTGACATCTGTTTCTTATCAACCACAACTAGGGGTGGTAATCAATAAACCGGGATTCAGTATTACTGGATACCATATCGGTACTAGCGGTATCAGTATTCAATGATGTGATTTGACATAACAGTATATCGGATAATACCCGATAATATACCGACGACAATTCGGTATATCGGAATATCGAAATAGCATATATGAAATAAGGGCAAATGATGCTCTTACTTCTGCTTCAAGAACCTCAACCTGTGGCACTTGTAGCATATCACATTCATGGACAGTGAAAGTGTTGATTTTGGGATTTGATCTAGGTATTTGTGTTGTTTGTTTAATTGGTGGGATGTATAATTGGATGATAATTGGACAATTGGTTTTGGTCTTTTGGAAATGAAATTGGAGGGAACATGGATAGCTTGCGGCAGGTAGAGAGAAGAACAAGGGAGGAAGATTTTCTTTCTTTTTATTCTTTCTTACCTTACAACAATGCATCCACGTCCAGGCTTTATATATAAGCTTTTAATCAACAAATATCTAGATCAATTATGCACCGCCCTTGAATTGTGCATATTACAAAATCACAAACATTAAATTCAGATCTCCTCTTGTCTTCTCCGTATCTTCTTATATCATCTTCATATCAGCACTACAAGCAAGCAACGTGTGAGGAAGATGTCATCTCACATCTCTACTTTGCATGCTAACAACCAAACCACGTACAAATATAAAAAATAAAAAAGGATCAGACCTCGCGCAATGTGAATGCATCATCACCATCTAAACTTCACAAGGTGTAGATAGAGAGCATACAAGCTCTACATATTCCATCTTTGGACCTACATATTGAAAAAATATTACAATCCGAAAGGTTTATTTTAAGCGAATTTAGAACTCACAATTCAATGACTACAGTTTTGGAAGAAAAGGATATATTCGGTATCCAGTATACCGGTTAAAATATCGGTAATCGACTGTCCGGTATCTGGTATACCGGATACTGAGTAGCCGATATTCGGTATACTGGCAATTGAAAATGATCTTCAAGTTTCAGCTATTGAATTTAGAAACTGAGATGTGAGATGACATCTTCCTCACACGTTACCTGAAAGAGAGGAAAGTGCATTCCACATAAGGAAATTCTCCACCTACAGCGAAGATTAATGAGTTCATCAAGATAATCTTACATGATAGGAAGCAAAGCAAGACTCAAGAGTCGTAACCATGAAGTGGAAGAATGTCAAATCATGAGGGAGGCCAACAATCTAGAAGAAAATGTTTATATCATTGTGAATGGTAGTAGTTCCACCAATAGCAACGATCAATGTGGTAAGTCGCACAATCCGGGGTGGAATGACCACCCGGTATACGCATGGGTAACGCCATACGATCAAGAGTCTTAGGTTCAAGCTTTGACATATGTTTCTTATCAACCACAACTGGGGGTGGTAATCGGTAAACCGGTATTCGGTACTATCGGATACCGTACCGGATACCAGCGATATCAGTATTCAATGACGTGACTTGGCATAACGGTATACTGAATAATACCCGGTAATATACTGACGACAATCCAGCATACCAGAATACCGAAATAGCATATATGAAATAAGGGCAAATGATGCTCTTACTTCTGCTTCCAGAACCTCAGTATTCAATTAGGTATACTGGCAATTGAAAATGATCTTCAAGTTTCAGCTATTGTATTATGTCAAAGCACTAAGCAGACAGAAAACACAGAGAAAAGAGACCCATCAAAGCTTCGTTTGTCGAAATATTATACCAGCAAAGTAGGTGTCGTTTGGTTTTGGTGATAATTAAACTGATGCATTGTCATTAATGCATGCATAATAATATGCATGTATATATAAAAATTGGAGTATTGTAGTTTACATTGTTTGGTTCATGTGATAGTTATTGTAGTATTTAAATAAGGCATATCACTTTTTGGGTGAAATGTCACTTTTACCCTTTGTTTTTAATATTAAAAAAAGCAACACACACATTAAAAGGTAGGGACATAATTGGAACAAAAGAATACCCAACAATCTTTACCCTTTGTTTTTAACTATCACTCATTTTGAGTGATAGTTTATGTCAAATCAAGCAAACAATGCATGTATTGTTTATGCGGAATATTCAAAAAAAAAAAACAATGTATTGTTGACAATACATGTATTGTAACTATCTCAATCAAACTATCACCAAAACCAAACCAACCCATAAGATATTATCGATCATATATTCATACATCAGAAAAACATATAATTAACAAAGGGTTAATTGCAAGTTTGGTCACTGGGTTTACAAAAAAGGTTCACGTTTGGTCACTAAAAATATTTAAATCCATTTGTGGTCACTAAAATTAGTTCAATAGTTCGATATTGGTCACTCTCCGTCCAAGTCCGTTAACTTTCGCTGATGTGGCAGTCAATTTTAAAAGTTGACCGTTAAATGACTGAAGTGGCAATTAAAAAATAATAAAATTAATATTTTACTATTCACATCATTTTCACAATAAATAAATAAAATAAAAGAAAAAACAGAAAATAAGGTAAAATAAGATCCCTTCACCTCCTCTCTTCTCCACCGGATCTTCCTTCACCCAAAATTCAACTTCCCAATCACCGTCTTCCTCCTCATCCACTCAATTCCTTCTTTTTCCCTCTCTCCTTCAGTATATCTCATCCCTCCATGACCCCAACCCTACCACTAATTCACTGGCCTTTACCAAATAGAAATCCCCCAAACCCACCCCTTTCCATCCCCCTCCTCTCTTCCAATTTACAGAACCAAAAAGAGAAATCTAGGTTGAGACAAACACCCACATCTCTTCAATCCTACCTCTCTCTTCATATTGATTCATACTAAAACAAGCGACACCAACGCCAAATAGACCTCCATCGATTCCTTCTTGCAAGTGATTAAAAACGCGAAGAACGGCGTAGTTGCTCCAGTGGCATGATATGGCATGATTGAAGGAGACCGGGAGGTAGTGGAGGGAGGTGTTGTCACAAAAGAAGAGAAGCAGATGATGGCGGAGAGGGCGAAGATCTCCAAGAACTGGCGGCGGGTTCCGGGCTATGCCGACATTGAGATCTGTTCGTCGAGGGGAATCAGGGTTGTTGTTGTTGAGGGGTTACCTTTGGAACGGAGCTTCAAATCTGGGGCCGAGGGTTTAGTGTGGATTCTGGGAGGAATATCCGGATGGAGAAGAGAGGAGGTGAAGGGATCTTTGGCCAGAAAATCGTCGATCAAAATGCAAGAGAGGCTAGAAGTATTTTACCTATTTTCTGGGTTTTCTTTATTTTTATTTTTTTATTTACTGTGAAAATGACGTGGAAATAGTAAAATATTTTATTATTTTTTAATTGCCACATCAGTCATTTAACGGTCAATTTTTAAAGTTGACTGCCACATCAGCGAAAGTTAACGAACTTGGATGGAGAGTGACCGAATTCGAACTATTGAACTAATTTTAGTGACCACGAATAGATTTAAATATTTAGTGACCAATTTTTGGGGTTTATGTCAGAATCAAGAAGAAGAATATTAAGAAAAATCATAAACCCTAATCTCTCCCAGATGTAGTTAAAAGCGAGTTTCTACATAGAAACGTTGTGGTAATCTAGAAGCGTAAAATTGTAAGTTTTTAAGTTTTAAAGCGGAGTTTTTAACTACATAAGTTATAAAAACTGAGATTTTGTGTAGAAGCATTTTAATGACCTAGAGACGTAAAATCGTAAGTTTTTAAGTTTTCAAGCGCGATTTTGACTACATTGCTCTCCCTATCCTCTCAATTCTCGATCTCAATCCCTCTAAAGGCCTAGGCCGCTTCTCTATCTTTATCTTCTTCTTTCCCAAATCCCAATCTCAATCCCTAATTTTGTTCGTATAAACCCTAATTCCTAAATATCAAACTCGTTAGAAACTTTGTTTCTAACAGAATGGTTTAAGAGGAGGAATCCTACCTAAACTTGAAACTAGAGCTTGACGTGAAGCAGTGGTGGATTTTCATTTTCTAATATCATGTTATTCATGATGATTTGAGTAGACTCCATAAACTCTTGAGTCAGTTTAGTTCTCCCAAGTCACCTAATTAATCACTAGTTTCACCTGGACCAAACATGGCATCACCACACCAACCCCAACAACAAATGGTAAACTCTGTGAGTAAACACTTGTAAGTGAATAAAACTTGTGCTATTCACTTTGTTAGTTCATAGTTTTACCTAGTATAGTCATTCAAGATGTTCTAGTTGTCCCAACCTTTTCTTTTAACGCTATATCAGTTAGCAAACTCATTAGTCTTTGCCTATCTCACTTACTTTCAAATCAAACATATGCTCTATCCTTGATCTTCTAACCATAAAGTCGATTGGCTCTTCCAAGAGACTAGAGGTTCATAACAATTTATGTCATACAGAGTTGACAATTAAATCCATGTTATTTCCCTCAAGATTACTCATTTTCACACCCCATTCATTTGATTTGTGGCACTGGCGACTTGGATACCCTTATAATTTTACAGTTAAAGAGTTGAAAAGAGTTATGGCTGGTATATAGATAGAATATTTGCATCATTGTGATGTTTATAATCTTTGTAAACAAAATGTATTCCTTTTTTCCCCAAGCCAATATGCTGCACAAAGTACCTATAAACTCATACATGTTGATATTTGGGGTCCGTTAGTCACTCTGAATTTCATGGATTTCAGTAATTTCTTACCACATGATTTATACAATTTTTCAACAATACTTTCAAAGCACATATGCTTGTAATTAGTCTATTTCCTCTCAAACAAGTCCAGTGCGGAAGAGAGGTGTTTAAGGGAAGATGGAAAGTAGTAGATAAAGGTTGGGTGCTAGAAAGCTATCTGAATTTCCCTAAACACATCCTTAAAGGGTTCTCCGGTCCAAAGGAAAATCTCTTTGAATTCTTATCTTAAACACTATGACCGGTTGCCACTCACGTGAGACACTCATTTTTTCATTAAAAGTACACTCAATAATTGAGCACCTTTCTTCAAAAACCTTCTCCAAGTCCAAAAATGGCGAGAGTCCAACAAACATGTCATAGTCGTAACTAGCCAACAATATCAACCAACCAAAGAGCACGTGGAAGCAAAATTAATCATGGACCAACAACCCTCTAAGCGCTACACCATCCTTCCTAGAATGTATGCCATCACGACATCCACCAATTCTAAGCACAATGAGTAGGAATCATGCATAGGACAAGATGTATGGAACCATTAAATTTGAAAATTTAGGCATAGAATCTAAGTTCCAAAACACTCACAAATCACAATATAGGCCAATAAACACTCATTCATCCACAAGTGACCAAGTGCAACCACGATCAGGTACAACATTGTGGAAGTAAAGTTTAATTATCAAATCTGGGATGTAGGTGTACTATTACTTTGCGGACTACCTTGTTATCTAGTGAATCAAAGTTTGTACTAACTGATCAACTACTAAAACAAAGAAAAGAAATGTTTGGTTGAAAACTATAGAGAAATGTCACTCTGGTGTTGTCTCCTCCTAGTTGAAACATAGACCGACAAATGATTTTCCTAGTTTGTCAAATCTTGATTTTCACATCGAAGGATCCTATTCTGGGCTAAGCTCCCTTTCGAGTTACTCAACCTCACATAGAGTGAACTACCCGAAGGGGGGTTTCCACATCCGACAAATTAGCACGTCTAGGGAGTGCCAAGTAGGTTCCCTCTATTAAAGTACAATACAATATGGCATTGAGGCCCAATTTCACGCTAGATCCATCGACCAACAATGAAGAATGAGGTAAGTGCTCTAATTAATCTAATTGGATGTTCTCTAGCTTAGGTTAATATCATAATTGAGAGGATTTGATCAATACCCAACACAGTTCATGAAATATCTCAGCGACTTGGATTTCGATCTTTGCACCTCGAAGGAGTGTAAGGCCGACTAGGCTCTCATTCAAATTGATAAATAACAAAATAGAGGAAATCAAACATCAACACATAAGAAATAAACACAATTGTATTAAACCAAAGCATCGAGTTTACATGGTGAGAACTCCTAGGGTTCACATACATACGCAATTAAGGAAGTTAGCCAGCCATGGGGAGGAGTTTCTGGGTGTTCATCGACTGAAACGAAGATACCGAAATTCCCGCAAGAAATAGAAACCGCTTGTGTTTGGGATCAACATGATATTTGAGTTTTCAGGTCCCAATTTTCATAGTACCATAGTTGTTAAAGGATTCCTATAATATTTCCATTAATGAAATAATACATGGTTTTAAATAAATTAAAAAGTTTCAAAAGGTTGAGTCGCTAATGAAAATGGTTTTAAAATCGGATTAAACTATAAAGCCGATTTTACAAATGGATTGAGGAAAAAAAACATCCAATAACAAATACATTATGCATATATTTGACACATTTTAAAATAATCTCAATAATCTACATTCATATATTACAAATTATTTATTGTAAAGAAATATTTGATAGTTTTTACAAGTGGATTGAGGGAGAAAACATCCAATAACAAATACATTATGCATATATTTGACACATTTTAAAATAATCTCAGTAATCTACATTCATATATTACCAAATGATTTCTTGTAAAGAAATATTTGATAGTTTATACAAGTGGATTGAGGGAGCAAACATCTAATAACAAATAGATTAGATTATGCATCTATTTAACATATTTTAGAACAATATCACTAATCACATTTATATATTACCAAAGTATTTCTTTTAAAGAAATAAAACTATCAATCCTCATCTTCAAATCTGATTTTGACTAGTCAAGCCACCCGATTTTAATTGGTTTAACTCGATTTTGAATAATTTAACCTAGTCGAACGTGATTGAACCAGCAGGCCAAATAAGGGTTTGACAACCTTGCTAATCTACAAAATATATAATGGAGATTCATATATCCAATTTTCAGCATTTTGAATTTGCTGGCTGCAGAGCACTTCACGGAAGGTTAATAAGGTCATTTCATCCGAATTAAATGAAGTGTTGCGTTCTGTTCCACGCATCCGTCCTGCCTTCCTATTTATTCTCCACCAACGGGCTTTTGTTCGACATTGTGTTGGGCCCAAAATAGGCCTGTCCTTGAGCGGAAGGACTACTGCTGGACTACAGCACTAACAAAATAGATACAGAGGATGGGCTGCTACATGAGCTTGGTTCTTTAGCCTTGAAATTGACTTTTAAATGTGGCTTGAAATTGAAGGAAAACCGTCTACCTCCATCAGCTTGATTCTTTAGCCTTGAAATTGACTTTTAAATGTGGCTTACATGAGCTTGGTTCTCACTTATTTCTTTTCGTTGATCAAAGTGCCCAATGTTTGGTCATGCTCTTAATGATAGAATATTTTATACTGAAATCACGGTTCAATTATTTCATACCATTAACTAAACGTTACTTTAGCATCAGTTGAAGGTTTTTATGGTCGAAATACCGGTACAGTGCGGTTTTCAATTATTGGCTACTTTAAAAGTTAAAGTCGGATCAAACACCTTTATAAGCTCGATTTTGAAAAACTGAAAATGTTTCTGTTACATAAAAACATAAGTAATTGGAGCTTCTGTAAAATCCTATTTTGAAATACAAGATTATCTTTGCCATTTTTTATTTTTTTCGAGAAAACAACTCCTCTTTCATTTATATAATTTTTAAAAGTAAAATAAATTATAAAATAACATCAATTAAGATAAAGTAATCTAACAAGATCCATTTTGAATACTTTTTATTTTTTACAATTTTTACTCATCTATTATATTAGAAATCTTTTTTGTCATTTTACATGATTTCTTATTTTAACAAGTACTTCTAACAAATTTTCAGCCAATTATCAATTTTTTCTTCCAAAAACTATAACGAATTAACCCATTAAAGAGGAAGACTGTTTGCTATTCGTCATTTGATTATCAAACCTTAAACTCAACATTGTTACCTCCATATAAACAATTATTCAAAACATAATGAAATCATACATATGATATGAATAATTTATATTATTATAATAAGTTTTACTTCAATTTTTACCAAAGTACTTATGTTATGCATTTGCAAATGTTGTAGGTCCGATTAATTGAAATTGCTAACTCATTGCAAAGATGAGGATGGTTTGAAATTGTTGATGTGGCTGCGAGGTTCATATATAGAATTGATATAACCTATTGCAAGACTGGAGATGAAGTCTTTGTTTATTTGTAGTAGCATATTTTGTATGATTGACATTTAATTGAATTTGAAGTCATTTTGTGGTTAGTCCATTTTAAATTGACACTTTGAGGTTAGCTCTATTGAACTCCTTTTTTGGTGGTTTATATGGTCTTTGGTTGGCAATCTATTTATGCAGGGCAACACACCTACCCAACAAAAAACTACCGCGGAAAGGGAGTGACTAAATCAAATTATTCCTACATTCATATCGAAGTTTAATTCATTAGATTTTGCTTGCTTTGACATAAATTTCAGCAAACTCATTTGACATACTTATGCTGAGATGGTTTCCCCAAAAGAAACTAACGAAGTGTACTCCCAATATTATCGCTATAAAAGACGAAACATTTTAAAGTACCACCACAATTAGGGGTGGGCAACGGTCAGGTCCGGTCTTGATCGAATCAAACTCAGGAGAACTCCAATAATGCATTATTCGGTCCACTTTGGTCTGGTACAAATGCTAATTCCATCCATTTTTCTTTAGTATCTAGAAAATTCACAAGACCAAAAAACAAACCATATTATATTAGATTTGATGTGATTCGATCCAAACATCAAATTGATCTGATGTGGTCTGGTATGGACCAACCTATTTCCCACCCCTAGCCACAATCATGCTTCTTCGGTCCATGCGTCTACAAGTATCAGTACTTCTCTTTTAAGGCAGAATAACACTCTACCTCCCACAATAAGTTTCTTCATATTTAACTATTTGTTGTGTAGTCGAAGTTTATGCGTGTGCAAGACAGCTTTTTTTTGGGTAGAAAAGACAGCCTTTGCTTTGTGTATTGTGTTTGTGTGTATTCCCTTCCTTTGAAAGAAACAGAAAGGAAAACCAATTAGAAAAGTTTGTTTTCATGTTATTCTTCGTTTGTTCTGGGGTATTGAAAATTATTATTCTGGTCTGAACTATGTAGCAAACTTTTTTATTTGGTCTGGAGGTGGGTTTAACCATCAAATTAGACGGTCAAACCTGTTGACCGTTAGTCAATGTCCACCTCACTTGCTATGTCAGCTATCATGAATTTTTTTTATTTCTGAATTTTGTTTACTTTCAATTAATAAAGATAATAAACCATAAACATTAATTAAAGAAACAAAAAAAGCCCCAAATTATCCCAACCCCAAATTAATTAATTTGGAGCTTTTTGTTTCTTTAATTAATTTTTTTGGTTTATCTTTATTAATTGAAAGTAAACAAAATTCAGAAATAAAAAAAATTTATTTCTTGATAGCTGACGTGGCAAGTGAGGTGGACTTTGACTAACGGTCAACAGGTTTGACCGTCTAATTTGACAGTCAAACCCGCCTTCGGGCCAAATAAGGAAGTTTGCTACATAGTTCAGGCGAAAATAGCAATTTCCAATACCACGGGTCAAAGTAGAAAGTTTGTCTATAGTTCGGACCAAACTAATGTAGTAACCCTTTGTTCTAAATACAGTGCACATTAATCTATTGACATTCATTTTTATGTATGTTTTAAGAGAAATCTTTACTGTCATTAAGTGTATATATTAGGTACTATTAAACATGGTTTTATAAATTATTTGGTATTTTTTAGCTCCATCAGTAAAGTAAGTCGAGCACTTTCTTCAATTATTCAAGGGCAACTTCTAGAAGAAACAATAAACTAGGGTCAAAATTACGAATGAAAATAAATTACTCATAGATCACATATATACTTTAAAGTTGAGTATACTATATCAATACAAAAGTATCAAATTTTCTGCAACGAGAGTGAAAGTAGGAAGGGTATTTTTGTTTTTACAATTAATTAATTATTTCATATAAAAAATGTCAATATCAAGATTTGAACCCGGGTCTCTTCAAACAAAGACTACAATCACAACCAATAACACTAAACAAATTTGTTATGTCATTTTTAATACAAAACATACATGAAGTGACACTCTGAAAATCGGTGGACTATTCCATCATGATTAGCAAGCCCACTAAGTCTATAGTATGTATTTTTATGGTGCTTGAAGTTGATACTGCAATTTTCATAACAGAGTTTCATGTATTTTTATGGAAGAGACTAATTCTATTACTACATGTTGTTTTCTTGCATTTTTCAATTTATATTTAAATTTAGTACTTTTTTATTATCTTTGCTCTTAACTCTTTCTAACTTCCTCTGAAATTTTCTCCATCGTGCAATAGTTTGCTCCCCTTTCACTTTACAAATCTGCCTTTGAAAATCAATCTTCTGGTATCTCTTGGCACTACGATTTTATTGTTAGGAATTTAAATTGGGCAAGTAGAAGATTTCAAATCCGATATCAATCCATGGCGAATAGAATGGAGTTCAATAAATGGAGTTGCAAAAGGAGGATTAGAAATTGAATTTTTGGTTGAAACATACGCCTCTTGAGATTGAAGATAAAGTTGATAAAAATTTGATTGTACAACTAAGGGTGGTGGCTATTAGATCTTTAGTTCTATGGTTTTTGAAGATATCACAACTTATTTCTATCTTAAAACGACGAATCATTAATTGATTTACTGAAGTAGGTCGGTCGATTCTTTATTCAACCTACTGGGACTGATAGATGAGGAGTGTCTAATTTTGTTCCTTATACTTTGATAGAGTCTATTAGTATATTGGAGATAACCCTATTTTTGGCGTTTGCTCTCAAGTTTTTATGGTCCCCTCTTAGCTGAATTGTTAGTATATAGTTGACTTGAATCAACAACTTTCCGTTTCTTTTTGATTAGTGGAATATTGTTCATAAAATGAGAGCATTGAACCTTTATGTAGGAATGCCAAGTTTAAGATTTAGTTTCAAACTATCTATGGTTTGTGTGGGAATTTCAGTGAGCTTTTCTACTCTATCTTTCTTGACAAATGACAATCAATTAACCAATAGCATTTTACCAGGGACTTAATTATCATTATGAAAATGAGATCAATGATACATTTTTTATATTTTATACTCTTAAATGATGATGAAATTTCTCCAAATATTTTACCTATATATTCTTTCTTTATGTATCATCTCGATCGAAAGATTGTCAATAAAATTATATGGGTTGATAGATATAAATGTAACATAAAAATATAAATAATCAAATATGAATATTCCGACCAACGGGCCAAGTTATAAACTAGTGAATAATGACCCACATGGGGATGGGGAACTTCAAACCTGTTCCGGCCCGACAGAGTGGCAGTAGCAGAAACGACGTTATGCAACTCGGGACATAACTGGCCCGCAATGGAGAAGTCCAATACCATTATTTTTTTCTTTTCTTTTCCCTATTAAAGACGTACGTCCGAGACCGAGATGGGCTTTTGGGGTGTGAGACGGTCCATGGATACTTGTGACATTCAGACAAAGGAAACCTCAATTGGCGCCACAGACCAGCCCTGACGGATTCCCACTGAAGCCCACATTGCTTCTCGAGGGCCTAACCTAAGAGAGATGATCGACTACAACTGACCATGGGCTTCTTCTTGTGGCCCATTTTGTGCTACAAAAACATCAGCATCCACCGACCACCATCCCCAGTGAACCTGGTTGCCTGCCGCTCATCACTCGTGCATGAAGCTGCTTGAATCAATCGGTTGGTTTTGAATTATGATGACAACAATGAGAGAAAAACATCAGTTGGTTTTGAATTATAATTGTTGATGTGACTTGAATCGGACTATCAGCCGCTACTATTTGAGGTTGAATTGTAATTCCAAAAATAGTAGTGGTGTATGGGCTCAATGTTATTTGGGTTCGGGTTCTGGGCCCAGTCTGTAACCATTTTCTTACCAGATTGGATTAGGTTTAGACCCACATGGAGAAGTACTATAAATACTTCTCATACTCCTCTGTAATCTATAATCTCCTCGATATAGTGAAACTGACCCTCTCTCGCCCGTGGACACACATCGTGTTAGTGAACCATGTAAATCGTGTGTCGTGTTTTCGATTCTTGCTTTCTCGATTCCTGCGATTTCTCGATCCGTAGCAGCGCGTTTATTACAGTAATGTAGGTAGATGACTAATATAAATTATGTTGAAGTGAAAAAAAATCTAAAGATATGGTTGCAATAACGTTAGTGGCGAACCCATAAATTACATCAGGGGTATTCAACTATAACACAAAATCATCAAGGATTGTCAAATAGTTTTAAGTTCAAATACTACTATCACTACAATAAAATTTTACAAAGGTAATTTATCTCAAAAGTGGATTAAGGTTTGTCAATTGACAAACCCGTTGCTAACCTAGGTCCGCCCCTGAATAACGTATTCACAGGTAACGTTAAACTTACTAAACTACACCAATGTCATTCAAATATACATTACCACACCCTAGTGGCTGTCTGGCTCATGTACCAACATAACTCACAGGACGCGCTCCTATTTTATATCGTTACTAAACTATCTTAATATCGTTTAGTTTTGTGTAGCCATCCCATCATACATAACAATTTCGTGAGTGTCAAAAAAATTATTGTTAGACATATTATTAAATTATCTTAAAAAGAAATTTGACGGGGTCAAAGTTCATAACTCTATCAGTAATTTCTTTAGAATGATATACGTGTTCAAATTAAATCAATTGAATCGCTACTCACATAGTGAAATTTACTTTTAACAAAATTCACATAAAAAGAGAATTCGAAGAGTGCACGAGATTGCTAGCGTGCACCAAATTTGAAGTGAAATTGGAAAAGAAAGGAAATCTCGAACATGATTGGAAAAGAAACAAAGGATGGGGAGATGGGGGGAGGGAAAGCAATGTGGTACCGTGGTGTGTGATATTTTGTGTCACGAAACAATTTCAAAAAGTAACGAGGGATTTATGGTGTATAATATTTAGTAGGCCTGTTAGCGGTGCGGTTTCGGTTTTAATCGAACCGCAAAGTCGGTTAGCCGACACCGAAAAAGAGGCAACATCGGCAACCGCAACCGCGACCGACGGCACCATCGGTTAGCCGATAACCACAACCGTCGATTTCGGTTTCAAACGACGGTTATTCAGAGACCGACGCATACCACTTCCGACCACCACCATCGCTATGCATGTCACCTAAAAATCCCAATTTTGAACCAAAGGAAGCAGAGAGAACCGTCGGAGGCAGATGACGGACGACGACGAGCATACGTGGGTGTCAAATTCGAATCTGAGTCCGCGAATCGAGGTAGATGAGGGAGGAAGAGGAGAGAGCGTCGAGAGGAGGATTTGGATCTAAATCCGTCGCCGAAGGCAGAGGAGGAGCGAAGACGAGCATACATGGTCGGAGTTCTTGATTGGCGGCAGAGGCAAAGGCGTGGATCTGAATCCGTTGCCACTTAAAACATGCAAGGCGGAGGTGGAGCAACGACCATCGTCGCTCCGAAATCGACCTCTGGATTGGGAGGCGGAGCGAGGGGGGCAACGAGTTAGAGGAAGGAAGGAGTTGGGGATGGCGAGGTAGAGTAAGGGAGAGGGAGAGGGTCGGGGAAGGAAAGAGTTGGGTATGGCGAAGTAGAGGAAGGTAGAGGGACATGTTTGGAGAAGGAAGAGAGGGAGAGGTCTGGAGTGGAAGGCGAATTGGCGATGCAGAAGAGGGGGGGGGGGGGGGGGAGAGGAATCGTCGGTTATAACGGTGCACCGAAAGTATTTCGGTTTGTAACCGACGGTTTTCGGTTAGCGTAAAGGCCAAAATCAGTCAACCGCAACCGAGACCGACAACAGCTTATCGGTTATCGGTTATAAACCGACAGCTCGGTTCGATTATTCGGTTAAGCCGGATAACCGACAACCGATTATCACCCCTAATATTTTGTAGGATTTTTAGACATAAAGCGTTTGAATGGAGAATTTAGTAATAAGGGATTTTAGTTAGAAATTCTCATTTTTTTTTATGTATTTAGGTTTGTATTTCTTGTTTGGAATTGGATCATGGTTGTCAACGCGACAAAACCAAAATACAATATTGTCCTTCTCAATTCTTCTTCTTCTCCTTCTTCTTTCTAGATGTACTCATCCATGTTGTTTACTTCTTTCTCCTCTCATTCCGGGGTAGATGGTTTACTAGTGTTCTTGTCGAAGGTGGAAATCAGATGAGATAGTTAACAGTGCACCTTACCAATCCACATAAACAGACTCTCAGAAATCATAAACCAATTCCCGCTTTTTTCATGTAAAGTAGTGAACTCAATGACAAATCAGCTCTGATACCATATCATAAACTAACTGATCTCAATAACTCGAGTTGTTGAAAGAGCTTCATGTATGTTATTCAACCACTTCCTCACATTTCACTTTTTTTTTTCTTTTACAATTTCTGCCCTCCTTGCTCACTCACTTCATTCCTAGCTCAATATAGGTGATAAAACTCGGTTTGCGCAATGCGCTTAAATTACCTTGTAAGAAAGACGAATCAAATTGATGCTGATTATTCGAAGTGAAGGCAAGACAAAAACAGAGCAACCTTCGTTCCTTCCTTTCTTGCAACAAAGGCAACACAACAACAAGAGCCCGGCCCCCACTCACGATCCGACTTCCGATTTGCTCAGAAATTAAACCATAAAAGCTCTACCCTATCTAACATTTCTGACCCTTCCCCTAGAAATTGAAACTATAAAAGCGCTAACATGGTGGATCCCTTCCCCTTCATCTCTCACTCAGTTCTCCACACCCTACCCTCCTCCGCATTTTCCTCCTTCTTCTCCTTCTTCTTCAGTGTATTGAAGTTGGAGCTCAAGAGCAAACAGTAATGAATGCCCTATTGAGCTCGTCCAAGTACTGCTTGCATTTATAGCCTACCCTGTATTTATTTCAACGGAGGCCACCACTGCCTTCTTCACCAGCCAAAAGAAATAGAGCCAGAAAAAAACTTAACAATAAACAAATAGTAGAGGAGAGATTGGAGTAAGTTTTTTTCGGTGTGTAAGAATGTTGAGGCACAATACCTCGCCTCTTTTGCTACTACTGCTAGCACTTCTCTGTTCATCTTCGGTTTGGGTTTCTTCAGTCACAGCTGCTGTTACTTACGATGGTAAAGCCATTATCGTCAATGGGCAGAGAAGAATTCTCATCTCTGGCTCCATTCACTATCCCAGAAGCACTCCTGAGGTGTGAAAATTTCCCCATCTTTCACTCACCCAATGTCTTCAATTTCTTCTTATTTTGGAGCTGAAAGTTTTGGGGTTTTTAATTTGGGGGAATGCAGATGTGGCCTGATCTCATACAGAAGGCGAAAGATGGAGGATTGGATGTGATTCAGACTTACGTCTTCTGGAATGGGCACGAACCCACCCCTGGAAATGTACTCTCTTTTTCCCTTATTTCTTTTGCCCCATTAATGGGTTCTAGCTTTCTGCAACTGATACTGATTATTTTTGAAAAATTGCTTTGTTATTTCGTCGAAGTATTACTTCAACGACAGATACGACCTTGTGAAGTTCGTGAAGCTGGTTCAACAAGCGGGTCTCTACCTTAATCTCCGGATTGGCCCTTACGTTTGTGCTGAATGGAACTTCGGGTAATGTTGGAAAACCCTGCTCGAAATTAGTCGAAAAGCTAATTCCTTCCCCCTGTTTTTTCAAATGCTCTGTTTTTGTTTTGTTTTGGGGGTGATGCAGAGGACTCCCTGTTTGGCTCAAGGATGTGCCTGGAATCTCCTTCAGAACTGACAATGAACCCTTCAAGGTAGTCGGCTGCCCTTTCTTTTATGCCTGATTGTCAAAATTCCTTTTAAAGATCATGAGAGCTGACGGATTGTACTATGGGTGGGTCGATGGATTCAATGAAAGGCGGCAATGCAAAAGTTCACAGAGAAGATCGTCAACATGATGAAGCAAGAAAACCTCTTTGAACCCCAGGGAGGCCCAATTATTCTTTCCCAGGTTAGGCGAGACATATGGACAAACTAAAGTTTATCTGCACCCTTTTTTGGCTGTAAGGCTGTAACCCTTTTTCTCATTGGTCATAACTTTTCGTTAAAAAAACCATCCTTTTAAATATCAGTAAATTAATGAAAATGGTCAGCCTGCCAAAACCCAAGTCTCCATCAAGAATCTGGAGATGGGTTTTTCTTGTTTTTACTGTTTGCTGTTCAGTTGATTGATTGTGGTGATGTATGGTAACAGATTGAGAACGAGATGGACCCGGTGGAATACGAGATCGGGGCGCCGGCGAAAGCCTATGCACAATGGGCAGCTAAAATGGCAGTGGGGCTCGACACAGGAGTCCCATGGATTATGTGCAAGCAAGAGGATGCTCCTGACCCTGTGGTAATTCTCTTTCTGGGTATTTCGCCAGTTTGTTGTTAGTCTACTGTTTCTTTAGCTTTCCTCCTTTTCTTCTTCTTCTTCTTCTTCTTCTTCTTCTTCTTCTTCAGTTGCTGCTGTTGTAGATGCTTTATGAACTTTTTTCTTTGGGAATTTTCGTCGAACAGTTGCTGGATCTAGTTTGGTGGTCCATAAATCGCACATCTTTATCTCTCAGTCCCTTTTTCTTTTCAATCCATACTTGAGCTATCAATCTCCTTCTAGTGGGTTTTGCGTTTCTGTTGCGATGGTGCTTGTGATGTGAGTGCGTGGTTTAGTTGATGGGTCTATTTTTTTAAGAGGTTTTCTTTTGCCATGGAGAAGATTCTCGCTGAAATAACGACACCACCACCTTTTGTTATCACAAAGTGGGAGCGGGTTGAAGGAGCTTTTCTGTTGCTAGAGACTGAAAAGTACCCATCTTTTTGTTTGGTTCTGATTTGGATGCAGATAAACACCTGCAATGCGTTTTACTGTGAGAACTTCAAGCCAAACGCGCCATACAAGCCTAAAATGTGGACTGAAGCCTGGACTGCTTGGTAAGTCATACGAGTAGTGAGTGAAAGAGGAAGAAAAAAAGGAACATACTTTTGGTTTGATTCATATCTAATTATGTCATGCAAATTTTTGCCACCCAGGTTCTCAGCATGGGGAAACCCAGTCGCATACAGACCAGCAGAAGATCTGGCATTTTCAATTGTCAAGTTCATTCAGAGTGGTGGCTCTTATGCCAATTATTACATGGTAACTACTCAACTTGGAACTTCAAATTAGGGTGGATGTGTTCTCTCTTCTTTGTCTCCTCGTTGCTGATTATTTGTGTGATTTCTCAGTACCATGGAGGGACAAACTTCGGTAGAACAGCAGGTGGACCCTTTGTGACCACAAGCTATGACTATGACGCCCCTCTTGATGAATATGGTATGGAGTTGTAGTCATTCCTTCACACATCAGAAAACCTCTTAACTGCCTCTTACACCTGACTCATGCATGCGAGATAATGCAGGGCTTCATCTAGCTGGTAACAGCTAAGGTCTTTGTTGGCACAAGCCATATCTTAGGCTGATCCTTCCTTGTCTGATTGATGTTTTTCAGGTTTGACAAATGAGCCCAGATACACACACCTGAAACATATGCATAAAGCAATCAAGCAATCTGAAACTGCTTTGGTTTCTGCTGACGCCACTGTGAGATCACTCGGGAAAAATCAAGAGGTAAGCAAAACCTCAATCTACTCGAATTGTGGTTAACATATAAAGTTTTTGCGTTCTTTTTGTGTTGATGCTGCAATTTGGATGTGATCACTGTCTCCAGGCTCATGTATACAGCTCAAAGTGGGGCTGTGCTGCATTCCTAGCAAACTACGATGTGAATTATGCAGTCACGGTCGACTTTGGAAATGGTCGGTATGATCTCCCAGCATGGTCCATCAGCATTCTACCCGATTGCAAAACTGAATTTTACAACACTGCAAAGGTGAGGGAAGAAAAGTGAGACTCTTTGCAGCATTGATTCACAACACTTGCAAAAATATTGTTTTCAACTTTTGTCTGGGTGGTAATTACAGGTTTCAGCTCCACGAGTGCACAGGAAGATGACGCCTGTGGGTGGATTTACATGGAACTCGTACATTGACGAAGTTGCTTCTGGTTTCGCTAGTGATACAACTACACTGGATGGATTGTGGGAGCAAGTTTACTTGACTAAAGATTCTTCGGATTACCTTTGGTACATGACAGAGTGAGTATATAATAGCCAATCACTTGCTCATGGAACTCTGCTCTGCTTCTTTCCTCAGCATCCTGCTGATAGTTCTCTTTCTTCCATTCTTGCGATCAGTATCAAGATAGAAAGCAACGAGGCATTTCTGAAGAATGGAGATGACCCGGTTCTCACGGTCCAATCAGCTGGCCATTTTGTCAATGTTTTTGTCAATGGTAAACTCATGGGAAGCGCTTATGGCAGTAAAGACAATCCCAAGTTGACTTTCAGCCAGGGTGTGAAGCTAAACGTTGGTGTTAACAAGATTGCATTGCTGAGCGCTTCAGTTGGTCTTGCGGTTAGTGTTTCTCACTTCTCTCTGGAAATTAGCTTTTGTTTTCGAGAACTTGGACTCAATTTGGCTGTGCCATGACCTTTTCCCATGTTAAACCAGAATGTTGGACCGCACTTTGAGAACTACAACGTTGGTGTTCTCGGTCCAGTCACACTGAAGGGATTGAATCAGGGGACAGTTGACATGACCAAATGGAAATGGTCTTACAAGGTTGGCGTGCAAGGTGAGAAATTGCAGCTGAATACGATCACTGGAAGTTCATCCGTCGATTGGTCAGATGGAACGCTGTTAGCTGAAAAACAGCCTCTGTCGTGGTACAAGGTAATTGAGTAACTTGCTGAATTACCCCTCACATGATACATTGCTGGATCTTTTACTGAGATTTCGATGATGAAACTTTTGGCAGACAACTTTTGATGCGCCAGAAGGGAACGAGCCATTGGCGCTAGACATGATCAGCATGGGGAAAGGCCAGGTATGGATCAATGGGCAGAGCATAGGCCGATACTGGCCTGCATATAAAGCAGAAGGCAACTGTGGCACCTGCTATTACGGTGGTTACTACGCGGAGAAAAAATGTCTCATCAATTGTGGACAGCCTACACAAAGATGGTAAAAGGAGAAAAACTTCTAGTGCCTTCTTTCTTACTAATTTTTCACTGCCAGTGTGTTTACACGTTTTACTTTTCGTTTACGGCAGGTACCATGTTCCACGGTCATGGCTGAAACCAAGCGGTAACTTCATGGTTGTGTTTGAAGAATGGGGAGGAGATCCGACAGGGATTTCTATGGTCAAGAGAGGCTTAACTGGAAAGAAATATGATGCATAAGCTGCATTCACAATTATGGTTACTGGCGAAAGGTCGAGAGCCAATATTGTGAAGTGCTGGGATATTGTACAGCAAAAAACTGCATGATATTCTTTACACTATAAGGTAGTTAGGAGGATCTGCTGCGATTGATGTTATATGAGTCCTTTCAAAAGTTATTCATTTCAGGTAAGCATGTAGTTTACCTGGGTTTCATTTCAGTCTTCTTTTGAAGAACTGTAAGCCATAATGCTTACTGCTTTTTGGGTGTTTGCAAACGCTCCAAGCTTGTAAGGAAAAGTTACTGATGTCGCTTCTCCTTCATATGAATAAAAGTTGATGAAGTTAATATACACCAGTTTCCAAGTTCAAGTATCTCCGCTGTACATACTTATATGGCTCTGCAATCTGCATAATCCAGAAAAAAGATGGTTTCCGAAAAAAATAACAGGCTTCAAAATCTGCTTCAAGTAGAAGGAAATTTAGACTTGAGGGCATTATTTGCATTAGCCAGTTCGGTCTCAATAAGTGCTACTTCTTGCCCTAGGTTTCTCCACTTCTCCAGTCTGCTAACAAGATCCATCAGCATCTGAAGTCCAGCAACTTCACCAGCATCGACCCAGGGTAATCTCTGCACACACTTTATCAAGTGTCTCCAGGTTCTCAATTTCACCTTGCAAATATAACTGTCTGCAATATCCAGTCTTGAATAGCGATTCAGACATCCTGTCAGCAATATCAGTCAAGCTGAGGAGTGAGGACAATGCTGGCCCCAGCAATAGCATCCTTCATAGTGAAACCCTCATTCTGTGGAGCTGAATGGAAGATGTTAGTGGCTGCATAGTGTAAGAGAAACTCGCATCCACTTTCATTCATGTCACTTGAACACCCGCCAGTCAAGATGCCTAATGGTATCCATCTGAAAAACATGCCATGTATTCTGGTTATCTTGGAGCCACAGGCGGATTGCTTCACAACCATGCAGATTCCCAAAATTGAACCCCTCCTTGCTTATGTCATTGACTTTGGGTTTCTAAAGCTCCTCTTTAACCCGAGTCTACGCGTCTCTTGCAGACTGAGGGCAACTTGTTTCAATGTTCAATGTCGTGCGAACTTGATTAGATTACCAGAGAGTATATCTTGACTGAGTTCTATCAAAAGGGTTCAAAATTCATGCAAGGTAACTAGCAGCATTTTCGCCTACTGGTCCTTCTGGTTCATAGAGCTAGATTTTGAGCAGAAGTATTGGCAGCAGGCATTACTGGTACTTCATCTCCCCCAGAAGACAATTGTACATGCAATTGTACATTGTCACTATTATTTCCCAATATATTAGACTTTATACTGACTGTGCTTTAGGAGAGGGCTATGTCATAAATAGGAAAAGTGACATATACATAACCTTTTATTGTCGGTCAATATAACATCATAAAGTACATCGCCCGTCACTAACACAACATAAAAGAAGCCGCTATCTAGCAATGCGACATAAAGGATGGCGTGACCACACTCCTTCTTCCTCTTGTGGATATGTTGGGACTTTTTTTATATAGGTTAAAGATGCTCGATCATGGCCTCCATGGTTGGTGTGATGTTTTCATCGTATTTTGAGTAGCTTCCGTCATTTGTTGCATAATCTAGAGGGAATCTCTTGCCTTATTCTTCCAAAGATTGAGTTATAAACTGATCATCTTCTTCTTCAATGGCCTCATGATGATCATCCTCTGCATGATCCACGATCTTTCTACATTCTTCCTCATCTAATGTTTTTTATTTGAGATGATCTTCCTCTTCTCTAGAGTCCATGAATTCTTCATCCCCCACAAGACCTTCTTGCTCCTTGACCTTTCCAAAACCTTAGTGCATCTTATAGCAGTTGCTTTGGCGTTTCATTATTGGTGCTAGCATTTATGGCTGGAAGTAGGGGTGGAAATCGGTACGGTATTGGTATCTCAATACCAAATACCGAAATCCCGAATACCGAATTACACCCTAAAGTCAATCCCAATCCCAATCTCTAAACATTTCGGTATCCCAATCTCAATCCCTAAATATAGCGGTATCCCAATCGATACTTCGGTATCCCAATCGGTATTATCGAATACGAAATTAGTTACATTTACAATTAATAATTAAGTATATAAATTAGATTTTACTGTTTAATTTAGGGGAAAAAGACTAAGAAAAGAGTCTTGAATTAGGATATTATTAAGGAGAATGAAGGAGAGGAGACATCTCAAGTTCTTGTCATTGGTAATCTTTAATTTGACGAATTGGAGGTTGACAGACGACTATTAATAGTGATGGAATGATTTATGTATAATTAAATGACACTTTTGGTGGCTGAGGGTCGTGTAGTAGTGAATGAGAGAGTCTAGTTGAGAAGAAAAATTAAATACACACTAGCTTATATTTCGGTACATACCGATCCCAATCCCATAATCTCTAATACCGAATAACAAATTAAATTAAATCCCAATCCCAAAAAATAATTCGTGTATTCGGTAATACCATATATAGACAAATTCGGTACGGTATACCGAATACCGTACCAAATTTGTCTATATATGGTATTACCTAGGGCTGCAAATGAGCTGAGCTGTTCGTGAGCGGCTCGGTGTTCGACTCGAGGAAAGCTTGTTCGAAACTCGGCTCGTTAATAAACGAGCCGAACATGAGCTAAACTTTCTTGAGCTCGTGAAGCTCGCGCGCTAGCTGGGCTCGGTGGCTTGTTGAGCTAAACTCGTGAGCTGGCTCGTTTAGAGCTCATGATATGCCTCAACATGTGGCTAGAGAGCCAACTCGATTACCGACTTATGGACGAATCAATCTATATCTTATGTTTTTAATTAATATGGTTGTTAAATTATATATTTCACCATATATAAAGTTTAAAACGTTGAGTATGTGAGCAAATATATCTTATTTTCTACTTTAAAAAAAATTATGTATCATAAATAGTTTCGTTACTATGAAATAACATGATTTGGAGTACTTAAAATATATTAACTAAATGATATATGATACCAACAAAGTATAATATGATATTAGCTAACAAAATAAATCATGTGTATAATGATATACAAAATGAAGTACCAAATAAAAGTTAAGATTTTAGTAAACAAGCTAACTCGAGCTCGACTCGACTCGTTAATAAACGAGCTGAGCTCGAGCTCGACTCGTTTATTAATGAGCCGAGCTCAAGCTGGGGTAAAACTCGACTCGGTTCGGCTCATTTGCAGCCCTATTACCGAATACATGTATTATTTCTTGGGATTGAGATTCAATTTCAATGGTTATTCGGTGTTAGGGATTATGGGATTGAGATCGGGATATACCAAAATATAAGCTAGGGAGTATTTTATCCTCTCAATTATACTCTCTCGTTCACTACTACACTACCATCAACCACCAATCTATTGTTATTTTCATAACACCAAAAAGCAAACAATAGTATTAGTCTTCTCTCAGTCTCCAATTCGTCAAATTAAAAATTACTAATGACAAAAACTTGAGATGTCACCTTTACTTTATTCTCCTTATCCATATCCTAGCTCTAGTCAAACTCAAAACTCTTTGTTTAGTCTCTTTGTTCTATATTAAACAATCAAATCTAATTTATATATTTAATTATTAATTGTAAAGGTAATTAAGTTCGTATTTGATAATACCTATAGAGATACCGAAGTACTAATTGAGATACTGAAATATTTAGGGATTGAGATTAGGATACTGAAATTATTTAGGATTTGAGATTGCTTAATCTAGGGTGTAATTCGGTATTTCGGTATTTGAGATTTTGGTATTCGGTATTGGAATACCGATATCGTATTGATTTCCACCACTATGAGATATTTGTTGTTGCTAAGGGTCACAGGGTAAAAAAGTGACCCGTCCCTAAGTTAATTGTCTCTACTCATCCTGACCCTTACAAGATCAACAAATGACCCGTCCCTAATCTGACCCTGTAAACAAACTAACTCGTCTCGACCCTTAGGGACGAGACATATCGGGTTTTTCGGGTCAAGCTTACACTCCTAAATCATATCAGTGATTTTCTTGTCAAACCCGATCCAACCGGCACCTTGCTCATACAATATACTTTGAATGTTGCAGATATGTTAATTATGTTTTGGAATTCGTAGATGCTACCAGCTGGTTTAGCGATGGCAATGGGGAGGGCGGGTACCTCAATACCCATGTCCCGCCCCATGCTACTACGGGTCGGGTAGGCCCCCCGTGCTGGTACGGGGCGGGCAGATCGACCCACTCTTACATGTTATTTGAAAATAACACATGCAAATTTTACTTTTTACGCTAAAACGAAAGGGAAAAACACTAAATGAATGAAAAGTAGTTGTAATAGAATGAGTAATTGAGTCTAACCAGTTGAAAGATCGATTCTAACTAGTTAAAAAAAAAGTCGAAATATGAGAAATATGCATAGAGATTGTAAGAAATTGAGATAAAATGGGCCAAGAACGGAGCAGGACGGGCCGGAAGTAGATACCCATTTCTTACCTCACGCTACTGCGCGGGCCGGATAGTTCCCGCGTCGTCGCAGATCAGGTCGGATAATACCCACGGGGCGGATTTAAATTGCCAAGAAGCCTGGTAGCTAGTGGGGAAATATTTCTTTTCCCATAAGATTACATTTAATAATAGTCCTCTGCCAATTAGGCACGCCTCGTCGTCGCTACGCTGGCCTAGCCTGCAGACGTTTCCATTCCCAAAGGTTGCATGGCCAATAGCCTGCCTAGCTTTACGTGCCAAGAAAACTATGCAGCCTCCTCGCGAGTTTCGCCATTTTCCTACTGTCACGAGACGTTTAAGATTCGCTCCTAAAAAAAGCCTCTCTCTATATATATATCCTGCGGCTGCGCCCACCCACCAAATTATCACCAAAAAACTGAAAACCATGTCTACTTCTCGTCCCTTCCATCTTCTCTCGTTTCTCCTCCCTCTCTGCCACCACGCCTTCATTTCCGTCGCCGCTCTGGGCTTCCCGCCGCTCAATATCGACCTTGGCCCTCTCGCCGACCTCTGGCTGGACCCGTTCCGCGCCCTCCAGCTGGCGCCGTTCGTGGCCACGTGCCACGCCAGGGTGGACTGGAAGGAGACCGCCAAGGGACACGTCATGATACTCGACGTCCCCGGGCTGACGAGGGACGAGGTGAAGATCGAGGTGGAGAACTGGGTGCTGAGGGTCAGCGGCGAGAGGAAGCCGGAGACGACGACGACGACGACGACGAGATCAGGAGATAAAATGAGGTGGCAGTGGCATCGGGTGGAGAGGTCGCACGGCAAGTTCTGGAGGCAGTTCAGGATTCCGGAGAATGCTGACCTGTCGTCCCTCAGGGCCAAGCTGGCAAACGGGGTCCTCACAGTCACGTACGCCAAGCTGTCTCCCGACATGATGGAAGGACGCAAGACTGTCGGCGTCGATGGTGCGGGCGGTGGAGATTCGGCCGCGGTGGTGCCGAGATACAGGATCAAGCCGGAGCTGTGACGCATCGATCTGAGTTGGGAATTTGCTGTTGAGATTAAAAAAAAAATAGTACATTTATTAAGTTAGTTACCCAACTGCGCCTGAGAACATTTTCGGGTTTTATGTTCGTAATTGTAAGTTGTCTTTTATGACTCAATTCAGTTTGCCAGTGAAAAATAATCTATCTAGGTTTAGAGCATTCTTATCAATACAATTACAAAAATAATTATATATACGGGAGGACGAAACTGATAACTATGTCTCTGAGAAATTTGTGCCTCTGTTTTTCGCCTACGAACTCCATTGACGAGCTCCAAACCATGAATCTCGCCAGCAGATCTTGATGGTTCTTGTTTTCGATTTCTTTCGATGAAATCACTCGAAGAGCGAAATCGTTGATCGTGTTGACCGACTCTCGGAACCGCTTCTCCGACCCGAGATTGAGAAACCTCTTCATCTTCCAAAACAGAGGAACAGGGGAGGTGAACCTCGAGAAGCAAGTCTCCACCGCGTAGCCGAATGCGTTCATGAAATCGAGATCCCGGACAAACAATTCAGGATCCACACCGAACCCAACTCTGCAAATGCTTCTGAAAGCGAATTTATTCAACACCTGCCGAAGATCGAAACCCCTGTTTTCCTCCTCTGCTTCAAATCACAAAGTTACGATCTTTCAAAGTTTGACGAAATCAAAAAATGACCAGTTCGGAGTAGCAAATAATATATTTATTTTCAACGAAGGTGGACCAATCATCATTCGACTGTTTGCAGCTTCAAAGATCTTGAATAATTATGCAGAATAAAAAAAATTCGCATAATTCGGATAATTGAGTGCAAAGTTACGATCATCTGAAGTTTTAACCTTGGTAATTAGGAGTAGTTCGCGGGTGTGAGCTAGCTATCCACCCTAGATTTAGTGCAGATCGCTTGGTACATCCGTGATCCACTTTCGATTAGCATAGTTCGCTTTTATCAGCAGTGATCCACCCTGGTTCTCTGCACTGTCCACCGAACGCCACACTGGTTCACTATACTTTCCAGCAAACTACTATTTTGGGGAGAAAAAATTAAGTGGGATATTGTGAGATTTTTTTTTTAAGTTGTGGTAACTTGTGGTAATCAATGATGAAAGTTGTAAATGACAGTTAGTATACTTATACTATCATGTATTCAACCTTTTCTATATAGTCTTGGTATGTTCATATCATCATGGTACGCTTTCTTACCATATGGTATTAAATAAGAGCATACTATATGATATTGACTAGTAAAAAATGACTCAATTTTTTTTTTGTTCTAAAAATATATCAAAATGGGTATCATTTTAAAGAGTACAATTAACCTGATTTATCTGTGAAAAGAATTTAAATTCCAACTTAAAATGAAAAAGAAATCGTCTCGCAAAATAAGATAAAAGGATTTTCATGAGGAAGATATGCTCTTATTCTGATTTATCAGCTCCCGTTCTTAGTTCTTACCTACTGATCGAGAGAGGAACTGATGGGACATGACTTATAGTGGCATCTTGCTTCTCCGGCGTCGACGACGAGAAGAGATTGGCGGATGAAGTATGTACGGGAGGGAAGAAAGAAGCTGATGATAATGGAGGCGAGAAGCTTATAATTTGGCCAGCTCATACATTGTTTAATCAATAGGAAAGGGGAGCTATTCATTGTTGGGTTTCTGAGAGAACCCTAGAAAAACAATATCTTTTGCTATCCAGCCACAACTGCGAATGGAGTGCTCACGGGTCTCATGGGCAAAGGGAATGGGAGAGTGTAAATATGATTGAGGAAGGGTAACTAGGGAAAAGCCAACTTAAGAGTGGTGCTCGGTCGCTCAAACTCTGTCTTCGATCAAATGTTATTGGTGATTGCTAGGGTTTCAGTCTTCCAGTAGCTTTGGGGGAATTGATCTGACGCCGGAGGATGAAGAAAGCTTCTAATAGTAATCCGGCCGCCGGGTTCGGCGACTTGCCCAGAGAAATCTTGCTTCAAATCCTCGTCAGTCTTCCCGTGATTTCCATCCTCAGATGCACCGCCGTATCCAAGGTATGGAATTCGCTGATCAGAAGCTCTGAATTCGTATCCCATCACCGCTCTTCCTTCACCCTCTCCAGTTCCAATCCCGACCGCCGCCCTTCCCTCCTCCTACGCCGACTCACCGCTGCTTCTTCCGAACATTTCACTCTCCATTCGGATCCGGAGCGTTTCGCTGCTTCTTCCGTCGCCATCTCGTCCCCGTTCAAGCCTCGATCTGGCATTCCCGGTTGCATTCATGTTTTCGGGTCGCTACACGGATTAATTTGCCTCTGCGACAACTTTCATATGTATGCTTACACCATCTACATTTGGAATCCGTCGGTTAGGCGGTTCATCGACGTCCCAAGTCCGACGCTCACTTTCAGAGAAATGGGCGAGCTTGCTGGTCCCAATTCCGCCCCTGCCGTGTTGGGATTCGGGTACGATTCAAATGCAGATGACTATAAAGTGGTCAGAATCGCCTACCCTCGAACTGCTGGGGCACCACGGCGAGCAGAAGTTTACGCTCTGAAAGAGCGTCAATGGAGGGAAGTTCCCATTGAAGTGTTGCAGTCTTGTGATGGTGATATCCTTTGGTCTCAGTGTTTTGTAGATGGGATTATATATTGGCCAGCTAAAGTGGGATTGAGAAAGAACTTTCTTTTGGCTTTCGATGTGAATGATGAGAGTTTCAGTAGAATCGAGTTGCCCAAGGAACTGCCAGGAGCAGGTGAATCAAGACTCATTTCCATTTCAGAGACCAAGGTCACAGGTTTGCTTACAGTCCTGTATTATACTGCCACTTCTTGTGAGATATTGGTAAAGCGAGGGTGCAGTTGTGCGGACAATAGTTGGGCAAGATTCTGTAGTGTAAGCATAGTTGATCCAACCCGAGAACTTGTTATAGGGTTGTGGCAGGATAAGGAGGTTTTGTTGCAGAAGGGAAGCGAGGAGGATTTGGTTGGGAGACCGAGGTCGGGGCAAGAAGTTGTTTTGTGTTCATATGATCACAAAACCCGACAAGTTGAGCTTCTTGGGATGCCAGGCGCTGGATACCTAGATGTATTCTATGCTGCGGATTATACAGAGAGCATAGTTTTACTGGAACCAGAAGTCTGTGCAGTTTCTTATAGAGACCCTGAAGTGGAACCCATAGCAAGGTGACATATGAACTTGGTGTTATCTTATGTTTACTATGTCTGGATATGAGCAGAATTTGTTCTTACATTATGTTGCTCCGTTTATCTCTGCAAATCCTCAGTTCAATAATTTCTGTTTCATGCCATCGCGATTAGTACTCTACTCTAGTAATGATGTTTTGTGACGAATCATGCTGAGAAGGTGAGGTATTATGCTTGTAATAGCTATATTAATCTTGCATTCTGATTTGTAGTACTTTTTGTGTCACCGCTGCATATTGATCTCAAGTTTTCGGTATGTGGAGCCTCCGAATGAATGGTTCCCCACCCCCTTGTTGAAGTAATGGAGGTCTGGAGTTTCGGTAATGTGGAACTCTTGCAGTTTGCAATCGCATATTCGTTATGTGTTCTTTACCAACTTTGTGATAGTTGCTTTGAATTGTGATAACTGATAAGTAGTGTTTATCATAGCTAGCTAGAGCCTAGATGTTTACTTGCTTGGTTGATAACCATACTAAAATGTCACTGCTGCTTTTCTCTGCGGAATAGGGAAAATCTTACCACTGCTATATTTATCGTTGAATCAGGTCAGTGAACTTTGATCTGGAGGATGCGCATTTCAAATGGTGTGCGGAGCAACGTCGGTAGTGTGACAAAGCATGCTGAGAAGCTTAGACTATTGTACTTGTAGTAGCTTTAGTCTCGAAATTCTTATTTGTAGCACTTCTTCACTTCTAGCGCCCCTGCATACTTGTTATTGTTGTTCAATGGCCAGCCGTGCATATTGATGTGATGTTTCCGTTTTGTGGAGCCTATCTGAATGAGGGGCTCTTGCTCCTCTGTCCACGTTCTTGTTTTGGGTAAGGATGTTTAGGGTTTCAGTAATGTTGAGTTTTATGCAATGAGTAATTTGGAGCTGATCATTATACTTTATTGTTGATTCAGGTAAGTGAACATTGATATGAAAGGTGCACATTTGAGATGATCCAGTGAGCGATTTGGAGCTGCCAGGTTGATAATGCGTATGTTTTGCCCGACTTTTAGAAGTGTTTTCGGCTTTAAAAGCTGAAGCAGGGTCAAATACCTCTAAAAGCTCGGCTTTTGAAAAACCGAAAAGCGCTTTTGTATAACTTAAAAGCAGAAGCTCCGATTTGCAGTTTTTGTGAAAAACTGTTTTGAAAATACAAGATTAACCTTACCTTTTTTAATTATAGTTCAAAAAATAAATTTTCTTTCATTTATATCATTTTAAAAATAAAAAAAATATTATTTAATATAAAAAAAATCTAATAAGATCCACTTTGACTACTTTTTATTGTTTAGAATTTTTATTTGTAGTTTATATTATAAGTCTTTTATAGTTATTTTACACAATTTCTTATATTAAAAGCACTTCTAATAGTTTTTCATTCAAACACTCAACTGTTTTTTTTTTAAGTACTTCTCTAAAAGCTCCATCAGAAACGGCTTCCGCAAACTGTTTGTGCTACATGGCCTATTGTTTATGCTAAAAAGCTGCTTCTGAATGGACTACAAATCCCAAAAAGCAGTTGTTACTCAGCCTCCTGTAGTAAGCTAACTGAAGGAGCAAGGAATGGAATGTAATTCACAATCAAAATGGGCTACAAACCCCAAAAGTTGTTAGTCAAACAAAAACAGCTACATAATATCTCTCTCGTTCCCTGCAACTAATAAAAATGGTTCTCGGTACATATCAAAGCGATCATCTTTACCAAGTTCAAAGTGTAATCAACCTAAAAAAATCAAATGCTGCAAGATGAAGAACAATATGAAATTGAAACCTAACCTTCTGAAACAAATTCTCCAAAAGAAAGAGATAGTTTAGGCTTTTGATTTGGAGTAGGGAGAAAGCTGAAAAGCCGTCGGGAAGGTCATAGATATTTTGCACGTAGCTTCCTAGCAAGTAAGAGGCCCATTCTATTAAGTGGGCCAGATATGACTCAACATCCAATAGCTGACGTGGCAGGGAAAATTATCTTTATGTGCCTGCCGTTAGTATTATTGACGGAAATGATGACGTTGCAACTACTATTCGATTTAAATGGTTTAGGTGCAACAAATCATACTTAGGTGGTCACCGTGCAACAAATGGTAAACTTAAGTGGCAACTGGTGCAATTAACCTCTTTTTGCAGGCTACAGCAACATGTAGCTCCTTCTGCCTCGAAATTCCGGTTTTTCCCCCTTTATATACCGGGTAAAGGAGAGGAAATCGAACTCTTGACCCTGATATTTTCTTTTGGTAAACACTAAGGGTCGTTGGATGAATTAACGAGGAGTCAAATCTTTCATGCATATTTTTATACTAGCTGAAATCTATCGAATTAATAATAATTAACTAAATGTTAACTATTAGGGGTCGTTTGGAGAACGGGATTTAGGGCGTGGATTCATTGAATCCGTAGATTTTGTAAAAAATTATGTTTTTTTGTTGCTTTTTGTATTGTGGATTTTGGTTTTAGTGATTTCAAATCTCTAAATTCTACGGATATCAAATCTCTCATAATCAAAGAGATTTTATATCTTGATTCGTGAGATTTTTTTCTCCTTCTTTTATTTATTTATCATATTAAATATATTTATTAACAAAGTTTTTAATATTTTCTCGAACCACTCTAATTTTTTTATTAAGGATAAACATATTATTTAATATAAAATTAAATTTTTTAATTGTATTGAATGTTAACAATCACAGTTACCAAAAAATAAACATTTTAAAATCTATTTTCAAAAATCCGAAGAGTTAGAATCTTTAGATTGTTGACAATCTATAGATTTAAACTCATATTCTCCAAACGACCCCTCAGTTAGCAAGTTTGTTAGTAATATTGACTTGGCAACATGATAATGATTTGGAAGAGACTCGTGGAGGTTGACAGTCCAAAAAATTTAGTATTTTAACTAAGAAAAGAATTACAAAATTATTAACGATAGTGTAAAAATGGGTAATATTTTGATGCATTACAGAAGATTTGACTAATTATTAATAAGTCAATAGGTTTGACTAATAAAAAAAACGAGAGAAAGGTTTGGTTAATATTTAGTGTTTACCCTTTTCTTTTCTCCATTCCACAACTTTGTAAGCCTTTACGGGTCCTCGAGCAGCTGGTAAACCGCTCGTGTAGTTAGAGGTGGCAAATGGAGTAGTGTATCCACGGATCAAGTGGATTGAATCAAATGGAATGGTGGACTCATGGATTGGATCATATGGATTGGTGGATTGATCTATAGATCCAAATGACATTCAAAGCATTGGACCAATATATAAATTTTGAAAACTTTAGGTACTAAAATGTCATAATAAAAAAATTTAGGTACCAAAACATAATTTTTCAATTACATTTTTCGTCTAAAAATAAATTTTAGGTGCCCAAATGTCAAGTATAAAAACTACATGTACTGAAACGCAATTTTCCATTCGGATTCATGATCACTACAAAACTCTACAAAGCTCACAACAACTCTCCCATTTGATGCGGGAGTAATGATCATTTCCTACATAGGAGCATCTTTTTATCCAGAAGAGATTGCCTCCTAGCAACCACAGTCTCCTCATCTACAATCACAACCCTACTAATAGTTAGAGTATTATTATCAGGAAATTTATCGGCAGAGTTTCCTTCTGTACTTCAGGGCTTTCTGTTGATATAAACATCCTCACCCTTGCTAACCTCCACTATACTACCTTCGGAACTCATTTCTTGTTGATTAAAGCTAATTTCTCGCAATCATGACCGAACACTTCACAAGTAGCACATACCAATGGCTTATTTAGATAATCCACCTCAATTTCAAACGATGGATCATCATCTTGATAAAGACGAACTACAGAGGAGAATCTACAAACAACTGGAAGATTAACACACACCTTTGCTTATCCTAGCTGACCATTTACCCTCGTGGTTTAATCCATCCACACCGGAGGACCCAGAGTACTAGAAACCCACTCCAAACCCTCAAAAGAATGACATTCCAATGGTAGCCCTCAGATGCAGACCCAGATCGGCAGTGTTTCAATGACCGGAGCCACCGGCTGGATTCTCAGAGCCCACTGTCGAGGGAAGATCTCATTCCCTTGAAAGTGTCAGGGACCAAAAGTGAAAACCCATTTGTTGATTGCCGCTGGAGGATATTGAAATACAAGAAGACGAGGCCCGAATCTGGAAACCCTAATTAGCCCCCCCCCCCCCCACCCACAAATATTGTTCGCCCATTGTCGAATGAAGTGCACCTTAGAAGTAGGGCCGACGAATTGGCCAATTAAGCAATCTCCCACTGTCCCTCGTTCTTCTTCTTGACCTCTCGAGGGAGGCGGAACCCATCATGAATATGCTTCGGAGGCCAATAATTCATCCTATTAGTCAGAGCAATATTGAAAAGTTGTGCCCAAGTAACGACCTCGCCAACCAGAGCAGATTCTGACGACGAAGCCGTCATCGTGACGATCAGAATCGCTCGCTCAAGAGGAAAGAGAAGAGAGAAAAAGAACAGATATATAAAATTTTTCACTAAAACGACATCATTTTGATTAGAAATCGATTGATTTCATATGATCGACACCAATTAAACCAATTTCAACAAACCAACACGCCACCGACATAACAACCATACTATCTAGAGGTTAGTTACTTACTTGCCCTCCTTCCCTTCCTTCCCTCTCAAGTCTCATCTCATCCCATGTTTCTTTAGACAAGCTTTGAGGAGGATTAAGGAACACAAAAAGGAACCAAATAATAAATAAATTAATGTTGGGTTATTATTCGTCACAAAAGTCGAAAGTCTCTCCACTCCTCTTGTTCCGTCGTTTCCGTAAATTTCCCCCTAAAAACGCTCCCCCACTTTATCTACAATTACAAACTATCCCTTCCCTTTCTTCTTCTTCCTCCTCCTCCCTAATCCTCCCCCAGCTCCAGAAACCAGTTCCTCTCCAGATCCCAATTCGCCATTTTCTCTTGCTCTGTTTCTTCTCCTCCTCCCAATAAAACCACCAAATAACGACTTCCCTCTATGCCTGGAATGTCGAGATGGAAGAAGCTCAAGGACACCGGCACAACTCTCTTCCTCCTCTCCCCTTCCCCGCGCTCATCCCGCTCTCCGATCGCCGCCTTCCGCCTTCTTTCCACTTCTTCTCCGGCGGCCCGGTACTTCCGATTCTCCCCAATCACCACGCATTTGAACTTCCTCAACAGGTACCGCCGCCGGGAGTCGCTCCCCGGGGTTCAGGAGCGGTATAAATGGGACGGCGGCGAGGGTGGTGGTAATAATTCGGTTGATGGTGGCGATAACAGTATCAGGCAGATTAGGGCCGAGGCTAATTGTCCTCGTTGCTCCAAGCACATGGATCTTCTCTTCTCGAATAATCACGGTCGCGGTCTTAATCATCAGCATCATAATCCCAATCTCTCCCCTCCTTCCGATCCTTCTTCTTCTGATAATAGTAATCAGAGCAGCAGCGGCCGCGGCGGCGGGGGAGATGTGTATCAGGCTGTCAATTACTGCCCCAATTGCAAAACTGCTTTCTACTTCCGCCCTCACAGCAATGCTCCGCTACAGGGGAGCTTTGTTGAGATTGGGAGGATCAGTAATGGTAAGTTGAGGAATAAATACAATTCCGCCAAACATTCCAATAATAATGGCGAGGGGCAGGATTCTTCGTCTTCCGGGGATTCGGTTGCTACTTCCAATAGCAGCATCAATAAGAGGTCGAGGGCGTCATTCTGGCAGACTCTTCGGTCGTATGCGGCTGACCCACCTGAAAACTGGCCGCCACCGCCTCCTTTGCCTCCCTCGCCGCCTCCGGCCAATGGGTTGGCTGTGCATACTCCCCCTGGTCCACCATTTGCACCTGGTGTTAATGTTGTCAGGGCAGCTGGCCCGGGTGGTGGAGGTTCAAGTGGTGATGGAGTTGAAGGAGAAAAGAGTGGTAGATGGGGTGGGGCTAATCTTGGGAATGATTTACCTACTCCGAAAGAGATCTGCAAGGGTCTTGACAAGTTTGTTATTGGACAAGACAGGGCCAAAAAGGTTTGTACTTTGCCTTCTGAAGCTGTCAATGTGCAGGGATCCCTCTCATAATTCTCCAATGAAAACCTGTTTCCATGGTTTTATTGGCAGGTGCTCTCCGTTGCCGTGTATAATCACTACAAGAGGATTTACCATGCCTCACAAAAAGGGTCGGTTCCATTGCAGCAGTCCTGAATCGGCTGACTTATTACAGCAAGTTTTCAATCATCTGTTCCTTTCCATCTTTGGTCCATGATATGAACTGAAATGATAATTTCCAATACTAGGTCAGTAGCAGAATCTTTGAGTCCCGATGCAATTGATGATGACGAAAATGTAGAGTTAGAAAAGAGCAATGTTCTCTTGATGGGTCCGACTGGCTCAGGTATGAATTATGCACTGCATTTGGGTCCTTTCAATTGTGATGTGCTCTTGGTGGAAAAAGATTTTCAGGTCTTCATATGACGTCCGGGTTCTACCTATTAAACTCTGATTTTTGTTCCTACTCTTTTGTGAAACAGGTAAGACATTGCTTGCAAAGACACTTGCACGATTTGTGAATGTGCCATTTGTCATTGCAGATGCTACAACATTGACTCAGGCAAGTTTGTTCTGTATAATGCAGAGCTTTCCCCCCTTTTTCATTAGAAAGCATGCCATGAATTGCATGGGTACTCATAGTTGAAGGCAAGTCGTCTATTGGGAGTGCATCAAATAGCCAAGTTTTCTGTTATGACATTGCAACACTGCTGATTATTGACTATTGCAATTTTTCCCTCTATGCAGGCTGGTTATGTCGGAGAAGATGTCGAGTCTATATTATATAAACTTTTAGCGGTATGTTTTCCCTCCATACTTCTCAAGATATTGCAAGAGCCTATAATATCACTCTTTGAGTAAATTCCTGTCAGTGCTCAGTCTTTGTTGGGTATCTCTGAAATAATTCAATCACATTCGGTTATATGATTAGCGAGTGATGTTTATCATGCCTGTAGCTAGTGAATAGTTGACGTTAGGCTGTACAGATCATCCAAAGATCCAGCTTTCCGCATAATAAGTTGAGTCTGCACACCAGAACCATAGGTTGTACAGAATTTGGCTGGTTAGGGAAATTATGTGATCAGAGTCATGACATTGTTCAAGTCAGGCTCGGGCATGTATGAGCTGCTGTTTCTGTAACCACTCAAATTTAGGACCGTGGAACGAAGAATTAAGGAATTCTAGATATGAATTAATTACTACAATTTGTTTTGTTATCTCCAATAGTTATGGGTAACCTACCCATTCCGTTCTCCGAAAATTGACTATATTAACAGGAGCTAGAATGGGGTATAATTGTTATGTGAAGCAAACATTATTCTGATGATACCTGATTTCTGTTATCCTTTCCTTTCTTTGCGACGTTCAACGTTTTCTCTTTCCCTGAATCTAGGCAGCTGAGTTCAATGTGCAAGCTGCTCAGCAAGGGATTGTCTACATTGACGAAGTTGATAAGATAACTAAGAAGGTTTCTTGTGAACACCCTGTTCTGCCAATTGGGATGTGATCTTGGATTCTTTCTTATATAGATCTTACTAATGCAGTTGTAAATTTGTAGGCCGAGAGCTTAAACATCAGCAGAGATGTGTCTGGCGAAGGTGTTCAACAGGCTTTGTTGAAAATGCTAGAAGGAACAGTGAGTAAATCAAGCTATTACATTTAGCATGGTTTCCTTGTCTTTTGAACTGTGGTATAATGACTGGTGTTCTTATTCTGCAGATAGTTAATGTTCCTGAGAAGGGAGCACGGAAGCATCCCAGAGGAGATAACGTACAGGTACCATGGGAAATATATCTTCCCAAAAAACAGTATTATTTCTCCGACTGAACCTTTGGAAGATACAGATGGACTGCATCAACGTCTACCCATAAGATATATGCTGTTTCACTGCAGAATACTTGTTTATATAATGTAACAGTGTCATTACTATTGTGATGCCTAACAAACTGTTTTGGTGTATATTTCTACCTACTAGTGATTTACTAAAACTCCATGGTAGCTAATGTAGGAATGCGTGTTTTTCTCCCTTAGGTTGTGTTTCAATTATGTCTTTCATATTTGGCGGATTTAATGAACTATGTAGTTTGGCACTTTGGCTCATAATCTGAAATCTTAGACCTTTACCTACAGTGCCCATGTTTGTTGGACTTCTCTGTGTTCCTTTTCCGAAGCTTCCCCAAAGATATGGAAGTGCTTAGATAATGTGTCTCTTGGGTTCCTTATATGACAAATATAAAGTGGGCTGAGCAGCATGTGGCTGCTTCATGCATTTTCTTAAAGGCAAACTGCCAAAAGTACTACTTGTATTGGACCCTGACAGTCACAAAGTACCACATCAATGCTAATGAGAACAAATATCTGGTCATTAGATGGAATGACTTTAGTTTGTTGAATAATTTGATTTCTCAGATTCTTTAGGTTGATGAAGTATGTAGTTGCTGATGCCCATTCTTATGCTTAATGATCTTTTTCATCCTTGCTTTTATTTTCACGGACAACTATGATTTAGCTTTGTGTTGGTTCTAAAATTGCTTTCTCTATCCTGCAGATAGATACCAAAAATATTCTTTTTATTTGTGGTGGAGCGTTCATTGATCTGGAAAAGACTGTTTCAGAGAGGTATTGCTTTATGAGAGTCATTCATTTCGATGTTATGTGCAAACTGCTTTTTGGACGTTTCTGGATTTCTCCGATGGCCTAGCTTTATTGCTTATGTAATGTAGGGTGAATTTAATTATATGCATCTTTAATTATGATAAAATTCTTGTTCCTTTGTCTTTTCACTCCAGACGGCAAGATTCATCAATTGGATTTGGGGCCCCTGTCCGAGCTAATATGAGAACTGGTGGTGGTGTAACAAATGCTGCTGTTACTTCGTCCTTGCTTGAATCTGTAAGACTGGAGACTTTCCTAAGTGAAATGACCATATATGGAGTATCCCAATAGTTATATGTCAATTAGCAAGTGGGAAGACATAGTTATGCTGAGCACTTCATCAAATGTAAATTAAGAGTTGTGTTTGGTTTTTTACAGGTTGAGAGTGGCGATCTTATTGCCTATGGTCTAATACCAGAATTCATTGGACGTTTTCCTATACTAGTTAGTTTGATAGCTCTAACGGAAGAACAGCTTGTGCGGGTAATTTACTTTATGTTATGTTGGCCTTCCTATTTCCATAAGATCTATATTAGTTATGTCTCATCTGTATAAAACGCTGTGCAGGATATCAAATTAGTTAATTTGAACTGTCTGCTTCTTTCTGGACTTGTCCATGTAACTTGTAGCTGTATGGTGGCTGACATTGTCTTGTCTGCAGTTTAAATGTATTTTCAGAGTTTGCATCTTCTGGTTGTCTGTTTGCGTTTCTGTGTCTGCTTAGAAAGGTACATCAGGACTTGAAATCTTTATAAGAAACGAGGTTGTCAATTTGTTGACAGGTGCTCACAGAACCAAGAAATGCGCTCGGAAAGCAGTATAAGAAGTTGTTTGGCATGAACAAAGTAATACTCTCTCAGTCTCTTTCTCTCTCGCATCCAGCCAGTTTCACTACTGCTGCTGATGAGTTGCTGCATGAAATGTCAGGTCAAGCTGCACTTCACAGAAAAAGCACTCGGACTAATCGCCAGAAAAGCAATGGCTAAGAACACTGGGGCTAGGGGTTTGAGAGCCATATTGGAAAGTATTCTTATTGAGTCCATGTATGAGGTATGCAAGGGCCAGAGGCTCCCTTTGTGTCTGGGGAAGCACATCTTGTGGACTATTTACATACACATACCACATTTATTTATGCATTAACGCCACGGTGGTGCATGTATTTCCAGATTCCGGACGACGAACCAGGAAGTAATAAGGTGGTTGCAGTTGTGGTTGATGAGGAGTCTGTGGGATCAGACGCCGCAATTGGTTGTGGAGGAAAGATACTTCGTGGGGATGGCGCATTGGAGCGGTGGCTTGCAGAATACAAGTTGAAAGATTCAGTGGTTAGTAATAAGCCTCCATACACAGCTCACCGACATGTTGATACCGATACTGAACAAGTGGAGGATACACATTATTTTGCAGGAAAGTAGGGAAGCAGTAGATGCAGAGTTGCAGGACGTGGAGTCAGAGGTTTCAACTAGAGCTATGAGCATGTGAAGAAACACTGAAACAAGATTGATCACCCTTACAAAGTCGGCAGGCAGGCAGGCATGTAATTCATTCAGCACCAGATTATTTGTATTTTGTATCAAAATGAAGAAAAGAAAGCAGAGGAAATTAGGGTTCATAATTGAGAATGTAATTATTATTATCCCTAACTTGTAAACATTACAGCATAAAGAGCAGAGTAGTTCTTCCTGAAGGTGATTGGGAGCTCTTTCTTTTGAGAAGTATAAAAAGAGGCAGCACTGTTGGGGCTGGTTTGGTTGGGAAACCAAACTTTGGACAGTGTGGGATTAAGATTTTAGGAGCAGGGTAGCAGACATAATAATGAGATCCACCTTTTTGTTGTACCATATAAGCACCTTACTAGTTGCATTCCATGAATGAAGAATTTTGCAGTTCAATTGTTGTTTGATACTCCCAAAGCTTTCAACCATTTTGTTCTGAAGCTAAGGGACACTTGGCCTTGAATATTTTGTCTAGGCTAGCTAAGGAGTATGATCGCATGTAACTGTGGTGCTAGAGCGAGCGACCATCGTTATGGATGTATGGCAAGTTTAAGTTGTGTGACTGATTGCTCATCGCGATTGAAACACATCATCAAAATCAGCCTAGTCAATTAATTAATACCGCAAGATTCTTTTACTGTTCCTTACGAAAATATCGCGGGGAACCTTCGATCTGCGGTAAGTTTTGCCAAGTCCCAAGGGCCGTTCACTACCCATTCATTTACAACACTGTTCACAAGAGGCTTGATCCCATGTAAACAGGTCCACAGTAAGTTTTTGTTTTTGACAACCAACGACCAAATGCAAATGTCCATTATAATCCACTAATTTTGGGTATAGTTCACAGGTTTATCCATTATAATCCATTAATTTTGGGTATAGTTCACAGGTTTAGTATTCCCCAATATGAATTTTCTTTTTTGCCAATACAGTTATATGAGTTTTTGTTTATCATCCATTACCCCTAATTTCACCATAAGCCTTTTATGTTAGTCTTTCATATATATAGTTTTTCCTTATGCATCAATTAAATCTTTTTCGTATGCATCAATTAAAACAATTAGACAAGTCTTTCTTGATATAACTTTGAACAAAAATTCATTTATTATTAACTAAACTGTTGACCGTCTCATGAATAGGCATTACACTGTTTCTGTAAGATTGGTTCTTTTTTTTAAATTAATAGTTTAATCACAAGTGATTTTTTCATAACTTAATTTCTTTATTGCTAACTGTAATTTTCACCATCTCATCAATTCGCACTATGCTATGGCTTCGTCAGGTATGTTAATCTGTGCACAATAATTTAGTAAAATGTAATATTTTTATAACTTAATTTTATTATTAGACCACACCTTACGGGAGGGGTATGTAACACCGTTCTATAATAGGTATGTAAATTTCAATTACATTGTGTAAAACTTATGGAGGGGTAGTTGTTTTTATTTATCAATTAAACAAAATGTTTCGAAGTCTTCCATGATGATTAAGACACTACATGAAGCTTATGAAAGGACAATAATTTCTTATGTATCAAATAAACAAAGATATTACGTAAGTCTTCCATAAAATAAGCTTAAAAAATTCACTTTATTATTACCTAAATTGTTGACAATCTCATAATTTGCATTCCACAACGGTTATGTAAGGTGGGTTATTTTTTAGAAAATAGTTTAATCAAATATGATACTTTTATAATTTAATTATTTTATTATTAACTAAAAGTTCCCTTAAAAATAACTATAGTATTCACAAGCTCAGCAAGTTGCATTATGTAAAGGTTTCCTAAGCTACGTTAACTTCTTCATAATAGTTTAATCACTTTTCATAACTTGAATTTATTATATCATACATTATGTAAGATTTACACAACACCTCTCTATAACAATTACGGATATATAAATACATAAATACATAACATAGAGTTTAAGGAGGGAATATTGTTTCTTATGTATCAATTAAATAAACATGTTACGTAAGTATTCTTTAATGATTAAAACATTGCAAAATTTCTTGAGATATCCTACCCGGACTATTTTGTGAATTATTTGTCCCCCTAAAATTCAAATCTTATCGTCCTAAAACGCAACAAATTGACAAATTTATCCTTCAACCCAATTTCAATTCTAATCCTAACCAAACAATCCCTTCCTCACCCCAACCCACATCCGCCACCCTCACAAAAAAAAAAAAAAAACCGCCGCCTCATCATCTCCCCTCTCATGCTCCTGCCTAGGGTTGATAATCAGTTCGGTTTGGTTATAATCGGAACCATTTAGTCAGTTCTCGGTTAACCATTAAGTACTTTGTGCTTACCGTTAACGCACCGTTTAAATTCGTCGGTTAACCATAACCGCATAGTCGATTCTCGATTATTTGTCAGTTAATCGAATAACCGTTAACTAAGTGATTCGGCAAGATTATATCAAAATAACCGATCGATAACCTATCCAACCTAAGAGCTATTTCTTTCAATTGTGAAATTTTCTATAATATTCCATACATACGCATGTGTTATTTTATTAAGTTGTTATCATTGAATAAAAAATAATTTAACATAGATATTTATAAATACATAATCAACTCACTCCAACACAAGTACACAATAATATCGTTCTATCGTCAAACTTTATTTAAAAATATATAACGATACTCAACTCATAAACCCCATCAAATTACATGGAAGTTTAATGTTACTAATTATTGTCGAGCAACTGTGCGCAAGTCTGACTTTCTACTGTGTTTCTTCTAAAACTCTTCCTTTAAATGATTTTCATTTGAATCTAAGTCACTATTACAACTAGGATAGACAAGAGGTCTTGTAAGCCTTAAACACCCCATTATTTTTGGCCTATGTTTGCAGCTCATGGAAGTCTATTATTTTAGCTCTAACTATGAGGATGCTCGTAATCGGTTAGTCGGTTAACCGTTTAACCATCGGTTAGTTATTAGCTAAATTTGATTACAGGAAACCGACCGTTTATCAGTTACACCGTAATCGGTTAGTCGGTTAACCATTTAATCGATTATCGGTGTGACCGTTAAGAATTGGTTTCGGTTCGGTTATCAGTTACACCGTTAATGGGATAACCATTTATCAGCCCTACTCCTGCCTCAACCCCAATCTGCTGCAGCTACTGCTACTCGAGCGCCAGAGGGCAGGAGGGAGAAGAAGCAAGTTAACGAGGAGGTCGTCTTCGGAGGAAAAAATTGCAGAAAGCAAGTTAATGAGGATGATGAATAAATATCTAGGTTTTATCCAATTATTCTTTTTAGAGAGTAATGTTTATTTTTTATCCAACTTTTTCCATATTATTTATATTATCCAAACCTATTAAAATGCTATTAGTTAGCCAAATCATTGATAATGCATCAAAATATTAGGGCGAAGAATAGCAATATAAAAAAAAAAGAGTTAATTGCAAGGTTGGTCACTGAGATTACAAAAAACGTTTATGTTTGGTCACTAAAAATATTTAATTCCGTTCGTGATCACTAAATATAACAAAATAGTCTAAATTTGGTCACTCTCCGTTAGTTCCCGTTAGTCTCTCTGTTAATGATGACCGTTATGTGCTGACGTGGCAGACGGAATTGCCTGGCCAGCTTAATTTAACCCAAAAATTGTGAATCCTGACCCGCCACATCATCTTGCCCAACCCTATAACCAAACCTGATCCATGAATCCACCCACTCAAATTAAGCCCTATCTGCGATGGCTCTGGTGGACGAGAGGATGCATCGACTGCCGCAGTTCGTTTCCTCCCTCCTAGCATCTCGTTCCCTGCTTGCTCTCTGGTAAAGGGATTTGAGATTGCTGAGCAATCTCCCCATCCTCCTCCTCCTAGCATCTCGAGCTCAGAGATAACGAACCTTGCCTTCACTTTCAACCTTGTAGTGAGTGAGCTTTCGAGGGAAAGATGTTGGTGCATCTATGATGGCACTTCCCTCTTAGAATCCCTGATTATTGAGAAGTTGCATAAGTAAAATTACTTAGGTCTGGGTATCCTCAGGTTGAGGTTGTTGTGATTATGTTTGATTGTACAAAATTTAAGCTCCCCTGCACTATTTAAATTGATTCTGCAGGGTCGGGTAGGGGTGTAAGTTTGACCCTAAAAACCCACTGACCCGTCCCTGAGGGTCGGGACGCGTCACTTTTTGACCCTGTGACCTTAGAACAACAAATATCTCATACCACATTGGACCTCTTTGTAAAAGAATTAAAAGTTTAGGTACTAAATAGCAAAAATAAAAAAAAGTGGGTACCAAAATGTAATTTTACCATCAAATTTTAAGGACTTATTTGTAAAAAAATAAATTTTAGGTACTAAATTGTATGAAAAAATAATTTGGGTACCAAAACATAATTTGTAAAAAAAATAGTATGTAGATTAGGGTCGAGGTCGACCCACTGACCCGACCCGTCCATCCCTTGAGGGTCAGATATGGTCAAGAAGGAGACAGGGACAAGACGGGTCAGTTATGCATCTTGACCCTTCAGGGACGGGTCAGACAAGGTCATTGACGGGTTAACGCAATTTTCAGCGGGGCTTGTAGTTGTAACTTGTAAGAGTCAAACTCTGCTAAAATTTGGTGGCTAGTAAGGGCGGATCTTCCGTCATTTCTCGGTGAATAAAAAATTATTCATGAAAAATACAATCAATATGATTTATCATGAAAAAATTGAATTCCAAGTTAGAATGAATCTCGTTAAATTTAATTAAAAAATTACACATATTTTCTGCAAAAAATAAAAAACACATTTCCAATAATTAATGAGATTACTACTCGGGGCTTGGTTGAATGGTATAATCACTGATTTCCAATCTAAAGATCACACATTCAAATATTTTAAATATTACCTAACCCAATGATAAAAACATTGTAAAAAAATAAAATTGAACGTCACTCATTGGATTTGGGACTTGGTATGCGACATTAAAAAGTGATGGGCCTGGGCAAAACTATAGGTGAGAAGAAACTGGAGGACCATCGATTTATAAAACGTGCCACCTACCAGTTGCATCTCCATGGCGGATCGACTTCGGACCCATTAGTTTTTGTTAACTATTGTAAAATTGCATCGGAGATTGTACCGGTAATATTAACGATATGATATTTTATATTGAAACCGTAATTTAATTGTGATTCAACTGCTTCATACACCTTTTGGTAATGTAGATATTTTTAAATGTTTTGTTTGTTAAAAAAGTTTTTATACGAGTTATTTTCAATGAGTTATTTGTATAATATTACCATTTTGTCCTTACATATAATATGTTTTATTTTCTTGTTTGCTATCCTAATAAACCTAACCACGAAATTAAAATTCATTTTACAAAAAACATGTAACAATTATTTGGGTATCAACCTTATATAAGAATACTACCTTTTTATTTTTGAATGATAATTTTATATTAACTTTCTTCACAAATTGTGACGGTTATAAAGTATAATAATTTTACAACCAAACATAACCTATATTTGAAATTGGTCTTCAAATTAGTAACAATTATTACTCTAGAAATAATTGGAAATTATTATTTGAAAATAGTATGACAATATTGAGTTTATGAAAACAATAAAAAGGGTTAATATTGGGTACAAGAAAAAAGAGAGGATTAATATTAGAAATAGATAGTGACGGAAAAATTAGATATGGGAGATCAATCATTTGCAAGTTACTCATTTTACTTTTCATTGCCCAACAAATCATTTGATATCAAATAATTCAGTTAGGGTGAACAAACACACCCGTAAACAGACTCACCCGTCCAACCCGATCCAACTCACCCATATTTGTCGCTAAATCGAAGGTTTTGGGTTGGATGAGGTTTTTTTTGTACAACCCGCCTCTTTTGGGTTGGGTTTGGATTTTGGATTACACAACCTGTAGAACCCGACCCAACTCGTGTTCCAACTATTAGTATAAGTTCGTATCTAAAAAATATTTATGTCGTATATAGCCATACTTATGAGAAAATTAAGATATTTCGCTATGTTTTTCTCTCATGGTCTCGCTAATCTAATGCATTCTCTGACTTAAAGTTTAGACATAAATTGAATGTAGTTATGATTCACGTAATCCTTTTTCTTGTGTACAATATTAATAGATTAACATATTATGGATGCGTTTGTTTATAACCTTTTTACCCTATTTCAACAAATATCGTGAAAAAAATTAGACATATGTTGAAGTAAATCACATTTTATTAAAATTCAAACAACATTTGTGAATTTTGATACCTTTCACCTCGGTTTATTCATTTGAAATTTTAATTAGTTATAAAATATTTTTATGATATAGAATAAGTATATATTTTATGTTGGGTTGGGTTTTCACTTTAAAATATCGTCAATCCAACCCAACCTAATTAGAAACAAACTGTAGGGTTTACATTTTTTTTAGTTGGGTTTGGGTTTGATATTTCCCAAACGATAGTACATAAGTCGGGTAATTAAAATGACTAAACTCGAACCACCCGATCTATGTACACCCCCTAAATTCACTTGAGTTATTCTCTTATTTTCCCAACTCTATGCAAACGGTACTGGAAATTCCAGGAAATTATGAAGAAAAAAAAGTAAAAGGAGAACGATCAGCATAAAAAGAGCATTACACATTGAAGAACGTATCCACATTCTTAAAAAAAAAAAAAACTCTGCCGGGAAAAATCTGAAACCGTCACCGGACTAGAATCAACGATGAATGGCTATTCTTTACCACCCGAAATTCATCCACCACCAGAGAAAACAATCCAGATAATCTCGACCTCCATAGTCGAACCAGCAGCATCACCGCCAAACACCACTAACCACCACGACATCGAAATCCAATTCACTCCATTCGACATCCAATTCCTTCCTCTCCAATACGCCCAAAGAGGCCTCTTATTCCCCAACCCATCTCCACAAGAACCCAATTCAACATCCACAATCCCTCGCCTGAAAACCACTCTCTCCCGAGCACTCTCCATCTTCCCACCCTTCGCCGGCCGCCTCGCCGCCGTCCAGTACGACGACGACGGAACCGCCTCCTTCTCTCTCAACTGCAACAGCGCCGGAGCCCTCGTCGTTCACGCCGTCGCTAGTGGACTCTCTGCCTCCGACATTCTCCATTCCGACGACCCCACTTCCCCCGGCGCTCTTCACTCCCTGTTCTCCATGAACGGAGCGTACGGCTGCGAGGGAGTCTCCAAACCGCTGCTGGTGGTCCAATTCACCCAGCTAGCAGATGGGTTTTTCATGGGTTTCACGTTTTCTCACGCCGCTGCCGATGGGTCGTCCTTCTGGCATTTCCTCAGCACTTGGTCCGAAATTTCCCGAAACGCCGCCGCGGAATCGGTGTCGCCGGGTTCTGAGTTGATATTGGAGAATCCGGCTCCGGTGATTGGAACTTGGTTCCTCGACGGGATAGAACCCCCAATTCGATTCCCATTCTCATTCGACGAAACGATTCAGAAACCCCCAATCAGCCTTCCCCTGCCTCCTCTGCTCCAGAGGATTTTCCACTTCAGCAAGGACAAAATCGCTCAACTAAAAGCCAGAGCAAATTCTGAGCAGACCGACATTGCTTCTGCCAAATCAATCTCTTCGTTTCAGTCGCTGCTGGCACACATTTGGAGAGCAGTGATCCGAAACAGTCACGGTCTAGATCCCGACGAGGAAGTTCATTGCAAGCTGTTGGTGAATTTTAGGCAGAGACTGAGGCCGAAGCTGCCGGAGGCTTACTTCGGGAACGTGGTGCTGTTCGCGACGGCGACGGCCTCAGCTGGAGATCTGGCGGCGAAAGGGATTGGGTTTGCGGCGTTGAAGCTGAACGAGACGGTGGAGAGGCAAACGGATGGAGAAGGGAGGAGGTGGGTGAATGAGTGGGTGGAGAAGCCAGAGGTACGGAAGCTGGGTGCCATGGCGAGGAATTCTCTGATTGTGGCCGACTCGCCGAGGTTTGAGGTGTATGGGAATGACTTCGGTTGGGGGAAGCCCGTGGCGGTGAGGGCGGCGGGGAATTACAGCGACGGGAAAGTGACTGTGTTGAGGGGAAAAGAAGAGGGGAGCGTGGATGTGCAGATTTGCCTGGTGGATGCGACGATGAAAGGTATCGGGAGTGATTCGGAGTTCATGGAGTTTGTTGGGTGATTGATTTCCGGTGGCGTGTTGGGTTTTGTTTATGTTATGTATTTTGGGTTGTGGCAATAGAAAAATGAATTTGCTGGAAACGAAGTCATGGTTTGCTGATAAGTAAAACCTGTTTAGCTGAAAACTTAAATGAGGATGGATTGCTTGAAATCAAAGTAAGAAAGATGATTCTATTATTATGTTTTTTTTATACTTTTGACTCTGTCATTTTACTTGTACAACATCGTTTTCGGAGTTATTTTACGTTAGATTTTGTCTTTGTCTTAACATGTTTCAGGCTCTAGTAGGTGAAATAGACGAAAGGATCGAAAGTCAGACGGAAAAGAGTAAAAAATGGGACAAAGTACTGGATGGATCACGAGTGTACATGGGCGCTGGGCCGTGCTTGGGCCGACACGACACGAGCACGCTTCGGGCCCATTTATTTCGTGTCGTGCTTGGCAAGGCCCATCAGTTTTCGTGTCGTGCCATGCAAGCCCATTTGTTAACTTTGCTAGGCCCGGGCACTCGAATCGTGTCGTGCCTATTCGTGCTCGTGCCATGCTCGTATTCGTATTTAATGAAAATGAAAAAAACAAAAGAGAGAATGAAAAAGAATGTGAAAATTGGACGGAGAAAGAAAGTATTAACTGATAATGTTTGAGAAAAGTAACAAATAAGGGGGAAAAGAAAATTGGAAGTATAGCGAGTGTGATTTGGCTTTGTTTATTTTCGTGCCATGTTCTTTCTTATACTCAATAAAGTCTCGAAAATATTAGGCCCGACACGGCCCACTTATATACCATGTCCTGCTCGTGCTCGTGCCCATGAAGTTTAGGCCCGGCAAGGCCCATAAATTATTCGTGCTCGTTCCGGGCTGGCCCATTTATTTCGTGCCCGTGCTCGTGTCGTGCTCTAACCGTGCTCGTGTCGTGCTAGCCCGTGGGCGGCACGGCCCGGTGCCCACGTACAATCACGACCGCAGGGCGTGAAGAAGTGAAACAATGTGTTTTGACTTTGTCGTTTGACTTGTACAACATCTTTATTAGAATCATTTTACGCTAGGTTTTGTCTTGTTTTAGCATGTTTCAGGCTCTATCAACAGATGAAATGGACGAAAGGATCGAAGTCGGACGAAAAGGAGCAAAAATGGGACAAAGTACTGGAAATTGCATGGATCACGGTTCAAGGCATATTGTCACGGGCAGAAGACCGGGAAGATTGCATCAAAACCGCGAACGCGAAGAATGCAAAGTTCCAGGAGCATTTGGACGTCTTATGTGCATTGCATGGATCACGGGCGTTGGGCGTGAAGAATACAAATAAACAGTGAAGTGTGTAAGTGAAATAGTGTGTTTTGCGTTGAGATCACGGTTGCACTACACATATCACGGGCGTGACGAAAGCCCTTGAAATGTACACTGTCGGGTATAAATATGAGAGTGAGCAGATTTCAAAAGGGAGAAGAGTGTTAGAGAGAGATTTTGATCTTCTTCTACATTCTAGAGAGATAAAGTGACTAACTAATGAAGATTGAAATTTGGAGAGGAATTTGACCTACCCAAGACTAAACGAGGCAGATTTCATCTTCAACACCATCATGTATCTCCACCCAATACCACCTACTTAATTGACCCAAAAATCAAGCCATAAATTTCAAAAGCAAATGAATAAAACTTATGATTAGAACAATATAATAGAAAATCTTTAATTTTAAACAAAATAATAAGCAAACATTTCGAAAAACAATATAATTAGTGAAATTGTTAACTTTTTATCCAGTCAAATATCAATTTAACTTTTACATAGCAATTATACTGACATGGACACTGACATGAATGTTGCATTATATGTTATCTTGTGCGAAAATAAAAAGTTCGGCTATTATATTGTTTTAATCCTAAAACTTATGTAATAATATAAAAAATACTATACAAATGGCTTGTAAACATTATATCAAAATTTTGTGAACTTAACATTTCAAATCAGTTTGCACCTGAAGTTAAGAGGTAATCGCGACTGAACCATTACCGCCTACTAAAAGATCAAAATATGACAACAATAACAGAAGTTAGTATTGTTTTTTTACATATATATAACTAGATTTCTACGTGTGAATCTGTACATTTAGCCATGACAATGGAAAGAACATTCCAGAATTTATCCTGAATCCATATATACATGTATCCAAGCTAATTGCTGAGAATGTTGAGAAGCAAAACTCTTGATCTCAACAGCCTCCTGAAAAGACCCTCCAATCCATTCTCTGTTTCTTCCAAGCTTGATCCAAACCCCTCAAGTCCTCTCAACAAGCGACCAATCTGCTCTGCATTAACAAACTTGCTCGACTTGATCGCAAACATTTCAGCATCAATCTTCTCTACTGCTGTTGCCGTTCCAATCTCCCCTTTCTCCACCACTTCCCTCTTGGAATGCATCAGCTTTGCGACCACGGAGTAATGTGGCTTTCTTGGTGCAGAAACAAAGCACAAAATGGCCTTGAACTCTGCAACACATATTTCCTCAACTTCCCTCAACGAGCTTACCAAATCTCCAACCATATTCGAGCTCTTCTCCTCCTCCTCCTCCGACATGTAATTCCCTCGGCTCTTCTCCATGATCTTAATGTTCTTGCAGGCCAAACGACCCAACCCTTTCCTGCAGACCAAGTAACCATCGACTTGGCTCGAGTAGTCCGATCGAATCCTCCTGAGAGACGATTCGAGATCTCTCATCGACTGCTTCATCCGCGACATAATGTCCCGAACTGAGCTGCACATGTCCAGCAACTTGATCGATGCATCCAACAAGCTCTCGACGGCTAGTCGAGTTGCAGGTTCAGGGGAGCTCCTCTGTTCTGAAAGTTGGGTTTGGAGCAAGTCGTCTATGCACCGTGACAAAGCCTTCAGGTTGATTATGTTGTGTCTCAGAGATCCAGCTGATCGTGGAGCCGTCTCGAGGTCGTGTAATTGCTTTTGGATGATGGAGAAAGCTGGAGGGTGAGAAGCTTGAGAAGGCAAACTGACTGAACGGACATGGCAGGAAGCCATTGATAACTTTGGAAAGGTGTTAAGAGCAGAAGGGTTTATGGTTGATTGTGATTGCTTTGATTAATTTGCAGCTTCACTGACCCTTTTGTCCATTCTATATATACAGTAGGCCTAAGAATTGGGTTTGTGTCGAAGTACCAAAAAGAGCATTTCTTTCAAATCTCATGTAATTTGCTGTCATCCAATGCATTTGGCTAATATTCAATTATTGTCATGTTGAGGGGTTTCAAGCAATAATGCTATGCAATTAAAGAAAACAAGTTTGGATTAATTAGTTCTAAAATAATTAGATGACAGGGTGGGTGCAGGGAGTGCCGCCATTCTCCAGACAAAGCAAAACCATGGAAAGGGTTTTGCTCTTATTTCTCTTCATCTTTCTTTCCTTCTTCACATAGATATAGATTCATGTAGGAGTGTGGTTTAAGGTAGTGAAGCTGTAGGCAGAAGGAAGCTGTTTCTTTGTTAATATTTTCAACAAACCTCCAGGAATTCATAGACAACATGGTGCGTTTTTAAGGTTTAGAGTAGGTGGGGAATATTAGGATGGTTGTTTTATGGGTTTTTGACTCGGTATGACGCCAACAAATTTTGCAGTATTGAATATGGATATAATATGTATATCGTATTGCGACTGCTGTGAACCCATTTTGTAAAAGGGTGGGTTTCCGGAACTCACCTTAGTTCGGGATTAGAATACCAAAACGAATAATATTTGTACATAATTTATAATACGAAAACTCAATATTTCATGTTCACTGGTTTTACTTGTTTATCAACACATTGTAGAAAACTTTATAGCACACATTAACCTTGCATATCATGTAAAATACTCTAGATTCTACGTAAATCTGTGTCTCTATCTGTTTATTCTAAGTTTACTAATTTCTAATTTCGTGTGAAATGAAAATCAGACGACAAGTGGTGGATACAGGTTGTGAGTCATTCAAATCTTAATAAAATTTATTCTATATATTTATATATATACATCGGACCCACTTTAAGTAAAATCATGGCTAAGTCGCTGATCATATCTCGACAAAACATTAGAAACTTATAGAATGATGACTATCAACTCCCTCCTCCTAAAATTCAATAATGGGATGTTGTTGCAATTTGTTATTTTCAGTCCCTTCGCACTCTAACTCATGGCTTCACCATTGAGCATATTGATGCTTTCTTTACTTGATGTATGGAAACCAATTAGGGAATACGAATATGAAAGGATATGAGTTTATATATTGGATTATATACCGAAATGTGACCATTTAATGAATATTGAGAGAATTGGATCCAAATATATTTTATTTTGTTTTGGAGTGTATTGTATTGGAAATTCTGATTTGGGTGAGAACCATTTACATAATTTGTATGATCAAAATTAACATCGTGTTAAAGTATTTGCATTTCATGAACTCACACACTTTACATTATCAAACTTTATCTTTTTTGTTTCTCCAAGAATTTTAGCATACAAATATGATAAGATCAAACCAACCATATACATAGAGAGTCGAATATTTAAAAAATTTATAAATAAAAAATGCATTATATTTTAAAAGGACCCAAAACGGAAATTTTCGAAGCCAATTTAATCATCTAACCCATATCAATTGAATTGGATATCGGTTCTTTTTGCGAAACAAACGGATAACTTGAATAATTAACCTACTTATCAATAATTATGCATAGAATTCTATGCTTATACAAATTGATCCTATATCTCTTAGACCTTTTGGCATAGACTTCAAAAGGGACCCAAAATCGAAATGACTACATTAATTTCCATGCGCTTGAAATACTGCGGCCATGCAGACATTTCATCCGGATTTCAGAAACAACTAAATCCTTCGACACTGTTGGCATAACGAGCAACGACAACATTAAATAAAACACTAAAACTCATTTAAGAATGGAATGGTGGATCCCTCGTATTAAGGAATCGTAAATGTTAGCTGCTAGCTACCATCTTATCCGGATTAGATATGATTCTACCGCAATTAAGGTTGCTAACTTTTCTTATATAACACATAGATGATCAGGGAACTACAAGTCAAACTGAAAGTTGGCACACCCATGTACTATTGTGAAAGAGAAGTCCTTTAAACACTTATAAACAATCAACATATTTAGAAATATATACATTGTCATCTGTAATTCTAAAATATCTATTTTACCCTAATCACTGGCTAAATTGCAGGTTTGATCACTGGAATTACTAAAAAAAATGTCACGTTTGCCACTAATATTAATTTATTCCATTTATGATCACTAAAATTAGTTCAACAGTTCAAGTTTGGTCACTCTCCGGTAGTCTCCGTTAACTTTAACTGACGTGGCAGTTAAAAATTAATAAATAAATTATATTTTAAAAATTCCACCTTATTATTATTTTTTTCAGAAAGGATCGTATGGAGAGATCAGCATTGTTTTTTTTTTTTTAGAAAGGATCCGTGAAGAGAGGGGAAGATCGGTGTTCGCTTGATTCCGTTATTTATCCTTTATTTTTCACAAATCCACGCAACAATCTTGACGAAATATCGCCAAGTCACCAAAATTGTTAGTTCAATTTTTCCTTTTGAAATTTTGGACGGAATTGGATGTTTTTTTTGTGTATTTCTCAGAAATTGACTATTGTTGTCGCAAATTCGAATGAGTCATATTCGATAGTTATGTATCTAATCCCTGCACCTGACATTTGACAACCAAGGCTATGCAGCAAGGATCCAAAAACGAGAGTACCTAAGCAAGCTTATGTATCTTCCAACCAAAACACAAGGGCCATAAACTGCAAACCTTCAGGACCCTCAAATTGCTTTCTTTTCGATTCTATGAAGACGCAAATACAATACAAACCCAGAAGAAAAACTATGGCCACCGGCTACAAAAAAAATCCAATCTCTCCCCCTAACCCCATACTGTAAAAATGGCATCGTACAATCTACATCACCAAAATACATCATACAAGATTTTATACACATCCCTAAGGCACAAACTTGCTAAGCTAACGAGAAAATTTCCCCCACATCATGGCAATTGGTTCAAATAAACATAATCACAGAAAAGAATCGTCACTATGCTACGTCTCGTTCATCATTGGTTTAGGCAAGAAACTCACTCATGCTTAACGTCGGGGGATGACTAACGCTTCCTCCCTGGTTATTTGTCGGCAATGAGGGTTCTGGTTGGGAGTGTGCTACTGTTATTGTGGCATCCTTGTCTCCTCCATCCGATTGCTCTTCGGGAGCTTGGACAGTTTCACCAGAAGGGACCGGCTCAGGGTTACTTGCGGAGGGGGGTACATTATTGTCACCTGATGCAGCTAGATCTGGATTACTAGCAGATGAAGAAACGGTAGCAGGTTCTTGCCCGTCTGCAGTTGGTGGTTCGCTGGTTTCTGATGGTGGAGCGGCATCTTGTTGTGCTGGCGTAGTTGCCGGTGCACCATCTGTAGGTGGTGCAGCTGTATTTGCAGGTGTAGCACCCGGTTCCGGTGTTGTGGCGGGAGGTGCCTCGAGCTGTAATGGTTGACTCCGTGTTTGTTGCTTCTGTGCACTCGGGGTTCCGGGGGCAGGTTTTTTCTGGGCAGTGATTAGACCGGTTAGAGATGGCATTCCAGGAGGGAGAATTTCAATGGGTGGCTTCTTTCCAGCGTCTCCGAGACTTGTGAGCTTGGGTTCCTCGAGTGATGCAAGGAATGCAGCTGATGCGTCGGTTTTTGTCGAGGGAGTGTGCTCAACCTCCTTCTGCAACACCTTGTTCCAAGCCTGAACCAAGTTCTTGAGTGTTGGTCGCCCGTGAGCCTGAAGGGTGTAAACATTAGAACAGCAGTCAGATCAAAACTTTTGATTCCAGATTTCTAAAAGACTGGTATGTGCCTGTTTCATCTAGTATTTTTAGCTCCTAACTTTATGTTGGTACCCCTAGTGTCCATATACAAACAACACTTACGTGGGCATGAAGGACAGCTTCAGCAAGCATGCCAGTGTCCTGCCATGCTTTCTCCATCAGAGCATTGTCACCTAGAACTGCTCCTGCAAATGCTGCTTCCCGACCCAGGCCAATTGAAATCAAATTGTTTACCAAACCCTGCAGTGCGTAGACAGATGAAAATCGGAAGCCATTTGTATGAATTGAACTAAATCACCGTTGAATGCTAAACACTTACATAGGTATGCATTAATGCTGCACCTATGTCCTAACTTTAGCGTGCTTATAATTAGACGAGCATAATCTAGCTATGTAAGGGTTCAAGTATAGAAGAATTCAAATGAAAAATATGCAAAGTCGGGAACAGGTTTCGGCATACACTTAGTCGAGTTAACTCTCCGTGATTTGCAAGTCGTAAGGCAAGTCCTCTTAATTCATGGCTCTGTAAGGAACCTTTCACTGATCCTGCAGTGGATAACCTCTTGAGTGCTTCACGAGCAATGTCAGCTTGACCGGTAGCATCCGCAGCATCAATGAGATCCAAAAATTCCTTGGCAAATTTCACAACTCCCTCAACAGCTTCAACAACATCTTCCTTCTTAGCAGTCAAATTAAGGATGTCACTCAATTCCAGGCCCGTACCATCCTGCCCAATGTCCCTGCTGTTGCTCATAGTGAGAAGGCAATGAAGAGCTCTTTTCAAGTCATTACTCTGCATGGCCAGATCGAACTCCAACCTAGATATAATAATGGACATTTTCATAGTCAATATTTTCAATGTACTAAATGCCAACAGAAAGAGTTGAAGAAAATATTAGGGATCAGACCTTTTAGATATTCCAGGTAAATGAAGTGCTTCGGTAGCATAACCCATTCCTAATAAAAACTGTGCCAAATCGTCGTGATGTTCCCTACCAAGCCTACTTGCCCTGCATACAAAAGATGGGATATCGTAAATCGTAATAAATCGGAAAAAAATAAAATAAAATAAAATAAACGGTTTCCTTCATGGATCATATGCAGACAAACACCAAATGAATTGTAGAAGAGAGAGAAATATGAAGAATAAATACCATTTCACTGCACTAACAGCGTCTCCATAAGCAGCCAGACACCGGCAACGAATACCAGGATGAGTGAGAGATAAGGCATGTGCGCACATATACCTATCAACAATAATACCAAAGAACATTAGCATGCCACCAGCTATAATGAAGAAAGTACAGAACCATGTAAAAGCAAAGAGAGATAAATAAATGAAAAGAAGGTGAACCGAATTCCACATTCATTCGTTAACAGTTAGAATCAGAAGCCACAACAGTTTTTCTTGTTCTCCTTCCGACTAATGAAGATGCCAGACCCAAATTAAAGATTAAATCATGCAACTGCAGAATACTCCCATTTAGCATATACCCTCGAATGACGATTGATACCTCTAAAGGAAACTAGTTGAGATCAAATCAAGAAAGAAGCAAACAAAGAACCACTTCACCATCCACTGCAGATGTTGAATTTTTGTGAAGATTCTCTTATGGTTCTATTAAGGGCGGTTAATTCAGCATGGGTTAGTAAACACGAGCTCAGGTTCACCAAATGAGAAACTAGGGTAAACACAAACTCAGATTTTGATCAACCTCCACAAACAAAATTTCACACCTAAAACCAACTAGCACGATACTCATCTGGTTAGAAATGGCTTTGGCGAGAGTAAACAACAAGTTCAAGAAACAGTAATTTAGAAGGAAAAAAAGAGAGTATATATTGTCACCTATCAATAAGCCACAGAACTCCATCTCTTACACCAATGACAACAAGAGGTCCCACAGGTCGTTTTTGTTCTGTAGGAAAGCGTGTAACAGCCACAGACACCCCTCCTCCGCCAACAGCTACCTCATTGTACTTTTTATCTTCCATCTCTTTTGGCATTGTGGGGTCATCACCATCGACCCTAGTCTGCTTTGGTAATGTTAAGAAAGGTGGCACTGAAGGAGCATGCTGGAATGAAGCTAGACGAACCACCTGGAAAGAAAAGACAGATATTTAGAAGATGGATTGGTTAATTTGTCTAACCAACTGCTGGACCAAGCAACATAGTTCCACCATCAATCCACAATTACGAATAGCAATTGTGAAGTAATTGCCATAATTATCCCGTCAATTGACACAAGCTAGGACTGCGCAACTGCACAAACACACAGACCAACGGATGCTACAAAAAAAATTCAGTATTCAGTTCCAAAACAGCTGTTTTTTCAAATAAAAATCAAACAAATTAAG